TGGGGAGAGGGGAGTAATTCCATATGGCTCAGTGCATAAATTACACAGCCATGCCCAAATATGCCACTTCTGCACTCAACCATGTCAACTGCGTATACATGTATTTCATTGAAAAGAGATCAAATGACTCTCCTACAGTCACTTTGTTTGGAAAGGTGGGTGGAACAGTAACATTACACTTTATGTACACTTTGAAGCATTTGCTTGGGCTGGAAATTCGGCTGAATCCTCAACACTGAAATGGTCTTACATGTACATGTATGTAAAAAAAACAGGTGGAGAAACATGACCACTGCACTGTATGCTACATGTACAAATAAGGGACATTCAAGACCCATACAGGACTGCTGACTTGTCTAGAAAATGGAATTATTTTTACTACTTTTTTCACCACTGTTTTAAAAGAATTGTATCACTTCTCATTACAGCACGCTACACATACGGCATGTTCACAAAGCTCATATTTTCACTACAAGAACCCTTCATGGACATCTTGCATTCACTGATCCATGTGAAATCATCCACACTAGTCATCCTTCACTGGTAACATTCAATACGAAAGCCAACAGAAGTTGTACAGTCTCCTTGTTTATAAATACCTGTAAACTCATTGTTATTCTACAGAAAAATTTCCAGGTCAAATGGAGAAATTATTGCGGTCAAGTGATACCACTTCCTCCCATCATGCACTGCAAAAGAAAAAAAAGATCTCTCGTCCCGATAAACTTTATACGCGGTGTACGCTAGTATGCCAAACTTCTAACTTTTCCTTTTGATAAATCCTTCGAGGTGAACTTACTCTTCGGCCAAACGTAAAGCCAAATTCTTCGGCCACTTCCCTCGCCACCTCCTCCCCTCCTGGTACCTCCACCGCCCACTCGTTGTGAAACTCCCGCTCCTCGCCAAAGTTGTCGGTGGTGGCTGTCCCGCCCAAGAGTGTAGCGATGACCAACAGAAGGGGAGACAGGGCACGCAACCCCATCTTGGAGGTCAGCTCTGATGGATCACAAATACAAAAACAAAAAAAATTGCAACGTCGTCGCAGAATGTTTACCTTATCTGCCGTGTGAATGATCAGGACTGGTGCTAAAATCTGTTCTTCTTTGTATGTTTTTTTCACCAGAGAATTCCACTCACATGGGCTTTGTCAGCCCGTCGGGCAAGTTAACCTACACGTATGTTGTTTTACTTGCTCATAAATTTTCACTAGCCCAATGGAAATGTTTTTTTAAAACTGATTTTGGACTGGCTTTTTCAATTTCATTATTTCAACTGTAACTGCAAAGTCTTGCTGTCATTTTTAACTTTAACAGGTCCAGATGCGTGTCACGTCATCGAGACTGAAAAGAGTGTACATGTAGTTCTCAATTGTTTTTACGAGTCAGATGTGAACAATTTGTCACCTGCTCACTCAAGTTGAAAGACGTGGATAGCAACGAGAGAGAATTTAACGTACATGTAGCAAGGCCATATCAAGAATGAAGCCATTTTAGCGGAAAAAGCCCACGATCAAATTGGGGTAACGGCATCGAAGCGCAGCGTGACAAGCCAAAGAGGTAAGGCTCTAGACAGCTTTTCCATGTCCATTTTAGATTTCTGTGACCAAGCAAAATCTTGTTCCAGTCCTGTACACATGCACCAGTATGCCATGATGTACAGCCTTATGGTACAATGTAGTCCTAATGGTACCGGGTAGATATTAAGTAGTACCCCTAGAATTGTCACATGGACTGTGGCTCACAGTTCTGGGAGGAGTAAAGTACCAGTAATATAAAGTACCATAACTTGTGTGTCAAATAGAAGTCATTTTGGAGGAAGTCATTTTAGAGGAAGAGTGAACCTTGTCCATGCTTTCTGTTCAAAAGGAAGCAAGCAAGTTTATCAATCATTTCCAAAATTGTGTGTGCACTGGGTTTACTTAGGTGTGTGAACCATAAACTATGTACAGTACTTTGCACTTGCAGCGTACATGTGTACATACATTTGTACTGTACAACACGTGTGGAAGAAATTTTGCTCAAAATCACCCAGCCTTGTTTCTCGTAAGATGCTTATTTTTCAAGTCACTATTAATTACATGTACTACTGTTTGAGCTAACAAGAAAAAGCAGGACCATCTACCAGGCACGAGAGTGTCATCTGACACCCACGAGACAGAGGCACCTCAACAGAATCATCATCGAGTTACAACAGCGTCCTTATTAGAGCAATGTAGTATTCTACAAATCAATGCATCATTCTCTGGAAACGGACCTGGAGCAGAGGCAAATTAGAACGTCTGACTGCAAGCTGGTACAGAGATTATCTCTATCAAAAATACAATTGTGTTAAAGAACAATGCTTCTTCCATGGACAGATCCACTCTGCAATGCATGTACATGTATGTGAATCATATTAATCAGTTCCACGATTACGGTACGTGCTTCAATGCATGCTCACTTTCGTCGTTTCAAAACACATAAATGCCGAGAGCGCCATAGACTACATAGATACCACATGCACGTGTATGCATATTACGTGCACGTACATGTACCAGTACATGCATGTATGTATGCTGGTATCCTGAAACATGGCAAAAAATAAATGTCGTAATCATTCTCCAGCAACTACCGTAAATATGTACATGTAGCGCCCCTTTTGTGGAGCAAGCGCGGTCATTGGTGGGCTCAACTCATGCGCAATCTGATACACACAAACGGCATGTAGGCCCTGTTTGCCTGTAGAACTGGTGCTCTGTGGTATGCCAGAGTTTTTTTTTTCAGCCAAAAGTTCGGCGTTTGGTCACCATTTGCTTATTTCGAGAACTCAAACGTCCAGTATTGAACGTGTTGATAACTTACAACACTCTATAATTGATTCTTGTTATTATTCTAGTGATAAATTCATAAACTTAATTAATCATGATTCAACCAATAATTTTTCCTTAAGTACTGCATATTTAAATATTAGGAGCTTGTCAAAAAATATTGACAACCTACAAGTTTTTCTGCAATCTCTTAAACATAACATCTCAGTAATTGCCCTAAGTGAGACTTAATAATAGAGTCCTTAAATAATATACCAGCGTATTCACTGTCACTGACTGTTATCTAAAAATAGAAATGATGAAACCGAAGGTGGAGTTGCCTTAAACATATCTTCAAATTTGTCTTTTATCCCATGCACTGATTTAAATGCCATGAGCAATGAATCCACAGAATGTAGTTTTGCTGAAATTGTTACACCTAGTAACCAGGAAAACATAATTATTGGAGCAGATGTCAACTTTGACAACTTTCTTTCTTCTTTTCAAATATTATTTGACCGTGTATCTAATGAAAATAAATATTTATAACCTAATATCTGGTGACTTTAACATAAATTAACTTAATCTCGACAACAGCAGACAGCCACAGGAATTCCTGGACGTTATATATTCTTCTGCCTGCTTACCATTGATCAACAAGCCTACTTCAGTCACTAACACATCAGCCACACTACTACATGTAGATAATATACCGGTATTTTTCTAATATTTTGCCTGCTCATAAATCTGTGATTGCGTTGGCAGATATCTCTGATCACTTCCCTATATTTACTTCTTTTCCGTTCACTAAAAACCATTCACATTCTGAAAATACATTTGTAAGATATTATTCACAGGAAAATTTATTAAATCTAAATTCACAATTAAATGCTAATGATTGGAGTTCAGTTGTTTGTGCACAAGATGCCAACTCGGCTTTTGATAATTTTATGAAGATTTTTAATGAGAATCATGACAAGCATATCCCCCTAAAGCATAGCAAGGTAAACTCAGATAAATTAATTCCCAAATCACCCGGGTCACTGTTAGTCTGTGTAACTCTGTATGTCATAAAAATAAACTTTACCATAAATATCAGTTTAATTCCTCTGATGAAAACCGCTCTAAATATGTACGCTATAAAAATATGTTGACAAATGTCCTTGGCAAGGCTAAATGTAATGGTTATGCTAAGCAATTCAATAAACAAAAAGGAAATATCAAAAACACATGGAAATTAATTAATAGTATATTGCAAAAGAACAATCACCAAGTTACATCAATTCATATTGAAGGAACCTCTACCAGTAATCTACAACATATAGCTGATCATTTTAAAAAATACTTTTCAAATATTGGTAAGAACCTTTGTGACCACATTCCTCCTAATAATTATAATTTCTCAGACTACCTCCTTAATCCACACCCGAATTGCATCTTTTTTCCCCATGTTTCAAATGAAGAAATTATCAATATTGTGTCTAACTTACTGAATAAAAAATGTGCAGAAGTCAATCATGTTAACACTAACCGCCCAAGGGTTTCTGGACCTAAACTTCCCCCGTCATACAAACTTCAACACCTTGGAAAAGCACTCTCACCTCACAGAACTCAATCTCACAGACTTTAACAATACCTCCTGCTGCAACAGTACCCAATCACACAAACTTCAAAAGGTCTTTACCTGTGTGATTTTGTTAGATTGGGTACAGCAGGCCCACTGCACAATACAAAGAGAATGGACAGGCAGTACCTATTCAAACAAACTCGCACACTATCATGCTGCATATCCATCCCAAACTGCTGGGATAAAGTGAGAGGGCCACAGTACCCATTCCATCAAAATTCAACAGGGTATGTGCAGGCCCACAGTGCCCATCCACACAAAATTAGCTAAACACCAGATACAGTGTAGTAAGCTGCTAGTACCCAATGCCACAAACTCACACACTTCACTGGCGTTGAATTCTGTTTGGTAAGAGAAAGTTAGGGTTAATAGTTCTTTGATAAGGGCTGTGATCCATGCAATCTACAAGCCCCGATCTGACCGCAGTAATGAACTTATCCATTTCTACTGGGGTAGTGCCAGATGACATGAAGGTTGCAAGGGTCACTCCCGTTTTCAAGAGTGCTAATCCTCTCATTGTTAGTAATTATCGACCTATTTCTATTCTTGCTTCCTTTTCCAAAATTTTAGAGCGTGTGATTTACAAACGTACAGTATGTTTTCTTGACAAAAATACTGTAATTTCAGATAATCAATACGGATTTAGGGAAAATCACTCAACATCACATGCTATAATCAAGTTAATTGATAAAATAATGACTTAGATTCATCAGTTACTACTGTTGGTATATTCCTAGACCTTTCCAAAGCATTCGACACAGTAAATCATGAAATACTGCTTTCCAAGTCATATTATTAAAGTATCAGGGGAATTGCTCTGGAGTGGTTTGGGAGTTACCTATGTCACTGTAAACAGCTTGTCAAGATAACAGATTGTAATGCTTCAGCCTGTAACATATCCCATGGAGTACCTGTAACATATCCCATGGAGTACCTGTAACATATCCCATGGAGTACCTGTAACATATCCCATGGAGTACCTGTAACATATCCCATGGAGTACCTGTAACATATCCCATGGAGTACCTGTAACATATCCCATGGAGTATCTGTAACATATCCCATGGAGTACCTGTAACATATCCCATGGAGTACCTATAACATATCCCATGAAGTACCTGTAACATATCCCATGGAGTACCTGTAACATATCCCATGGAATACCACAAGGATCAATTTTAGGGCCCCTACTATATAGTCTTTACATTAACAATCCTGAAAAATCTTCTGAATTATTTTCCTTTATTCTCTTTGCTGACGATAGTAACCTATTTTACAGTCACAAGGATACTATTTGATGTAGCTAACTGTGAACTTAACAAGGTCTCCAATTGGATTAAAGCAAATAAATTAACTCTTAATATAAGTAAAATGAATTTGATGATATTTATCAAAAAGAAACAAAGATTAACTCCTGACATTTTTATTGATAACGTTAGAATCTCACAGACTGACGCGACGAAATTCTTGGGACTTTATATTGATAATAATTTCCCTTGGAAAGTAAATGTCAACCATATTTGTTCTATTATATCCAGGGACATAGGTGTAATCTGTAAATTAAGAATTTTCTTGCCATTTGATATTTTAATGTCTTTATAGTTTTACCATACCTAACATATGGAATACTCGCATGGGGCCGCTGTGGATCTGGTTTGATTAATAGAACAGTCAGACTTCAAAAAAAGATATTAAGAATTATCAACTCCACAAGCTTTCAAGATCGTAGTGATCCTCTCTTTATTAAATGTCAAGTGATAAAAATACAAGATATATATCGTCTTACCTTTATGCATCAACTTAATCAAACCAGATTGCCCAAATCCATTTGTTCTATGTTCAGAAAAAATCAAAATGTTCATCACTATCACACTTTACTAGGCAACGTACTGATTTCCACCGGGTTTTCTCGCTAGAGATTCCTCGTTAAAAAGTGTTGGCAGTAAGTCAGTATTTAAAACTAAATATAAGACTTACTTATTAAATAATTATTTTTCAATAAAGATAACGGGTTTACTTGTCACATGTCCATGTTTAATTAATTTATATTGTCTTACATGTATGTTGTACAACATGTATGTGTACATGTGAAATCTCTTGATGTAACTTTAACGTAATTAACGTGGGGCCACTTCTTGACAAGCTTTGCTTTTTAGTAACACCTCCCGTCTACCCTAGTTACATGTAAATTGTATATAATCAATCTTAATAATGTGCATATACCCTATCTTTGTGGTGGAAAATAAAGTAAGACTGATTAAGTGTTAAGTAAGACTGACTGGCATGAATGGAGCGACTGTCAGTGGGTGAAAGTGAGAATTTGGTATACTCTGTCTCACGCTCTGAAACCTCCGTAACTCCATTTTCAAGAGCTATAGACTAGGCCTACTGGTATAGATTACTCAGGTTTGCTGACAGGGGAAAATATGATTTAATAGTAATAATACTACATTGTACCTGTACATAATTGCTTTGTTACACCTAGTGTGAATCATTTCGCCTATCAAGTTCGATTCCAAAAACCCATAGCCTTAAAACACCATATAAAGATGGTAAACTGTGTTGGCTTGAAGCATAGACATGATAATAGAGCAAGGATCAGAAGTCACTCGGACTGTGATGGAGGACGAGCGCGAGTATGACTCGACCGTCGACGGACGGAGTATTCACTTTGAATTCTCGAAGTCGAAGTAAGCAAATAGGCCTAGTAGCCAAACGCAGAACTCTTTACTTAAAATAAAGACTCTGGCATACCACAGAGCACCACTTCTACGGGCAAATTGGGCTTACAAGTTGAATTCCACTACCGGAACACTACAACTGCATATGCATGCTTACCGAATTCCTTGTGCAGCAGGCGCCAGTCAGGCAGCGGTGCTTCAGCGAACACAGACTGTATGCCCCGGCGGTACAGAATGGTTGTCCGCGCCGAGCACCACCAGACCACCCGCAACTTCCACCCACCACAAGAGCCCTAATTGCTTTCGGTCTTCGCCAATTAACACATTGCTACCGTTTCGAGACGCACGTATTCGAAGAAAAAATATATATCGTGGAGTTTTGATATCCCGTTTAACACGGCGATTGCAAGAACTTTTACTCGGCCCGGTGTTGTTTGCTCCCGGTCCGTTTGTAAAGGTGCGGCCAATAAACGTGTTGCATTAATGTGCCGAGCTAAAACATGTAGTCTGAGCCTGGATCCCCGCCTTTTTATACTTACAACCCGAAACCAGCCTACGATCGTTGTGCAATTTTGGTCGATAGAGGGCGGCGTTCTTTATTATGGTTGTAAATAATTAATTACCCACGGGGCCAACTCCTTTCGGAGATGCCTAGCCTGGCCTACCCGGCCTTCACAGTTCTCCTCTAGCCTGGTGTACTTCAACCAACCATGGAGGAATGCTTCAACAACATGTTCAGTAATCATTAATCAGTCAACATTAATGTTTTATAGTAATGCAGACTACACACAATGTGATTGATGTGACTCGTCTGACCTCTGTCATGCACAAGACGGCTACGTTTGCCTCTTGCATAAAAAACAGTAGGGACGGTGTACCAACTGCAGACGTGGTGCTGTGGTTGGACTGGCCCAAGGATCGATCACGATAGTTGGCTAATTTTCTTTTCAAAATTTCTTAACGTTCTCATTTTGGGAAGAGTTCCATATACGGACGCCACTAATTATTCCCTACAGTGATCTATTCAGAAAGAAAAAACATGTCCAGAAAAGTTCAATGTAGATATGGGAAAAACCAAGTCGTTTACTCAGAAGACACTGAATTTTTCAGACCAGTCTCATTGGGTTTGTGCAAGGGGTGTGCAAGCGTCCGTTTATGGAACCCTTTTCCTCAATTTCTTGTGGCTCACTCCTGGTCGTTACTCGGACTAGCTATTGCCCATGGGGCATTTCATCTGTAACGCAACATTGAAAATAAAATCTAATGTCAGATTCTTTAAGCCAAGAGTTTGTAGGCCTACTATCCCTTTGACTGTGGATGGGACAGATGCTATACAGTTGGGACATCTGTAACTCGGGATAAATTTCATTTGTTGTCTTATTTCAGACGGAGCCAATGTGTTCAGCTACACAGTTTGAATTTTGATTGGGTGAGTTTCTTCCTAGGCCTATGGGGTGTAGGCCTCCTCGTGCGAGGGTGTGATAACACTGCGGCACAGTCTGTGCTGTGGCCATATCATCCCGGTGCCAGCCATGGCATCAAGAGCGTCAGAGAGATGGCCACTTGTACCATATCCTTGTCTGTACATCGGTGAGTTTCATTGCTTGCGGGTATGACCTCAGTCATTGTCATCTTCATCAAGCACGTCATCATCCCCAGTGTCATTGTTACGCCCCAACTATCACATCAGTCAGTCCCAACTGTAGTTGGGCCAGTCCCAACTAGAGCCTAGACGGCTATAGTTGGGCCGGCCCAACTGCAGCACAGCGGTCCAGTGTGCATGTGCCTGCATGTGCCAAAGTCATATTGTTTACAATGTCATATCATAGATGAAGTGCCATATTTTAGATGCCTTGTGTCAAGTGTGAGATGCGTAAACTTGGATAAGGTTGAGAACATTTCTGTAGAAAGTGGTCAACGATAGTTGGGCCAGCCCAACTGCAGCACTGCTCTTGGGACTGTCCCAGCTATAATTGGGGCAAACGCCATAGTTGGGGTGTAACATCACCGTAGAACTGCAGTCACCGCCATTGTAACAATCACCACCATGTCCATCACCGTTGACTGTACATGTACCTCCACCATCACCCTAAACGTCCCCCATCATCTGATCATTGATCTCTGTCTTAATATCTCCGCCACTGCCCTTTGGTATCTTCCTTCATTTTTATCATCATTATTTGTTTACTCAAAGCGTTTTTAATTGTATGACCTGTTATTCTGTTGACCATAGTCTTGTAGTAAATGACCAGTCCTTACTTTGAACTCTTAATGTTTACCGTGGGTAATGTTAAAATGCAATTGAAATATAAGTGAGGCTTCATTGTAGCCATCTTGAAATAAATTCATCCAGATTTAAATTTTTGACATTTTGTTTTCTTTCATGTTAACTTTACCACGTATTATGCATCTCCAGTGTGCATGTCAGTTAAAAGTATGATAATTTTTAAAAAAAAATTGAACTGCTGGCTTCACCAAATGATGGTCTAGGGCCTACTTTAGTAGACTTTTATGCATGACTTCAAAAAAGATAGGCCATTGGTTTTCTCATTAGTATTCTTAAGAAATGTGTTCCATTAAATTCCAGAATGCAGGTATTTGCGCAATTTCACTTCCCCTGCTGATTGTTGGGCTCTCTTTCATAGGGCTGAGTCAATTTGAATAATTCACTGTTCAATTCAAATAATTCACTATTTTAATATTCAACCTTCAATTCGATCGAATATGCAAATATTCAGTCGTACCGACCGGCAGATTGTTAATGAACAAACCAGATACAAAATCAGTTGCAATAACACACACATGTGTACATTATAATCACTGTAACAGCTTGTCACATCTGGAAGTATGCCGTGATTTAGCAAGGTTTAAGAGATCAACAATACTTCCTGCCCAGTTGGAAATTTGTGTTCCTTGTAAATTGTTTAATGAATAATTTACTTTTGGAATCGTAAGATTTCTGATGCTTCTCATTTGAATCTGCTTGAAATAAGCCTCCAGAGTGCAATTTTTCACTTTTCAAACAAAGAAAATTTTCTCTTCCTTTAATGAATTTTGCATTTGAATATTCAAATTCAGAAAATATTTTTCAAATATTTGATAATCGATGGAATTCTTGGCTATTCGGATATTTGGCACAGCCCTACTCATTCTTTCAAATGGACATTCAAATAGTTTTTCTGGTCATATAAAAAACTGTGAATTAGAAATTGCAACCATCGTCACCGTTATAACCGGCATCAGCATCCTTATTCGTCTCTGTAATCATTATTGTGATAAGTGATGATAATAATAACTGGTTACCGGTGCTCAAGGTGCCACAACATTATTATTTCTGCTCACAGAGCCTAAAACACTCCTAAAATCATCTGAGCTCCCTTGGGAGTATACATGGACAGCTAGATGGTATCATTTCAGGCGTAAAGGGCTAATCAAAACAGAGCAACCATCTCAGCCCTCACGTGTGCCTGTAATACGTCCTTTTGTCATGTTTATGTAGAGAGACAGATTGGAGTAAAGTGGCTTGCCCGTGATCACAACATGTGACCAGCTGCCGGTTTCAAACCCCATATTAAGATTGCCTCCATAAACAGTAACAACGGTGTACAGCATAAATTGTCTAGGGCTGTGTTGAATAACTAAATATTCAATCGATTGTCGTGTACATGTATTCCAACGTTATTTTTCGAATTTGAATATTCAAATGCAATATTTGTGAAAAGGAAAAAGTTTCTTTTGTTTTAAATGAGAACAATTGCATCATGGAGGCTTCTTTCAAGCAGATTCAAATGAAAACCATCAGAAATCTTACAATTTAAAGTAAATTTTAAGTAAATTATTCATTAAAACAATTTAAAAGGAATAGAAATTTTCAACTGGCAAGAAGACTTGTTCATGTCTTAAATCTTGCTAAATCGTGGCTGGAGATACTCCTACATGTGAGAAGCTATTATGTTGATCATAATGTACAACTGCCTGTTTTATAGCACCTAATTTTGTATATGGTTTGTTCATCAACAATCTGCCGGTCGGTTTGACCGAATGTTTGGATATTCGATCAAACTGAAGGTCGAATATTCAAATAATGAATTGCTCGAATTGACTCAGCCCTAAAATCGTCATTTCGTGCAGTGCTGGCGCTATTCTCGATCTCCATCTTTACCTTCCAATAGATGCATCATGGAAAGATGTTCTGTCTTCTCTTTACTACCTCACGGAACACGACGACAAGAGGGACAACATCAAAGCCGACATACGACACATCTGGAATTCTGGTAACCCTGACGACCATCCCACTAACCACCTCATCTTGCCATGCTTGTCTGTCCGCTCAGCCTTTGACTTGTTCCTTCGGGTGAAGAGATACCCTCCTGGCTCCGAGATCCTGATGACGGCAGTCAACATCCCTCAGATGTTTCACATTGCCCAGCACCACGGCCTGCGCGTTGTACCGCTGGACATCAGCATCGACACGCTGGCCCCTAAGGTGGATTCCCTGGAGTCGCTCATCAACGAGAACACGGTAGCGGTGGTTATCGCCCACCTGTATGGCCGCTGGTCGGACATTGACGACATCATCAACGTCTGCCTCAGTCACAACCTCACCGTCTTGGAGGACTGCGCCGAAGTTTTCTGCGGACTCAAGAAACTCGGACACCCAAAGGCGGATATCTCTTTTTTCAGTTTTGGCGCGATCAAGCCCAGCACTGCCTTTGGGGGAGCTGTGGCTAGAGTGAAGGATCCCGCATTATTCAACCAAATGGAAGGACTGTATCACAGATACCCTGTCCAGAGCAGAGCCACGTACATCAAGAAAATCCTTCAGGTCGTAGTCGGGATGGTGGCGCTCAACACTCCGACACTCATGAGGCTCCTTCTGCCCATTCTCCGAGCAGCCGGTGTTGATCACAAGGAGGCTGTGGTGTCCATACTGAGGGGGTTCCCCACCGACTTTGTTAATGGAATACGTCAGCAGCCGTCAACTGCACTACTTAAAATGATGCTGAAGAGGCAAGTTTTACCCCTTAGAGTCTGTTCTGCAGGGGGAAGTTGTCATCCCCGCTTTCCACCCCCCCTCCCGTGGGGGGACACATTGCTGATTTTTTTTTTGTAAGGAATCAAAAGCCACAAAACTTCAGTTCTAGCACTTGCTTCCAGAGACGGATGATTTTTCTGCAAATAAGAAAACTCTGGATAATCGTTTGGTAAAAATCCCCATTTGGTGTTGTCCAAATCTTTCAATTTCCATACAATTTTTCACCTGCTTTAGGGGGGTCCCTTCAGGACAGTCGTCTTTCTGGTACTTGTAAAGACCGTGTCCGCGTGGTGTTTGGGTGTTGAAATATTCCAGGAGTGTCTCTTATTCTAGGGGTGTCTCTTTTTGGTTGACAGATTTCAGGGTTTTAACGAGGCCGATTGCCAAGAAGGCACAGAGAAGTGTGACTTTGTCAGCGTGCGTCTTCCCCAGAGCGCACAGCACGTCGGTATGGACGTTGAGACCAGAAGCTATTGGCTTTTCCCCATACTTGTGGTGAGACTTTCTTAGTATTTTTTCCCTTTAATGGTTTTTTTACAAAAGCAAATACCTCTCCCCCCACCAAGTGGTGTAAATGGTGTCAGTGATTGTAACCCTGAAAGGTTTGTTTGATTTTTTCCCACGTTCCGTATTTTTTGAAAGTTGGCATGCATGTAAAGATGTTCATTTCGAGTTTATTTGTGAAGCTTCATTTCAATCCCACATGGCGCTTGGTTCTTATTGTCAATAGCTTACAGCCTCTTACATGTACATGTCAGCCCGAGTGGAATGGAAGGCATCATTGAGCACATAAAGTTGGAAAAGTGTTTTTGTCTAACCTGTCTCAGAAAAATGGGCCCTTTGTGAGAACAGTATATCCAGTTTTCATAAAATTGTTGTCAAAATGATTTTAAGATGTTGGAAAGGCTCAGTAGAGGAAAAATTGCATTGTGACATCAGGCCAATGGGAATGGATTCGAGCAGAGCTTTCAGAGCTAAACCAAATTCTGCTGTCATAAAAACGCAATGGTGGACAAGTTGTTACATATCGCTAGATTTTGCACTCCACACAAGTGGCAGGGTACGCTATGTAGAACCTGTACAGTCGTTTGCCCAGCACACTGCTCTGTGCAACAACATCCAATGTTTCGTTTTGTTGTCAGAAGCAGGGTCCTTATTTGGTTGTGTCAGATTATGTTGTGTCTAGCAGGGTGCCAAGAGAAAACCCGAGAGGTGCTCACAATGGATATACAAAAAGGCAGAGGGTTTCTCAAAGAATTTTGAGATGTAGTGGTGAGACGCAGCCAGAACTAAACTTCTTGTAGCAACCAACTTTTTCAACTTCCATTTTGTGTAATGGGACAAGTTTTGAGAATGTGGCCAACGCAGTGAAGCTGTCTTTTCACAAACACAACTGAGCAACCATCTCTACCCTCAACAGGTACCCATTTATGCTCCTGGGTGGAGAAAGCCACTTTGGAGTAAAGTGGCCTGCCCAAGGTCACATCATGTGACCAGCTGCTGGACTCGAACCCCCAACCATGTGTTCAGAAGTTACAACCACTAACCACCAGGCAACACACCGCAGTTTTGGAAATTGTCAAAGAGCAGTTCTTCAACGTTGCCACTATTGAATGATGTTTACATGATGTTTCACGGGTCAGTTGCTTTTGCCAGTGAAGAATCCAGCTTGTTGAAATTTGTATCTTTCCATCCGATTACAGCATGAGCCAGACAAAGTACTGAAGGAGTTGAACCGGAGAGGAGTGGATGCCTATCGGGGCGCGACCCAGCTAATCTGCTTCGATTCGCAGCTCGCGGGTCCCGCTGCTACCGACCCGCTCCAGCCCGGCCAGGCAATATCAATCCCTCCGGACGAAGCACGCTACCTCATGGATCACGTGATCTACTTGCCTGTGCATAAACGAGTGCCGTATCACTACCTGGAGAAGATCTGTCTTGCCGTGGAAGTCGTCCTGCGGGAGGAGACGACCTCACAGCCATCCACAAAGACAATGCAAGTCAGTGGTAAGCCAGTGATTTTAAGCAATGGACATGTGAAAGTTGAGAGTAAATTGTGAGACACAAAGGTTGCCAATTAAACCTAAATATTGTTAATCTATCAAATCTAACTCCAAAATTTGCATATTGTCTACATTTTGAAATTTCTACGTTTTGAAGCAACTTTTGAGGCCAACTTCTACTGAAATGAAAATATTTTCAGAGAAAGGTTTACTGAAATGAGAAGTATGGCTCCTACCATAATTAGTACATTTAATATGGAAATATATTCGTGTGTTACAAGTCATTTTCTGCCAAGATCACTTCTGATCTTTTTTGGGATGCAGCACACACAACAAAGTGCGATTAAATTCTGTCACATGGGCAGAATGCCTGACTTTGCAGTGGGTTCTTTGCAGACGCGCGCGAGTCATCACTGCATACTCGGTGTTCTTTTGTCACTGATCTTTTGTCACTCGCTGACACCAAATAAATCACAACACTTCATATTTCAAAAGCAAGTCCAGTGATTGGACATTGCTATCAGGGCATTTTGCATGTAACAAAAAAAAGCACAGTTTGAGTCATCGGTTTTTGTATTGAATGTTTTGCTTTGCAGTGATGGATATTTAAAAAACATCGTATACTTTGTGTTTTCTGAAAGCTTTTGAAGAAGAAAAAAAATGACATCCTTGGCTAAGATCTCAGCCCCCAATCTTTCGCTCACTAGCGCATACATCTTACCACTGAGCTTGCCGGGTTGGGCATCTTTTGAGTCGGATGAGAAGCAGGCACTGTGCCACACATTTCAATAAAAACAAGTCATCAATCCTCTTTTCTGTGGAACGCTAAGACTTTGATGGGAAATATGTAAACGTATACAGTCAGAAGTGCCCTCTGGAACCAGTTAGGCAAGGGAACCAAGCATTGCATTCCTGGTTCCGTTTTATTGGTTCTAGTACCCAGAACTGACTTGCTAAAATTCCAATGTAGTTCCAATTCCAATTCCAACTGTCCTTCACTTTAGTTCTATGAGTGTATACAGTGTATGCTGGTTTCCCCTGCTTTCAATTTTTTAGTCAAATTTGCAGATGGTTGGCACTTTCGTTTAGCATTTTAAAATCCTTTCTTAAAAATCTCAGTTTTCTTTCACCAAAGTCCCAGGCTGTTGCTGTTGGGTTCTCAACTACTTGTAAATGCTGAGTTGTCAGACAAATGGCTATTTTAATTAATGCCTGTTTACAGTAGAATTTTCTTTTGTTCAGAAATATTGAGTTCCTTTTTTTTGTGGGTAGCCACCTAGTGCATGAAATGATAATTGTCTGTAACGATTGGCAAAAGTGGGCATTTTATTATACTTGCGCTGTTTGAAGAGGTAACGTCATATTGTGTTGTTGTGGTAGGGATCTTCATTTGTACAGGGTGTTATTTTTACTTTGCAACACGCAGTGTGTTCAAAGTGTGGTTTTTACACTCCATCCATGTGCGTGCATGCAGTTGGCCGACCTGCACTGGACAGAAAGTGGCAAAAGAATGGTCTGGAAATTGAAATTTCACCGATGAGACATACATGTATGCTGTGCAATGCTGGTACTGTTTTACATATCAATTATTAATCAGATACGTAGCCAAAATGCTTCTTTTCGGGGGTGTAGGTTTTTATAAATGCTGAGTGCCGTGTTTTTTTTTTCATTTCACATTGTGTGATCTGCCCCAAAAGATCTGAAATACAGACAAACTTCACAGTTCAAATTCATGCACTGAAATATTTGGAATGGCAATTTTTGTATATCTGAAATAGTTAAATGTATATGGTATATCAAAGTAACTGACAATTTTATGTCCAAAAAAATTGTATTTCCCAAAAATGTTTATTCTTAATGCGAACTAATATTGAGTTTTTTTTCTAATGGTTACTATACTGTAAATTTATCATGCAGCAATATTTATCACAGATTTAGTTTCCTTTAATTTTGTTTTAAATGCACTCTCTGTATTTTGTGCCTGAAGTCTTTGCAGTGTTATGCAATTTGCTTTGGATAGTGCTAGTTTTTATTCAGTACAGTTGCTTTCAAACTAGCAATTGTCTTTGCAATGTTCAAAGAGTCCATGCGACGAATTTCTCTTCGACATTCTTTTACGCACCTGTAACCCCCTCTCCCCTTTAGTGCATGTACTTGACAACTTCTGGAATAAAAGAACGCTATTTCACGATTGCCCAGCTTTTCTAGACAACTGAGGGCGCTATCGCCCCATGTCAGTGAAGGAAGGCACTGTTCAGTAACTAGGGTTTTCTTTTCAGATTCTGCACCCGAACGTTGCTCCTTGAAATTTTTTTTAGAAACGATTGCTTGTAGAACAATGAATCACAAAAGAAAAGAAAATTTAGGGTTGCCAAATCTACCAATTTCTTGCAGCTTTTGTGCACAAATCAATGCAACGTGGAGATGATCTCCCAGGGATGACAACACAGTTTTGATTATGAATATGCAAATTTGTGCCAGCGTAAAAAAACTCCAGAAAAGTCGCCAAAACATCTTTTAAAATAGCAAAAAAAAATTGAAAATAAGGTGAGTTGTTACTCATCAGCGAGGGGTGTCACTGTTTTTTTATTCCCCACCCCAATTTTATTCATTTTTAATTTTGTAATGAACTTTCTGTAATACACGCAATTTAAATAAGTATATGCAAAAAGGAAAAAAACTTTTATAAAAACAGGTAACGTTAGATTTGCTAAACCGTGGGTAAATCTTTATGGCCACTTTCAAAATGTTTATTTTCACATTTTTGGAATAGTATCCCCCTGCCATTTAGTATCTTCATTTTATCAGCAGCGAAATAACATCAACAATAAGAGGGCGTTTATACACAATGGACTTTTTTATCCCATTTTACCCAATGTGTTACGTCTTATTGAGCATGGGAGCCAGTCCGGTATTTAGTGAGGATAGTAACACAGTTTTTATTGTGATTAGAAATCTGACTACCAAAAGCTATGCATTGTTTAAAAATGCCGAAAAACACAACCATGTTTGAATTCAGTTATGACAGTTTCTCCAAACCGGTGGCTGGTTGTAAGTCGAAATGCGTGCATTTTTACTCAAAGTACTTAGTTAGCATAGCTTCAGAATTCAAGTTGTCGCTTTTTGCTGTAGATTAGCGTTTCGTCCAGGGCATAATTGGGTATAATGTTCAGAAATTTGCCACAAATATTTATGATTTATATTACTACAAAAATTTATTATTTATATTATTTAAGGTTTTATTCCATATAATTTTCATTCTGATAAAAGTTTAATACCGTGAATGTTTCTTTCGATATATATAATCGAGTTTTAACAGGTGCATACAAGAGACAAGTCATTTGAATGACAAAATTGTTATTATTAATGCCAACATACAATTTCCACTTGATCATGATGCCTTACATGGCGACGGATCGCAAAGATTCATTTACATTCACGGGGATGGAGGGATATTCATTAATAAACCATTTTGACTAATGATCCCTTTTGTCTGATTAGTTGACAGTTTTGTCTCTGAAGGCCTTGAATTCGTTGTTGGCAAATCAACTGTACGATTTGGTAACATATTGAAGTTTCTATAAATTCTGGGAATTAAATAATTTTGTCTGGTCTTGCTTACTTGCCTTTGTCTTGACAATCTTGTGTTGAGATATACCCCAACACTGAAAATGGTGGTTAATCCGTTCCCTTCCAAACCCCAACGACCCCACCCGCACACCCTTCCCCATTAAATCTTTGCGTCTAAATCACCCTTCAAAAGTTTTTACAAAAAAGTTACCCAAAACTGTGCAGAAAACATGGGCTTAAAAGTCCCCAATAGGCGTTCCCTTGAACTTTGTGTGTAAGTCATTCCAACTTTTACTTCCATATTATTTCCACGCATCAGTGACCGGCCCCACGCATCTCTCCTCTCCCGTCCGGAAGGGAGTACCTACCCAGAACTAGTTCTTCACTAGACCCGTAAACAGGGCCCTACGTATACTCTGTTGATATCGACGAAGGTGTATACGTTGGGCCCTATTTACGGGTCTAGTACATTACGGGTGTAGTACTTTACCATCATTTAGGGGGAACTTAGCAGCTCCAAAATACCTCCTCCAATAGCGAAAACAAAAACCTCACACCTACGGTAGCTCAGAAGGGACGTTGCAAATTGTGAAAACTGACGTCAGTCACCGTCGTCAGTTTGAACATTACGTGGACACAGAACACCAAATTTATAGAATCCGTTTGTAAAGTAAAGTAGCTCCCATGTTAAAGTAAGCGAGGGTAAATAAACCATAAAATCAATATCAAGAACGATTGCCCCTTTAAACCTCTGCCAGCTCCTGTCGTCGGATCCTGATAACATGGTGCGTCGCCGTCGTAAATGGTCACGCGACCCTCAACGCCTATTTTGATTGGAGAGTAAGCCTGGAGATAGTCTGACGTAACGTCTACATCCAGGTCACCTGAAAACAAAACGATCGCGATGGATTTTGGTTTAATTTAAATAACTCAGTAGTGTATTTAATGATGAATGTCTGCTTGCTTTTCATGGGCGGGAGAAAATGCAGTGAATGTGACATTTTACAAAGGGTGAATTTTTATGGGCGCAATGGTACAAGTATTTTGTCTAGATTAGAGTAGAACATTCCTCTGATTGTATGAATGTGAAATACGGGCGTTTCACAATAGCGCGCCTCCAGGAGTGTGCAACGCATTGGCCAATCACAGTGCGCGAAATCTGTCAACGGTTTGGATAGGGTCGACAGATTTTGCGGATTGTGGTTGGAGGACGCGTTTCAAACGCTTGGGGCGCGCTATATTGCACACTATTTGTTCGTTTTAGGCAACGCCCGAATAAATACTAAATCCCGGCATCCGATAAATCTTCGATACATTCCCGCTTGATTACATCCTTGCATCATCCACAAGTTCAGGGATTTCATGAACCGCGCAATGGACCGATCTATTTACCGGTGAAAGCCTCTTTTTTTTCTACGGCACGGCTTCGCCGTGCGTTGGGATGAATCATTCAATTAACGGCCAATATTAGTGACCTGCCAATATTAAAAGCAATTTGCGAGTTAAATTTTGAATATAATTGTGTGCACTGAGTTATCTGACTGCACATAAACATAATATTTGAATTCCCCCGATGAAAGACACTGTTGCTATACTTCGTGATTTGGGGCAAGCTTTCGCATAGCGACCACCATCTCTGAAATGGACTGGTTCCTTTGTGCCGTTCTTATCCATTGAGAACAGTGTATTGTTGCAAGGCGTCTCTTATGTAACAAAGCAAAAGCTTGCCCCGAATCACGAGGTAGGCTAGAGCAACAGTGGTTTTAGTAAGAAGAATTCAAATTTTTATGTTTCGTGAATTTATAGAATTCAGTGCACCAGATTTGGATCAAAGTTAACTCGCAAAAGGCTTGCTGGTAGCAATCAAGTTAACTGACGTCTTCTGACGTCATCGAGTGAACTTGAAGACGACTTGAATTGCATTTGTATGGTTTACTGGAGTAAAGTGTATGACCATCTTTAGCTGCTCAAGTACTTATTTTCAAAACAAGCAGGCCGCCTATGTTGTTCCCTTTACAGATATGGAAAGAAAAGGTAACTTGCCTCACGTCGGTTTCCAGTATTTACAAAAATAAAACTTTTGTCGTCTGAGTAGAATTTAAAAGTATTCAGAAAAGACCAGTGTTCTCTTACATTGCCCAGGTGTCGCTATAGAGTGGTCTCCAAAGAGTGGTCTTCCCAAACACAAACCGACGAAAACTATGCGTGTGCAAAATAAAGTGACATGGTTACCTCTGACATGACTGAGTTTGTTTTCATCTATCGAGAAGCCGTATCCACCTCCCGCCATGTAGCTGTTCATTGCAACTCTGTACACCCTCTCCATGTCGAGAGGTTCGTACGAAGGGACATCACAGTTGGCGCAGCGGACATGCGCGCTGAGAACCCGATCCCCTATGGGGCGGCTGACGTCATACGATACCCGTAACCCTGACGACGGAAGACGATACACTGATCACATGAGGCTTATTGGCTGGTGAAATTTGCAGGTTTGCAAGAAGGAGAAAGTAATGTGGAATCATGACAGATTGCCTTACAATCACTTGCCAACATAAACTACACAATCAAAAGATTTGACTGGAAGGTGACTTAACTCGCTCAGGGTCACGGTCGCCACTGATTGGTTATGTTTGGGTTTTTAGGGCGTTTTTACTTTTTGACTCACCTGACGTTTGTAGGAACTCTCCAGCACTCCCACCAGCCTCGTATCTCCTCACCGAATGCTCCAATACTTCCAAAAGGTGTCGACCCCTGAGGTCGAGGACGTCAATAGTGTTACCGTAAGGCATGTTCAACAGGAGGTCATTGGTGGTGATTTCACCTGAAATTTGCAGGCATATATAAGTACAATATGAAAAAGTACTTGGTAGCCTTCCCTGAGTCCAAACCGACTGTCTTGAGACAACGGATCAGCTTTTATACATTGACTTCCTACATAAAGAGCCCAAACATCGACTTTGTCCGAACTACCTGATTGCCATGGCTTAAAATAATGCATGCGTCAATGGAACATTAATGCAGCCACTATACCTGATGGCTTCCATGAACACGCATGTGATTCCCAGCCGTAGCCAAGTAATGCGGACGCTGCTACCCTTTCCCTATATATTCTGGATTCCGCTTGCAACTTCCCGAACGTGGACGGTTGTGTTAGCTTCAGACAATTTCGACTGTTTCATTCCAGTGCGTAAGCGCAATGTCCCATTAGAAAAACCCTTCCGTATAAATCAACTATTTTGGCAAAGTCTCATCGTCACTCACACTTTGTCCTTGCTTTCCACTCTGCCAACTTTTGTCATTTTTTCAACCTCGTGTCAGATATGAGCTGTCTGCAAAGTCGGCAGTGTTTAGATTAATGATGTTTTCCCTCGAGGAAGTAGACACCCCGGATTTGTACATTTTCACTTTTGCAGCATGACAGTTTCTTACCACTATAATGTCTGCTTCCTACAGTAAAGCTATGATACTTTTATAAGGGAATAAATGTGTGGCTCGGGCATTTCTTGCGTCCATTCTCCTGAGCTGGTCTCAGACGCAGGAGTAAGACCATTACCGGATTTGTGATTCGCAGTGTGTCCCCCAAAACATGCAACCAAACGTTGTATTCAATTTCTTGCATTCATTTTCTCTCAGACTAATAGAGGTCATTTGTATGATTTGCATGAAATTAAAAGCTGACGGTGTTTTCTATTCCTACTGACTATTTCACTTGCATGCCACGCTGCGATGCAGGATATTTTTTAATTCCGTACCGCAACCCTGTCCAAAGAAGCTATGAACAGTTTATTTCGCAATGCATAGTTTTGGCCAATCAGCGGTCGAGCGACTGGCACATGGCAAGTTTGGGTAAGAACTACAGTTCGACCAGCAATCAATGGGTGTGTTCGATTACCTTCCTTGAATACACCAGTGTTACACTCAAGGGAAGCCTCAAAACGAGGCTTATCGAACGCTGCAGTGTGTTTTCCAAGGCATTCTGGGGTAAAGGTTGAAGTTCCCGCCACGTTCCATCATGTACGTCCATGCTCGAACAGTTCATCCGTGACGTCATTACACTCGGGCAGCCTCCAGAGACCCGTTCGCCAGCTGGGGATAGTGGTGGCTGACACCAGGGCAGGCACGAAGATCACGTGGTGGCTAAACGAACGCTCTCGTGTAAGTTTGACTTACACGTGTAAGCTAAACGAACGCACCCATAGACTAATCCGATTAGACGCCATAAGTGCGGTGGCACCGCACTCACACGCACATTCTTCAGCTTGACGCGCGCGTGCATTTGGCAAATCACGACACCCTATTGGTCGAAAAGCTATGTAACGCGCGCGTACCACCTGTCCACGAGCGTTGTGCCACTGCAGTAATGGCTTTTTATTCTGGAGGTAGAATTACACTATCCAGTTCGTAAGTTTGACGTCACTTCAGTTTAAACCACGCCCACTGCACACATGCACTGCACATAGGGTTACATGCACATGATTGCCGTTTACATGGAACCGTGGAGCTGGAAGTTAACGCGCACTTTCAGCAATTGTCCAATGAGAGCCTGCAAATCGTGGCGCGTTTGCCTTTGTGATGAAGTCACTTTCGAACCGGATAGTGAACTTAAGTCATCGCTCGAACTTGCCTACAGTGGTGCCCTTCCTTGTCGTACGTGCCTTCGAAACTGTCCGCTGTGGGGCGCTTTTGTTACGGTGGAAAGTCAGTAATTTGTTACTTTGTATACCGAGAGGCGTTTTGTGTGTTAAGGTAAAATGTCGCTCGGTATATCACTGTGTAAAAACGCTTTTTGTTCCCGTTCGTTTGTATAAGTGAGCCCGAAGCGAGTAAACGGTCACCTCTGTAAATCTCCCCTTGCTTACCTGCACCCACCGCGTCATGTACAGTACATGTATATCGCTGACTCGCGCAACTGACCGGCTACATGCCTTGCCCGACCGCCGTACGTATGCCCCATGCACCAGGAGCTAAGCTATCGTGCCTGTCCGGTCTTCCGACCGACCATGCTACGATCGAAGCTTCATTGTAGGCTTAGCGGACCCAAAGAGCTGTAGCTCTTCGGACCACCGGCTCATCAGGCTTGACTTGAAACGGTGCTTATACGCTAGGAGGATACTGTGCGCATTGAGTATAGCCTGGGTGTGTATAGCTACATGTAGGTGGGGTGAACGTTCAGTGGTCGGTCACTACGCATGTAGTAACCGGTGACCAAGCAAGGTTACGGCAACCACTGCTCGCATAGGACACAAGTAGACAGTCTTGCGCAACGCTACTTTTTTCCCTTCAATGGTGCTCCACGAAATCAAGAACCTGAAATAAGTACAATATGACAGGCCTGTTTTAATAGCGTTGACAAACAGTTTGAACCAGGGACAGTAAGGCAAGCTGTACACTCTTTTTTATTTTTGCTTGTACAATAAATTCAGCAAACTCTTGCATTTTGCATTAGGCTGTTTTTGATCCTTTGCCTTTATTAAATACAATTTATCATACATAGTTTTTATCAATACATGTCACTTTAAAAAACCGATTAATCATGACGTCTCTCCGAAAAGGTCGCACAGATATTTTCAATTACATAAGAGCCTACGTTGGCATAATAAAAAAGGGCCTCCATTTAATATGTTCCAATGGACGTTGCAGGTGTATTTTTTAATTAATAGATAAAAGGAAGAAACATAATTCTGCTACTATTCCAGAAAACGAAATTCAAAGTCAGCTAAGCTACTTTCGAACTGAATGTCTTTTCTGTATCACCAAACACTTACTAGGCAGTACACGATAAACGGTAGCAGAGGACTGGTTATGCGGTAAGAGCTGGAGGAAGCACTTCGAAAGTTTCCGGGTTGTAAAATTGATCCTTTCCGCCTTTTCCTCGTGACATTCAAAATAAGAAGGGGGGTTCGAAGCGAAACTGCAAGTACATTTATATCAGGAACAAGAGGACGTTCTGGGAAAATAAATGCATTAGAGGAAAATAAAAACCAGCCGCCAGATTAAATGGGTAGTTTTTGTGTGTAGATTTCAAAATAGCATCAGACGTACGGGGCAAACCTATAGGGTTCCCTATTCTTGAAATTGGGCTGAAGTTTATTATGGCCGATTTCGATCGTTTCGTTCCCCGATCCATTTTACACATGTATTTATCGAAACACAGTGTATTTGATGACTAAAATGTGCAGGAGGCCAACTAGTTTGATATAATCACAAAGTATAACCTCGATATCTTTTTTTCTTTTGGACAATAGGCCTATCATTATAAGTCACTTCAAACTTCTCAGTGGACGAAAGCGAACACGAACGCGACATTACGACGTAGGATCAACTCAAATGTTTGCGCTGCGAATTCGCAAGATTTAAACACGTTCTAACCCAAGAAAATTCCGCTGCAGACGCCTCATGACGTCAACTTCCGAATTAAAATAGGCAATGGCCCCACAGGTGGTATTATATATATCTATATTTTGGAAACCCCATCGGAGCATAAGACTGCCTCGCTTTCGATTCAAGATGGCCGACTCGTGAATAGGGCCATACCTCCACCCAAAATTACGTCTTGAAATACATTATTTACAACAGGCAAATCTAGTATAAATGAAACTGCCTACAGACAATTTTAACAGAAAGTTTATGCATGTAATGTGAATGTTCTTACTTCCTTTTTCGTATTTCTATTTTTCCATCACAACTACAAAGTCTGTCACAGCTACAGAGACGAGACTTTCACAGACAAATGGTATCGGACTTCGGCACTTTAAAACATCGAGCATACACACTTTCTTCGGCTTTTTTACACTTAAATTGGAAAACCGCGCAATATTGCTGACAAATTGATTTTTGTCATCTTTTTTAAAATTTAGAGCAATTTCTTAAAGACAGTTCGATGACAGGCTGATTGGCATAGGATGACTGAGCGCTCCTTCGTACTTTCTATTCTTCCCACGCGCTTGATGACTGAGCAAGTTTTCGCCTCATTTGTAAGTGTACAATTTCGTGCGGTGTATTGCTTTCCGTCAATGGTTAATCCCTTTACCGTTAGCCTGTCTAAATAGGCCGTTAGTATGAGGAGCATCTGCAGCGTACCAAGGCTCTTAACACTGGGCCAAAGTGTGGATGCTTAGCGGCGTAAATGAGAGGGTTCACGCAACCACTGAGGAACAGCATCAGTGCGCTGTATAGTTGGTAACGGTTGCTCTTGGCGACCACCATGATGGCAAGAGGGGTGAAGCAGACCATAAAGGCCAACACCACCATGAAGAGGTTCTTGGTGATTGCCACCTGGTCGTTCCTCATGCGGCTCAGCTGACGGCAGCTCTCAGCGTGTCGCGGGACTCGGCGGCTTCTTGGCGCGCCGTCGTCCGCGTCCGGCACTGAAGTAGATGACATTGCTGACGGTGTGACCGTGGAGGACTGCAAACGCCCGCTGACATGTTCGCGGCGCTTCCTGAAATGTTTCTTAAGGTACCTCCAGATGACGATGTAGGAAACGATGATTGTGACAAAGGGTATCGGATAAAAGACTGCAAACTGGATCTTATCGTACGTTGCTGCTCTTGGGTGAGTATCGATGTCCGAGCACGTTCGACTCCCGGTATCGAAACCAAGGTCACCGATACCGGACAATGGCGGTATGATTGTGGCGCACAGAGGGACAAACCAAGAGCTGAAGACCATCAGGGCGATCTTCTTGGGTGTGTACAGCCACTGGTAGGTCTCCTTGGGCCTGGTGATCAAAATGCAACGGTTTAAGGCGATGTTCGCCAGGCTGTTGAGGCTGGATGAGACCGTCATGTGGATGACAGCTGCCGCTATGACGCAGGGAACATCGGTCGCTAACGGGTAGCCCGGCGTCTTGCTAACCATGCCGGGCACGCTCCACAGGAATGCCAGGCCTGAGAGGCAATCAGACACGCTCAGGCTGACCACGAACACGTTGGTGACGTTCTGGAGTTTCTTGGTTCGGGCCACGGCGACCAACACCAGGCTGTTGCCGGCGAGAGACACGGCAGTCAGGACGGACAGCCCCACGGCACAGAAGAGCAACTCCGGATAGGTGTACAGCGCCTCGGCTGATGAAAGGAAAGTCGAGTTCGTGGGAAACGCCATTGCTCCTTCAGTTGGAAGGTTTGGAACGTCAACAGGAAAAACAGCTGCTGTATTTAAGTGGAGCTCCATCGTTCTGTATACCAACCCCTTACAGTAACATCCCTATTTAAAGCCAATCTATGGTTCGGTTTCGGTTCCCTCTTTCATCACGTCTGGGGAAGAAGCGCACAGCACTCCAGAGGGTCGATCAGCCACAGAGGGTCAGCCGACATGCATTCTTTCGCTTTCAATTTCTGCTGCATAACACAAAAAGCCTCAACCGTCGACGGCGGTCCTGGAAACTGGTGGGGAAATGCTACTTGTCACGGTCAGTTTGTAAGGATAGAATTTCACGGAAAAAGAGTATTCTTGTTTCGGGATACAGACACTTTGGAGTTATTTTTTTATAAAGAAGGAAACTGAGGAGTAATGGTTGGCTTACATTCTCTCAAAAAATCGGTATGGTCTTGGCCCAGGCTTATAGAGTATATGCCAACAATACAGGGAGGGAGAAACGGAGCTTTAAAAAAATGAATTGTAGCTCACGTATGTTAATGCCCCTCACTTAGTTGTGCGCATGCGCACTGAGTCCACTGTAGCAACAGAAGCCAGTAAAATGGCTCTTGACTCGGGCAGGTGGACCCCAAAAGTAATCGATAAACATCAAGCTCAGATAAAGTTGTTTGCCCCTCTTTTCCATACCGATTAGAATTTAAACACTCAAGGTCCCTTTTGCTAACTTGCACACTGTAAAAATCCATTTTCTGCCAATTTTTGCCCCTTCTTGTCACGTACCTCCAAAGTAACAGAGTCAGAAGTTGGAAGTGAAGTCAACATTTTAGATTTTTTTTAAGATTTGCCGAGTTTTCCCTGACATTTCTCTACTTGTGAATAGTGAGGAATATCATGAACGCTCTAATGACAAAGTATCATACAAGAAGGAAACCGAAAGTTTTTGTTTGTGTCTTTTAGTCGGGCAATTGACATGTATTCGTGCAATGCAGTAGGTCAACTCGTACCAAAACGCACTCGTATCCAGGTATGTGTACATGTGCACCGTGCCCATAATAGGGACATTTTGGCCGCTGCCAAACCAGAGCGGAAAAATGAATCCGCATGAAAAACGAACTGCATTTCAGACAAAAGGCTCTCGATCTTGAAAAAAATGAGCTGATATATACAAAAAATGTATCCGTCTTCCAGACAGTATCACCGATGATCTGAAGGGAATTCGACAAAAGGGTGAAAATTGGGCACTAAGTAAGGTGAAAAACACGGAAAATGACGAAAATGGGTCCCAATGAAAAACGAAGTGAATTTCAAAAATGGTTTTCTCCCAAGACGTAATAACCTTTTTGTACATAAGAGTTACTAGTCTTTCATGAGGCATCAAAGTTATTTGAAGGTAAACTCGGCAAAATTGTGAAAAGTAGACACAAAGCTAGGTAAAGAAACGATAATCTTTCATAATTATACTTTGTCGTAAAATTGACATTTTCCACTTCCATTGATTACTTTCCGGCGATCTTTCTTACTAGAAGCTATTAAATATCACCATTTGATAGACTCTTGGCAATTTATTCACATACGAGGTCTTCAAGGGAAAGGGCAGTACAAATCCCTCACATGGGTCACCACCGGATGCGCGTCGTCTGCTAGAATAATTTTTCAGGCCGGCGACCATTGTGCCACTATTGCGCGTGCGCGGATACAAAAACTAAATGTGAGCTGGCATCATTAGCTGTTACAAGGGCTACCTGGCTTTAATTTGGAGGTACGGCGGGGTGTCGGGTCAGGGAGCTAGACTATGGACGGTACCGAACACCAGATGACGCTCTTTGTAGTAGCGGTAGCTTCGACCAACGTCACCAAAACTATGGGAGGACTGAATCTACACCTAGGTCGAGTTCGGGCGGCCTGTTCTTGACACGGGTTTCTTGTTCTCGCGCTCGATTGGCGGGAACACGTCCCAAGAACACTGTTCTCGGAACAGGATCACACACCACCTCCTCGTCAGGGTTTTACAGGAACACACGGAAAACTCGTGAGATTTTGATTTTTGAACAGGTGCAAAAATAGAGACATGGCTTCAAAAGCCAGAGACAATGGGAAGTTTTGCAAAATTAACATTAATTATTTTCCATAAAACGGGAACGAATATTCCTGTTTAAATAGAAAGAATTCAGCCCATCCAAATATTAACTCTCGAATAACGTACATGAACGCCGCCATGTTGCATATTGCTTGACACTAACTAACAGCAATAACCGGTTGTGTGTTCCCGGCGTTCGAGCGGCCGACACACGAGCAACAAATCGGGCTGTTCCTAAACATAGCCTAGTCAACTCTTTGGAACAAGGCCCTTGGGCATGGTTGCACCAACGGCTATCAATAGCCGACTTAATTTATCAGTACGGAAGGAACTGATCACAAAAATAATTGAAAAAATGTAAATTGGCTATGAACGCCGCGAAACTCGTACTCGTAGCCAACGGCAAACTGTGAGAAACAGTGAGACTTTACAAATGCATGTAGCTCGATTGGAGTTGTGCGGGCGTGACTGTACTGCGCGTGTGCGCGTATGAAAAGATAACTGGCCAGTGGTCCGCGCTTGGACATGGCCAGGACTAGTAGTTGGTCATAGTAACTGAAGGAAGTCCTGGGGTCGTTTATATTTCGTTGAGCACTAACAGGTGGCTAGAGCTACTCATCCTTACTTCATTAAAAAATTGGCGAGTCCTTAACTTTTCTGAATGTCTCTCTACGGCTACTAACCGTAGTGTTTCCATGGCAAAAGCCACAGTTGTAACCTAGCCGCAAAACATTCAGACCACCTTCCCACCAGGCTTTGCATGACATCTTAAGATGACAGTTTTTTGTAAGTCGTGATGAAATTATGGCAATTAACATTGCAGAGAAAAAGACAATTTTCAACTTGAATCCGGATGAAGAAAATCCTCTAAACTGACGGATTCACGATTGAGTTTTCCGTGCCACAGACATATCTCAGATGATCCTGACAGATGGTAACAAAACATTTCCAACTAAAGGATGATTAACCCGCTCTGTGTAGAAGTACCCCCTCACCGACAAGGACAAGAAAGGCTGGAGTTTGGAGGGGACAGTCAGCTAGTGCTGATAGCTGTAGAGGTTTTTCATGTGACGTAACATGACGGGAAAAAGCATTTCAGGAACTGCACCCATGTCCATGGATGTGCGTGCATTTTCAAATCTATGTATTTCTACCCAGTTCGTAAGTGTGACGTCACTTCAGTTTAAACCACGCCCACTGCACACGTGCACTGCACGTAGGGTTACATGCACATGGAACCGTGGAGCTGGAAGTTAACGCGCACCTTCAGCAATTGTCCAATGAGAACCTGCAAATCGTGGCGCGTTTGCCTTTGTGGTGAAGTCACTTACAAACCGGATTGGCAGTTTCATGTACGCTAGAGTGTAGAGAGACATTGAAGGCGCGCGCGTTTCCCCGCGCATCCGTGCAAATTGAACGTTGTCAAAAATGACATGACTGGAAATCTTCTATACTCCTGGGCGAGTAAGGGAATAGTGGAATGAATTGTGGGTTGCTCGAGGACACCATATGTGGACAGCGGTTAGATTCGAACCCCTCACCATCTATTCTTGAATAACGAACCCTACATACCACTATAGGCCGCCTATTCGGCCCCCATGTGCAGTTCGGGCTTTCAGGGAAACCTCTACGCTTCCGCACAGTGTCCAGTCTTAGTTTGAAAGTGTGGTTCGGAGTGCATGATAACTACGTGAAGGAAACCAGCGATCTTACCTTTTTTCACTTCGTTTGCTTTGACGCTTCCGGTGGTAGTCAGGGCAACTGCTACGCTACTCCACGATCCAGGGGTTCTGTTGAGGTGGGGTCCTAACATGGCGTCCGCCAGGAGGTTGCCCATGTTGCATTCAGTGAAGTAACAGAATTCGTTACCACGCAAGGGTACCAGCGTGCTACCAACGATTTGATTGGCGGTCACATCCACTGTTTGGCGCCACTGAAGTACGGCGTTCAGCGTTTCGGGATCTAGAAAATGACTTTCAAATTGAATCTTTCGAAAGTAAAAATTATAGTAACGGGAACAAAAGGGATTTTTACAATCAACAGTTTGAAGCATAAAAAGGGTACCCGGCGATCGATATCGACCACTAGTTAATGAATGGTCACTAATCGATCTTGAATTAGGACAGGTATTAAATCCACAAGACACCTGTATTTTAGATCTCCAACGAAGTTCAATTGTTTACCTTGCGGAACGCTGTTGTCCAGGAGAATCGGGTTCCCGCCAAAATTCGAGACAGCGCCCTCGTTGTTGAAAGTCACATCAAGTCGACCAAGGTACTTTCCGTAAGCGTAATCTGAAGCGACCAGCACGGTTGCCGCGGGGTCGTGGTCCGGCCTCACTATCAGTGGATACTCACTGTACGGTGACTCACTTGATGGAGGCGAACCTGTAACAATGAGAATGATTTTTCAGAAATCTACAAAAACCCACCATGTCTCATTATCTGAGGTAGCTCCGTTTTTTATCATTCCACATTTTCTCATTCGTTTTTCTTCTGAGAGTTTCATGCAGTACCGATGACCTATCCCACTGTGCACAGCTGTAAACACTTGTGTGACGTCATCAGTACACACGACTATTTCACTCGTCATTTGGGCGGTGCGAATGAGCAAATGTCTGAATAAACCTTGTCAACATTTGCTATGCGTCATGGGACTGGGTGGCAAATAGTTCTATACGCAACCCTATGATTATTTGATCTGACGTCAGGGATTCGCGTTTATGTTCGCTTTCACACCTCTTATGAGCCCACCTTAATGATGGCAGGCAATAGCCAATATTGATTGGTATTTGGAATAACCAATTCTTTGATACACAAATCTTGGCCATAACCATCACAACCACTGTAGACACGTTTTTGCAATACCTAATGAATTTTGCAAAAGAAGCAAATGAAATCAAACCAGATCAAGTCAAAGCAAAATTCAATCAAAACATAAGATCGGCATAACATTAGCAGATTATGTTATTGTTAAAAATTGACTTCGGGCGGGACGGTGGGGGGCTGCCCCATACACACTTGATTTCTGGTTTATTTTGTTGTAAACCAATTGAGGTGTACAACATCGAAAGAGATAAACCCGAGGTGAACGTGCAACAGAGTTTATTGTGTACGTACACAATAGAGAATGTGACCAAACAACACGGGCGATTCACAGTGGTGCGCCTCCAAGAGTTTGCAACGCGTTGGCCAATCACAACGCGCAAAATCTGTCGACCCTTTCCAAACGCGCATTGGGTGGACACATTTCGCGTACTGTAATTGGCCAATGCGTTGCAAACTCTTGGAGGCGCACTATTGTGAAACGCCCGCATTAACTATGTCGTATATAGGTCTTCGTAAGCAAGAGCACGCAAAACGTACCTGTGTACATAAACGTATTCGAGTGGCCACCTATCACCACATCGACACCACGCACTTTCTTAGCAATCTCGATATCAGTATCGATACCGGAATGGCCCAGTGCTATGATCGCGTCGACTCCGCTTTTAGTGAGGCTTTCGACAACCGGCTGCAGGGAATCGACCTCGGGACTGAAAATTAAGTTACCTGCGGGAGAAATGGTAGAATAACTGTATATAAGTTAAGCATTTCATTTATAGCTACAACACTTGCGTCACGCATCACTGAGCATCGTTGTCGATGCGATACATAATTAGGGTCGGAAGAGTTCTAAATCGGCTAGTATCAGCTGGCAGTTCGTTGGTCGGACCGTCTGCCTATGCACTGTAAAAACATTGGGCAAAATTATCCAGATGTTTTCAGTATGAAAGTTGGTCGTTTTCCAACGATTTACCCCACAGTTGGACACCTTGTGACCAGAAGTTGGGAAGTTGATATTTACACCAATTTAGGGCAATAGTTGGAAAAAAAGGGCCAACTTGAGGAGTAAAGATGTGCGTCGGATCGGATTAGAGAACGATTAAAGGAAAAATGCGAATCTGATCCCAACCCAACAGTCTTGGCGCAATCTGATCTGATCCGACGGCCTTTGTGGCTCATTCCGAATCCGATCCGAAACTGACAAGATGTGCATAATCCAATGAATACAAAACCAACAAAATCCGAACTTAGGCCGAGTCCGAAAATGGTTTCCAGAGCTATGGCTAGGTCTATTGTCTACCCGTCTCCGCACATTCCCAATGAAGGGAAGACCTAGACCTAGCTCTAGACAACAGATTCGGATGCAGCCTTTATATATAACTAAAAACCTGGTAGCCATTTTGGCAAGTCACCATTGTAACTGTAAATGGACAAATGGGCTGTTCCTGTTGACGACCGAAGTAACGAAATTGTAGACGAAGTTTAGGTCGCAAGGTCAGACGTCACCAGGTTTAGTCTTCTATAACCTCAAGTTAATTTGACCGCTTAATAAATAAACAGGAAAACGGAGGCTTTCATTTAATTCATATGGAAGCTGGCAAGTGTTTCTTCTTTAACAATTTTGCTATTTTTACCCTCTTTATATATTTTGAGTTTTGGCTTAGCGTTCGTTTTGTTAACAATTACTCTAACTGTTTTAAATCTTGCATCCATAACTATTCCACAATGCCGCTGCTGGCGGTGGCGAATGAATATTTGTTCAAACCAGTTTCAATTCAGTTCAATGAATTTATAAACAGGCTTCAAATTAATTAATCTGCAAATTTCGCGAACTCAAGTACCATAGTAATAAGTAAATGGCATGTCAGCCTAGCTATATTTGGTGTACTTATTTTTGGGAGTAAACGAAAAAACTGGATTGTGGCACTGCCTTGCCGAGCGTCTTTCCTGCGGGGAGTTCCATACCACGGGTTTTTTGCAGTGCAAATTGGGGCATAAAAAACGCGCGAAGCGCTCCTCTTATTTTTCATTCTTTGTAAATGAAATGTCTACCGGAATCAGCTTTTTGATTTCGAAAATCGTTATGATACAGTGCTCTTTACCCAGCGACTTAGATCTTATAAATACTAGCAAAATCAGTCTGATATGTCAAAGAAACACATTGAATATGTGTATACACGAGGGGGCGGGATCCACTGTGTACGCCGTGCGTCTCAGGAGGCTTCTGATAAGGTAGCATTTTTTGGGCAAACGTGGGTGTACTGTATTTCGAGACTTTCTCGCGGCCCCTCACCCGATTTCGAGTACTTCGGTGTGTCTACCAAGGTGTAACCCACGATGCCTACTCGGTCCCCGCTCGCTAGCGTTACCGTCGACTGGCAAGCGTACAGTCCACTCATCGCTGCCTCGCCCGAGCTGTTGATGTTGCAGCTCAGGGCGGGAAAGGTGGCATTTTGAAGGAAGGGCACCAGACCTTCAATGCCGATGTCGAACTCGTGGTTTCCGAGTGCCTGTGATAAAAAAGGAGAAGTAAATAAAAATGTTCAACCTTTGATCATTAATAATGGTCCATGCGACTGTTGGATATACATTTTTGTGCAACCTCCTTCTCCTCTTAAATGGATGACACCAGTTTTGACATCCTTTATTGTGCTGAAACTTTGTTATGCACTTCTTTATAAGATTGGAGTGTTTTTAGACAGCTGTAGGCTCGAATGATGTGAGGTAATTGTTACAAATTTTTGACAGAAAAACAGGCAAACTTCTATCACATTTTTGCGCTGAAATAACTGTAACATTGATGTGTCTGCGCAAAACAACGTCACGTTTGCTCATGAATATGGATAATCCCCCGCTCTGACACCAAAATAAAGAAATAAATGAATGACATGACAATTATAGTGATAAAATGATTAATAACAGTCTAATAGACTGCCAATGTGTCCGCCTATCTGCAATAATCAGACATAACAATCTGGCACCTGAAAAAGTTGCAGTTTTCCACATTTTTGTCAAGTGAAGAATTTCTTATGGTGTTTATTTTCTGGTCTGCAATCTCGACTACCACCAACACTCTCGCGAGGGCATTGCGAGGAAGGTGAAAAGCATGATCATAGTTGTAGGCCACCCGAACGCTAGGCGTTTTGTGAAGGCATACACACAGACATGCATATAATTAACCCATAGACGGACAGCTCCAATTCAAAATAACGGCGGGATAACAGAGCCGAGACGGCACCCGACTAAATCCAAAAGCGTGGGCAATTTACACACCGTTGAAGAAAGAATTACAACCATAAAATTCTATAAAGCCATTTTTCGATTGTGACAAAATCCTCTGTTAACCTAATCTGGCCATAAATATTCGAAACAATGTCGTTGCAACATTTGAAATGAAGAGACAGCAGTACCAAAGAGTAAAAAGGGGAACGTATTTTTAGAGCACTCGTAAACAAATACATGCATTCCCAGTGCGTCACGCGCAATACGATCGATACACAATAGTGCACCTCCAAGAGTTTGCAACGCGTTGGCCAATCACGATCGCAAAATTTGTCGGCCCATTGCGCGTTTGGAAAGGGTCGACAGATTTCACGCATTGTGATTGGCCAACGCGTTTCAAACTCTTGGTGGTGCACTATTGTGAAACGCCCGTATTCGCACTCAACGCGCTGCCATTCGTCGTTTCGCCATTGTTTGCCCACACTTTTAGCATGCGGGGCAGTGGAGAGCTGGATGGTCCAATTCCTAGAAGGCGAGCTGCAGAGAGCCCATTGAACGAAAGCAGCTCGTGTTGGTTGATTGTACAAATATTTACTCACGTGGCAAAATTAAAACTAGTACACGTGATCGGCACAGTGCATGCACATGGAACCCACACGCACTCAGAAGCTACCAAAAATACTCCTCCAACAAAAGACCAATTGTAAAGAAACAATCGCGTCTGCAGGGATCGCCGACCTTCTTTTGGATTTCAAAAAGGCAAAAGGCTATCAACATTGAACTGGAGATGTGCAAACGGGCACTGTGTGAGGTGACTAACTCAAAAAGTATTATTCTTTGCATGAAGAAGCAGACATCGACGTTTCGATCAGTATCGGCGATTAAGGCCGTTATCAGACTCCAGAGAGGGGTGCAGGGTTTCTCAGGTTCCCCGCAGAACCACACTTGGCCTTTACTCACTTCACGGTGTGTCTGCCTGCCAGTCTCCCAACTATTGTTACTATAGGCCTACTTGTATGCAAAGCTTAAACTAGCTTTCATCTGTATTAAGCCAAGCCAACATTAGACCAGTGAACTGATAAATTTCAGGAAAGCCACCCTCCTGTTTGGAGCTCTCGGAGAGCTTTACCATATTTTTATGTTTTTGCAATGTGAATTCATGTGCATAGCCTTATTTGTTTCGACTCACTAGATTACTAGTGTATGTTGGTATATACAGGCCATATGAAGTTGCCAAAGTGTGAGCAAATGAAATCTTACCATTGCATCGTACCCCATCATGTTCATAAAGTGCACCGAAGCCTGTCCTCTGAACACGTAGAACCATACGGTCCCTTGGAACCTGTCGCCGGCGTCCAGCAGCAGAACGTTTTGCTCGCTTTGCCGGATCTCCTTGACCTTGGTGGCCCGCCTGGCCTCCCCGCCGTAGCACGCTCCGGCCGCCGCCAGCTCGGCCGTGCATACCCCGCCGGACTCGCCGCTCGTCTGCTCGAAGCGGGCGTGCACGTCGTTGGTGTGCAAGATGGTCAAGTCGAAGGAGGTCACCAAGGCGCACAGGTGGACCAAACACAGGAGCAAAACTGCCTTTGCCAACGCCATGACCGTGATCACTATATCTCGATCCAAGCCGTGTTCATGTCAGGAATGGTACGAGAGCGCCGTGGTACGCAAAACTCGATACTGGATTGTAAGAAATGTGTCGGCAGGTAGGCCTATACACAGATTATGACGGCAAAGGTCACAGTTTTGTGTTTACATAACGAGATTATGATCACATATACCCGTACCAATCAATCGTGTTGAAGTATTTATGTGCCAGGGCATATGTACTACAACTTAAACCGAAACTGCTGTAAAAAATTACAATGGAGACTATGTTTTCCCCCGACACCCTTGCCATTTTTTGGAGGAACTGAAAGCGCCAACAATTTAGAAACAGCACTTTTCTTAAAGAGGAGGATTTTTTACGGACGAAAAAAAAAGGATGTCCGTTTTCAGAACTTGAAGAAGTCCCAGTTTACTCTATCAACCCAAGACCTGGATACATCACTGAAGAACAAGCTAAACACAATCGAGCCCGGAGGCGAGCTCTTGCTAACGAGGAATCACTCCGCGATCCAGGTGTAATGCAAAGCTCCCACCCTCCTACATTCTAGGGAAATGTGACAGTAAAACTGGGACTTTTTCCGTCAAAATTAAGTAAGCCAATCGTCCTTGGTTTCTCTTCAATATGATAAGAAGTATTCACAATTCTCTACTTGGCAAACATGAGTTCCATGGGTGTAAATCCCACCCCAGTTTAGACTGGGGAATGGACCGTGGCACCACCCAACCACCCATCCCCAGTTTTATGCCAAACAAAATGAAAGATTATAATCATCCCCGTGCAATCAATAATACTTAATAGGAAACAGAAATAAAAAGTCAATTCGGTAATGCATCATTGTAAGATGTTGTACTGGGTTTCATGGCCACGCTAACATAACGAACCTTTTCCTAATCTGGACGACTTTCAACAGTCCGGATTACTTACGGCAGTTCCAGAATACCTTCAGATCACACAGCTGTATTAGACTCATTACGAATGTCGGTTTCATTGGGGAAAAGATGATTGGCATATACATCGGTTACCCTTAGTCTGACACGTGATGAGTTAATCTCATGACATCGGGAAAATGCAGGATCCTATACGAAACCCACGGGCCATATGTGGTGTCTGAGGGACACCAACGGAAATGCCACATGGTTTTTTAGCCCCCCCCCTCCCCCGGCCCTCAACGGTCACACCCCATCCCCCACGCCACTCGCCCACACAAATTTACCCCCACCGATGAGGTACTGAGTTGACACGCAAAGCTCGAGGTTGCGATCAAAATCCAGTGTTTCTCGACTCTCATTCGCATCATAATTTTGAAGCCTTGAAGTTTAAACGTGACGCACAAGACAGGATAGATGGGTGGTCCAGTACAGACCTTTATCATGGTGCTTCCATGTTTGTCTTTTCCCCCTGTAGACCATTGATAATAGTAATACAACTTTTGGTATTGATAAAAGGGATCAGACTATTACTCCTTCCAGCCTCAATTTGGTTACATTACAGTAGAAAAGCAAGATGGCTGCATGATAGAGGTCTATTCCTGTAACACAGTATTTCCCATGGATGTATTACTAATTTGGAATTGCCATTTTGTTCTTGGCTGCTCTGATAACAGAAAGACGATGCTTCAGTCCAGCGCTGGGGGGGTTGTGTGGAAACATCGGCAGCTGGAGTTAGATTCAATCACCGGGACAGTGATAAAATTGATCTACGTGTTTAAGTAATCGATTTATACTGAGAAGCTTGAAGTGCAACAGAGTTAAATGCGCAACTGTGTGCAGCACAGCATACCCAATCCGCTCTGAAAAAACAGATGGCCCCCAAAGTCATCCAAATGTATCGTCGTTTGTTCGGCATTTATTTAGCCCTTGCATGCGCTCAACTCATCCGTATTACTACGGGTTGAACGACTCAACACCACCCGGCACATCACAACCAACCCGTCTCGCGGCTGAAGCGTGTCGCACACTTTCCGATTTCACATCAATATATAAATAAGACTTGTGGGGTACTGCCTTTGTTCTTATGTATCAAGGACTTAGTTGTGTGAAACGCTCTTTCCAGATCGCTACCATTTGAACCAGACTGTCTTTCCTGGGTTGATATTTTGGCCATTATCCTCTGTGTAAAAATACTTTAATTTCCGACGCATACGTATACTTGACAATTTCTCCTGTTTTTTTCCCAATTTATTTCGTGAAATTCCTGTAGAGTACAGTTAATTACCCCCAAAACACAACGGATGTTCCTCGTGGGGTACTTCCCAGTGCTCTCGTACCCCACAAGGCACTATAAACACACGCACTGGATTACAAAATAATGCATAGGCGTGCCTACATCAGGACAAAATATCTGAAAATATCTTCGCTGGATCCGTCACACGCTAACCAGTCTTTCCCACGATGGCCTGGCGAGATTGATGTCTTTTAATAGCATTTTTTGCTATGTGGCCTTTCTTTGTGAATCTGATTGGTAAAACATCGACTCCGGTGGAATGAATCGGAAATCTGTCCCCGGTAAAACCATAGAGCTCTATGGTAAAACTGTCCAGGGGACAGAATTACCTAGCTAAAAGTGTCCCCCTCCCCTGACCTGGTAAATCAGTTCTCCCCCTCCGGGTTATTCTGTCCCCTCCAGGAATTATGTCTCCCCTCTCGTTTCCCCACACAGAAGTTATTTCTGTGTTAGTTTGATAAATTCAGTCCACATGAAATACAGTTAGATTGTTTTTAGCCCTTCACCAAGCTGTCAAAAAGGGGGAACATGAGATGAGAAATCAACCGAGCCACGCCATTCTGCAAAAAATGAATCGGATAAGGGAGGAATCAGTATTCAGCAAACTTCTCGCACGCGAAGTACTAATAAGGCGCCTTTCCATATGCGCGTCAACACTTGCGCCAAGCGATGCGTCTCCGTCAAAATCGCTCCCGCATGAACGTATGGTGTACGCAACGCACCAAAACTACCAAAAACACTTCAAGCCACAGGCCACAAGCACAGTAAATCCATTACAATTTATGCGCTCACGATTCGGTCGCCATGGGTACCCGCGTTCAGGATAATTACAGCCCTCCTCGTTCAATCGCCGTGTTTTGACGTGTCGAACTTTCCAGAAAAAGCACGGTGTCCGTCTAAACGTTGTGTGAAAACAGTTTTGAAAAGACACAGTCTGGGTGACAGACTTGTGACGTTGAACGGGAGACAATTCGGGGGGGGGGGGCAAATTTATCGTTGGGCAGGGGGGGGGCAGATAGCGCCTCCACGTGACAGCCATGAAAAACGTAAAAATGCCGCGTGTTTCACTGTCAATTCAATGACCGCCAGAAATTTCTTTTAAACATCGCAAGTGTCGGCCAAGTCCCGTCTGCCCAAATACCCTAAAAGAGTGTTAAATCTTCGGGTCTGACTCTGAATGTAGCCACCTGCACCGTGCAACAACCTCATCTATTTTGAGAATAATATACCCGAGTTGGAAGTCGGCAAAATGTTCGATTTAATTATTGATATATTTCCACCTGTCGGTCTCAATAGCGCCCTCTTATCATAAATAAACGGTGGTATAACAAAATATTCATGACCTGGCGCGCAGGAATACGGATACTTGTACACTGCACCAAGACGCGTGCCGACAGAAGCACAATACATGGATACTGATTGGTAAAAGTCTGTGGAGGTCTATGAGGAACTTGTCCTGTAAAATAACTATTAATCACTGGATGTTTACGACATGCTCAGATAACATAGTTGTATGAAATTCAGTTGTGTAGTCTAGTTTATGTACTACGCATAATGTACGGTCAGATCGGTCTGGTCAGCACTTATAAGATGGTGCGATTGCGCGCGGCCCAGTGAATCGGTAAAATAGGCCCACGGATACGTGTGATGCGCTCTGGGATTTGCCCACAGGTGCCTCGGGGTCGACTCCAGCGCAGCGAAATTTCGCTATATTTTCGGTACTTTTTAAAAGTGAGGGCCGGCCCGTTCACAACAAAACATCCTCCTCGCTTTCACCGCCTCGCACTCTCGGCTGCGATGGGACGGTGCCTGGTAACATACTGGCGGAGGATAGGCGCTGCAGCGGGCCTGACTCTTGTGGGGCTGATGTCTATCGAGCTGTTCGTAATAGTGGGGAAGTACTCGGCCAGGAATTCAATTATCGAGGCGACAATGACGTGAGTTCATTTAGACTATACCTTCCCCGGTATTTGCAGAAAATTCGTGTACATGGATTACCTGAATTAAGTTGCTTTGGGGCTTGTTTACTTTGGTTATTTCTTCCTCACATTTAGAAAACAATTTTTATGTTTCCTTCACTCTTTTTTAAAACTTCGAACAAGGTGAGCACCATTCTAAAATGACCTCTACAGTCTCAGGAAGTTTTCATTTTCCAGCTCTGAAGTACTGAGGAGTCATTTTGGGGTAGGGAGTGTGACAGATTTGAAGAAGTGATCAACAGGGTTTTTATCATCGGAGAGAGAATGCAAAAAAAAAAAATTAAAAAATCGGAAAGTGTTTGAATTATTCACATAGCGTTTTGGAAATTATAAATATATGAGCATGTGGATCTTAGATTTCTGTGAAAATATTCTGTGCGTTTCGGTGTCCATGCACAGACTTCTTTACCATTATTTTTGATAATCGAAATTTAACAATTTGTTTTCATACCAAATGAATAAGTAAACTAAAATCTGCATGATTTTGGAATCGTTGTGTTATCCCTCACAATAAGAAAGCTATCACCTTTTCCTTGCTCACTTTACAATAACAATTCACCATATCGAAAGTCTGGAATCTTCAACCCTATGCCATCAGACACTGCAAGAGTGCCTACGAATCTCGCTTTGCGTGACGGGTGAACATGGAACTATCGAGGGCCAGAGACAAATCACACATAATGCACATCCAACTCCAGACTACATTGATAAACAGGCTGTCAAAATGTCACATATTGCACATATCGTTCTCTCAGGAAATTCTTGAAAATGTTTCAATTTCACGAGGTTATATTCCACTTTGGATGTACAGTGGTACAGGACAAGACAACACAGGTGAGATTGTTTTGACCTGGGCTACAAAAATCTTGAAATGTCGGCTGAAGGCTACGTTTACAATGTAAACGTTTCACTTTCGTGAAAACCGCTTCTGTGGAACCACTTTAACATTGTTTCTCAAAAACAAAACAATTGCCATGCTCTCTCTATCGCCAAAGCTACGAAAACTATGGTTTCGCGTAGGTTGACTGGTTCCTTGCACAAGTGTTTGGGTGATTTTTAAAGTACAGATCATTGGAAATGGTATTTATTTTCTAAACCATTCAGACAAGTATTTATTTTCTAAACCATTCAGACAAGTACGGCCTCTGGTACGGTATTCCAGAGGCCGCAGGTTCAAATCCCTTTCATCTCTATAATCATTCCTAAGCACCAAGTCAGTGTCCTTATATGATTTGTTTAACGATTTATGTATCCTCTTTGAGTGATCCCTGTTCACCGCTTCCCTGGTTGTATCGTGTGTAATTGGGGTGTGATCCCTGGCTATATGGTGTTTCAGGTTTAATGGCTTCTGGCTAGCGCCCCCCCTTTCGAACAGAGATACTGACAAATGGGAAGAGCCACCAACATAGGGCTGGGTAGCTCAGTTGGTAGAGCACTGGTACGGTGTTTCAGAGGTCAGATAGTTCTATCCATCAACCAGACAACTGAGACGTCCATTGTAAAAGCATAAGAATATGGTTAAAAGCTCTCCTTTATTTAATCGGTCTCCCCTAAATGTGACCGGCTCCACAAAAATGGGTAGGCCTATTACTGGACTTTTTCAAAATAACTTATATACACATTTGAAGCGGTTACATAATAGGGTTTAAGTTGGTGTAGGTTTGAACTTTGTGGAATTTTATATCATAGACATTGACTGAACTGTCTTCAGCGATAAACCCCTTTAAACACAGGAAGAGGAAGAAGGAATCAGCCAAGCAGAAAGTCTCTTGATACCCATAGCAAAAGTCTGGTTTCTTGTGGTGAATTGTGAAAGTATTGATATAATACAGGCCAATAAACCAAGAAGTAAAAAATCACCCTGTCCATATAGAAAAGCCCTCAGTGTGAAATAGCACAGTGTCCCTTAATCACCTTTTTCGCAGAGCGGGTCACAAAATGTCCTCACAGCAACAGCACTTGTCCGGCAAAGCATGGACGATTTTAAAGGTTCAAAACGGTGCAGTTTTCAATATATTCAACCCCAAAGAACGTCAAACAGTTTTCTGCATTGAACATGAAGCTGCACAAAAAGTACATCTAACAAAGTTTAAAGAATGGACCCTTAAGCCGAACCCACTGGGGCGTATGTAATAATAATTGAAATTTATAATACGCCCTTTCCATAAAAATGATCAAAGGCGCAGCACAAGTTGACGTAATAAATAATTGATTTAAGAAATGAAAGGATCATATGTACAATCATTTTGAAATCGGGGCATTGAGGACATGTCAGGGTTAAAGTTAATTTTAATTTTTACTTGGTTTATCAAAACAATGACAGTCAAAAATAAATGTGCCGTAAATATTAAACGTGCTCTTAAATTGTATTAAAGGACCGGCATATCTGCTGCCACCAACGTCTCAAAAGTCTTCTGTTCTTTCTTATTCACCAGACCTTTGACGTTATACATCACGAACAAGTGGACTGAACGAAATCAGCACTACATCACGCAGGCGAAACCAAGAACAGAAAACATCTCTCCTTGCCGACCGAAGAACCGTTTTGTATTCATCAAGATCCCGAAGACCGGCAGCTCCACCGTGGGCACGATGTTGGAGCGGTACGGCTACCGGCGCGATCTCCATTTTGCAGTGCCAAAGATTCCGTCCCACTCCTTCCCCATGGGGAGGAGGTACCGATTTGCCGACCCCGCGCTCGTGTTCCAGTGGAACCTGACCGACCGGGGCGGGGTGCCGGTGTGGCCGGCACTGGGCGGGTTCCACATCCTGGTGAACCACGCCCGGTACAACCGCAGCTTGCTGGAAGCTCTGATCCCGCGCGCCGTGTACTTCACCATCATCCGGGAGCCCGGCGCCCGCTCCGAGTCCTTCTTCCGCTACTTCCTTTACCAGCAAAAGGTTCCGCACACAGCCAACGAGGACCCCCTCGAGGTTTTCATGAGGGACCCACACGTCCGCAGCCGGGCCATCATCACACGCTACAAATGGAACACGCACTTCAGGAACGGCCAGATGTTTATGCTTGGATTGAACCCCGGCGCTTACGATAACACCACAGCCGTTGAGGCCGTCATTGGCTTTCTGAGTCAATCCATGGATCTGGTGATGCTGAACGAGTATTTCGACGAGTCACTTCTCCTCCTCAAGAGGCTCATGTGCTGGGATTTCCAGGACATAGTCTACATCTCCAAGGCAGTCGGGAGAGCGACCCAGAACCGGACTGGCATTTCGGCGGACCTCAGAGACAAGCTCCGCAGCTGGAACGGCGCCGATAACGCGCTGTACCGGCACTTCAACCGGACTTTCTGGGGCAAGGTCCGGAGCTACGGGCCGGGGTTCGGGCAGGATTTGGAGACGTTCCGCGCCCTGAAAGAATCCACGACGCGAGCATGCATGGCGCAGGGAAGCCGGGTATGGGACTGGCACAACTCTAGCTATTGGCAGATGCCAGCAAATGCTAGCCGAAAGTGCCAAGATTTAGTAAGGGACGACAAGGCCTGGGTGAAGCTGATAAGATCCCGCATGCAAGCAAAGAGCAAGAACTTTATTAAATACAGGAATGAATTTAATTAACTTTAAGCGTCTTTTTGATCGGTTCCATTTTCTGTTCGTGGGTGTGGCATCGTGGCTTAAAAATTGTTAAAATATAACTTACATGTAAATGATAAAACAGCAAGGAAGCATACCAGAATGTTTCCAGTTTCTACTGAGAACCACTTTGCAATCTAATAATGACGGTAAAAATAAATAACAATCAGTGGCGTAGCCGGGGGGGGGCAGATTCCCTCCACACAAATTCGCGGTGCCCCCACTAAAAAATAACAGAGGAATGGATATTGAGCAAGGCTAACGAAACCTTGCCCCCAAAAACCACACCACTGAAAGCTGGCCCCCCCCATGAGATGCTGGTGCCCTTTTGTGCCCCCCACTAGTAACATTCTAGCTACGCCACTGATAAAAATAAGTAGTAAAAATATTGTACAGAATTCAAGCCACCTGCATTTCTCCTGAACCGTTTACTCATCTCAATAGCATGTAGTGGACAAATCTTTAGTTGAGTCTGTCACTTTTCAAAAGAACATTTGATGCAACTAAAAGGCCTCTCAAGGATTGAGAAAGGCCTCTTTGCGGGGTTGTTTTTCCGGTCATATGATTTCAAGAAGAGTCTTTTCCGTGAATGTCTGCGTCTGGACATTTTGCGTGCTGTCGGCAATCGCTGTGACTTTACATAGGCTTAACGCTCTGCAATTGACTTGTGAGGACTTGGGGGGGGAGCTTGTCTGAGGACCTGTTATGAAAACTTGATTGCAGCACCGAGATATGATTTAACAAATTAAACTACAGTTATAGCTGGATATACTGTGCCAGGTTTATTCATGGACAGAACATGAAAGCTTGGCTGAAAATTACCCTTACGTACAGGTTTTCCCAGTTTGTTTAGCACAATGTAAATAAAGTAGATTGAAAAACAAATTCAGTTTGGTCTCTAAATTTCGGTCAATGCGGCATTCAATTTCTCCTTTGCACCATTAGATTTGATTTCCCGGATGGTGTAAATCACATCAAGGTTATGCAAGGTTTCACAACCACATTGGAAAACGCTGCCTTCTTGGTCAAAACTTGGCCATGTCGCGATCATGCCAAGATTTCTTCTGTTTACCACCCTGCATTGATCCACCTTGCTCGATGTCTGCCACATCCAGAGTGCTTTAGCCAGCAAAACACTGTCACAAAATCAACCGGCAAGCCAGAGATAGACCGAGGGAAAAACTTTGGTGGGGGGTGCCCCGCACTGTTGATCTGCCCTATTCGGGGGGTCACACCCCTCCTCAATCTAGGGTGTGTTTTCGCGACCCCTATGAATCTTATGCGAGACATCAAAGCATTAATCAAGAACAACTTCCAGTGGAGTGTAGAAATACAGAACCAAACAAGTTTATGTCATTCAAGAGAGTATCCACTCAAACAACAGAGGGCATGTTTTTTTGGTATTCACTGCACGGGCGCACCACGAGGCACACAGGTATAAGCGCGTTTGACAAGGAGCACGCTGAGTACGCGTAACTAAGTTATTCCAGCTTGTGTGGTCTTTGAGTAAAAACAGAATGCCTGCGAGAACCCGCTTGTAACTATGTCTTTCTTTTGCCGATTGGGGGTGCACTTCAGCTCAGGCGGATAGCAGGAAGACGCCGCCATTTTGACGATTTTCTGACCACTGTTGCTCTCTCTTTGTAACCTCTAGAGGAAAGTACCTTGTCTTGTTTGTTGCATGTGACAACAAATTGGGAAATTCATCAGTTACTTATTTTGAGGTGACTAAACTTTGTTTGCCTTTTTTTCTGCCTTATTTAATAGGAGATAAACTACCTCTGGCCTTCAGTTCTTGATTGGTCAGAACAATGAAGTCACACAGCATAAATCAAAGTCACAAAATGCCAAACCAATGACCAAAGCTAAACACACTGGCTGTTGAGATTACAAGGGGAGGACTATCGTTGTTGGAATCTTTGAGCTATCATACTCCTCACCTCTGGATCGGTGCCGGCCGATATCTGTGCATTCACAGAAGACAGTGTGCGCAGTGAACTGTTGGCAACGAGTTGACAGACCAGAGCAAAGCAAGAATGCACAAACTCCAAGTCCAAAATCTGGAGGAAGAAAAATGTGTGACCAAAAACATAAAGAGAGACAATTAAGAAGTGATGCAACACAAGCTGGGCACAAGAACAAGGTTTAAGGCAAAATAGAAAGAGAAAAGGGAAAACTGTTGGGAAGGGGCACAAAATGGAGATGTCGCCTTCATGTGTAAGAACTTGTACAGAGTTGTGTACAGACATGAAGCCACATTGTGCAGTGTACGATGCCATTTTGTTTCCAATTCAAAAAAGGTGAACTGACATGCATGGAGTTGCACGAGTGAATAAATAGGTGTTAAATTATAGAGCTTGGACAATGACAAGTTGAATTTCACTGATCGTTTCATACACACACTCACATGTTTACCTTACATACCTACTGTGGACATTCCTTTGTTTTCGTGCAGTTAAGAAAACTCAGTGAAAATACTCTTTTTTCTTCAGCCAGGAACAAGATTTTTTGGTTGTTTTTTTATACAAGGTTTCCTTGACTATTCCTCTTCCTTTTACCACAGATGACCCTATCCCAAAATGCCTCTAAACCCCTTTTCCAGAGAGGGGGAAACCTTGTGTGGACATGTGCAAGTCCACACAACGCCATTGTACCATGCATTATGTGGACTTCTTTTGTGCAGAGGTCCACACTACGTATGACACACCTGTACACACAATACATGTCTTCATGCATACACATACATGTAGACTTTGGAGCCCAAATGATTTCTTGACTACAGCTGTTACAACTCTGCTGCTGTTGCAACACATTGCATGTCTTGGGGCCTGTACTAGCTTGGTAGTCTGGATTCTAGAGGTATGTCTTGTCAAACAAGTATGAAATCTGATCTTGCGATGTCAAAGTACTGTGTGACCACGATCGGCTACCATTCATTGCCTTGGGCAAGCATTTGATGAGCAACCACACATCGCGAATTGTGTACTCTAGACAAAAATAACTGTGGATAACTCTTTTTAAAGATATCTAGGCGTAGTTGTTTATATCTATGGCTTTGTGCTGGCATTTGCCCATGTACTTGTAACAGGCAAAAGCCACGACCTAGCTCTAAACATAAGAATCGGGTGCAGCCAGTTAGGTGCAGTGCGTGATTTGAAATTTGAAATAACCAATATGGTAATTGTTGAGATTCAAATCAAATTTGATTTGAAAAACTGTATTTTATTCCAGCCGATAATAATTAAACTGATAATAATTAAACCGCAGAAAATAAACAGAACAAAGCTTTTATGTAAGTCTTCACACTCATTGTAATCGATTTAGGTGGAATAACACATCAGCACCTGTTGTCCACCTGTCACCATAACTGCCTGGCAGGGAGGATCGATGATTGGTGCCCCTGGTAGTTTTACGCTGATGCTAATTAGCCTACGCACTAGGCTAAAGCCAGAAACAATATTTTCATAAATCAAAAATTGGAAAAACATTCCGAGGAAGAGCGAGTTGCTGCCCCCAACCTTCCGATGCTGCTTCAAACTAAACAGATTGATGTCTTTTTACACCAGTAAATTGAGCAGCACTGAGATTACGATCTCAAATCAGGGGGGAGGGTGAGTAAAGCTTGAAGACAAATATTGGAAGACGGGTGAGATTTGGAAAAACTCCTTGGAGTGATTCTTGTTCGCCATCAAAGTAACCTGACAGAAAACAGCTGAATACAGGCTCACGATAGACCGTAGCCCATGGCAACAACTGACAAGAACTTCCCGAAAATGTACTTTGCACGGGGGGGATGTTAATTTTTAATCATGTCTCTTGCACTTTACACTAATGTATATTCTTAACATTGTGTGCTCCGTGTTGTCTGTGAGCTTGCAAAAAAGTTGCAAAGCTTACTCGGGTGAGACTCAAACCCACGGTGTCCTGTTTACTAGTGCAGGCGTCTTAACTACTCAACTACTGAGCTTGCCAGGGTTGGCTGGCCAGTCTGAGTCAGATGTAGCAGGAAGATTTTTTTTCATTTATGGTTTCCTCTGATGTTGGCATTTGCCCATGTATTTGTAGCAGGCAAAAGCCTCGACCTAGCTCTACTTGCAAGAATTGGATGTAGCCTACAGTTCAGCCTATGATTTGAAATGTGACTTGAAACATTGCAAGTTAATGCATCCATTTTAGGGAATTTGACGTACATGGTAATAATGAAATGATAGCTAGAGCAGTGTGCGATCAGAAATGGAAAGTAAACACAAGAACGGTTTAATATAAGTCCATGTACTCATTGATCGATATCGGTTAAATAATAAGCCATTTGCGAATTTAATTTGAATAAAATCTGGTGCACTGAGTTATCTGATTGCACATAAACATAACGATTTGAATGCCTCAGACTAAAGACACTGTTGCTATACCTCGTGATTCGGGGCAGCTTTTGCATAGCAACCACCATCTCTGAAATGGACTGGTTCCTTTGTGCCCTTCTTATCCATTGAGAACAGTGTATTGTTGCAAGGCGTCTCTTATGTAACTAAGCAAAAGCTTGCCCCCAAGCTCGAGGTATAGCAACAGTGATTTTAGTCAGGAGAATTCAAGTTGTTATGTTCACGTGAATTTAAAGAACTCAGTGTACCAGATTTGGATCAAAGGTAACTCAAAAAAGCCTTATTGAGCATGTGCACACCTGTTGTCCAGCTGTCATTGTCGCTGCCTGGCCAGGGGAATCCGAAATTGGCCACCTGGTCTGACAGTGCAGGTGCACGAGCGAGGTGTACAGCCCCACCACAGTGGCGAGTTGCTCAGGGTCAGTGCTGACTTGCTGCAGCAGGGCTTTGCACTGACCGCTGCGCAGGATCCTGGGTGTTCAAAGTAACAAGGACAGACTGGTTACTGTAATGCAGCTGCTGGTTCAATGGGGCCTGCTGATGGACAAAGCCCTACATTCATGGCATGACTCAGCCCAGCAGTCGCAGTCCAAATAATCCCGACGTGAAGGGGTTAAGCTATACTAAATGACTGGAACGATAGCTCCTCGTCTCCCTACACGAACATTTTGAATTAGTGTGCGTGTTTGCGGAACATAATGAAAAACAATAAAGCAAATTCCACGCAAACGATGCGCTGTATCTTCAGCTCCAATGCACATGCGCTTGTGTTATACACCCAGGACAAATAAAGTGCTCGTTTACTGTGAAGAAACATCGATGCGCCATGTAGGTCTCACTTAGCCCAGTGAATACAGCTCCATGGTCAATATGGACTTTTCAATTTCAAGGTCCACATAGTGTGACTTTCTCGATTTGGTTTTTGGTAAAATAACTTCCTTTGTATCCCAAACCGGATTCGTAATTTTTGTTGTACCGGTTGAAAGACATTTTGCTGCCTGTTGTAGTGCACTTAAGCCAATGAGCCAAAAGTGACACTAAGGCCTACCCAAAAACCCAATTTAATAAAAAATTGGAAAAGAAAAATTCCTGAGCAGAGTAACTCCTCCCAACTAACCTTCCCCCCCCCAGCTGGATATGCTACTGCTTTTAGGGTTTGTGTTTCAAAACAAAACAAGCTGATGAGTTTTTCCCACAGGTGAGCCGCACAGGGCCTGACAATCTCAAATTGGGGGGGGGAAGCACTTCAAGCATGAGTTTGAAGGCAAATATTGCAGGGGGGGAGTGTCGTATTTGAGTCCATCACAAGTCCTTTCACAAGGTTAGTCATAAATGACAGGGTGAACATTGACTTGAATAGTTTGTGAAGTGGCTTACGACTGAATGACTTGTGATGGACTTGTAATGGACTTACAGGGACTTGAGATGGGCTCGAATACAACACACGGGGAGGGGGCCTTCAATGTACATGCCCCCCCCCCCCAAGCCGAGATACTTGGGGAGACAGCGTAAACGTGGAAAACCTCCTTGAAGTGATCTTTATCGCAATGAAAGTTACCTGAAACAAACCACTGGGTACAAGCTGGTGACAGACTGCTGCAGGACATGTCTCCTCAAGACTGTGTCCCCTGAAGGCAAAATATAGCAAGATCCCATCAACAAGTACGACACCGCAGAAATGATTCAGATTTTGTGCACTACGACACCAATGACAGTGACTTACACATAATTCATTGGCCTTAGCCATGTGTTTGAAAAAATCAGCGATTTTTCCACGACTTCAGCCATTTTCACAAAATTCCACGACTTTTCCAGGCCTGGAAAATGAAAACAAATTTCCATGACTTTTCCAGGTTGCAGGAACCCTGAAGATTACAGTGTAACCAACATCATTTTTTCCCTCTGATTTTCCGCACGCAATTTTCTCCATATTCTGAAAATGTGCTGCCATCTTTATCCAACTTCTGATGATACTGTCTTTCTCAAATCCGAAGGACTCCAGCGCTTTGCAGCAGTACACAGACTTTTGGGCATCACAACATTACGTTACAGAGTAGCGAAGTGTGACGTCACTTTAAACCAGAAAGTGTAGTACAAATGAATGGAGTACGCGCGCATGTTGGTTCACGCGCTGGTTCTCACGCTAATGCCGTTTACACACTAACTGTGCACGTGACGTATTCACTTCGGTACTCTATATATTCTTCTTTTAGGTAGATACTTGTCCTAACATAAGAGATGTAAACGACTGTTAGGACAACCAACCAGTCTAACTTTGGACCCCCAAACTTAACCACTCGCAGATGAAAAGTGCAAGAAATTGCAGCTAAATTACAAACATCGATTTGCAAGATTCATTTGAAGAGAATTTTTACGGGACTTCTTACCAAACCTCATAGTTTTCAAAACTCCAGGGGGCCTTCGAGGGGCAACACTGGCTACCACAGCAGGTCATGCACAGTGGCCAAGATCAAGACACTGTCAGCCTCCAAAGACTTTTCAGACTTAGGGCGTTTGGGAGATTAGTGACTTCGGCTGTGCCTCTGTACACAGACCACCCTATCATGTTCACACATTCTCTGTCGGCAGTAGAGTTGAAGAGCTCCCTGTTCAAGAGAACCGTTTAGTTGTGATTGGTGTTGCCGATCCCTGTTCTTACCGGTGCAGTCCCCGAGACAGCTGGGCTGTTGGTTCAGCAAGCTCCCAGCTGCCCGGCAGTGGGCTTCAATCCTGGAGCTCTCAGCCGGGTGAGTCAGCAAAAGCCACGCTGAGTGAGCGGCATGGCACTCAAACAAGTATCGTCTGATTTCCTCCTGAGAATCCAACCGTGGCAACAAGTTATTTTAGGATGAAACAACATTATTGGAGAAGTTCCCCCACAATCACTCTCCTTCCCCACAAAGAAACCTGTGAGGCCCCCTCTCAAAACTTCTCTAGAACAATAATCTTTCAAGACCTCATGCAAAAGTGTCACCAAAATTTCACAAGTGATTTCAAAACCCTGAATCACTTTCAAAATTTAGCCAAAAGTGTCTGTACTTTACCAAAAAAATTCCAACACAAACAACGATGTTTGCTCCTTCAAAACATCTACTCTTTAACTGTACCTGTGTGAATTTACGATAAATTGACTAGCTACCCACCCTTTTGAATATTTCTCCCAAAGCTTGGATGAGTTTCCTCTCGATGTTGGTTAGTTCTTCAGTCGAGACGGACCTTTGAAAAAGCTGCACCGCAGAGCTGACCACCACCATTACTAAATTAAATTCAGAAACATAATAAAAGATGTGAGAAGAAAAAAAGGGGGAAATGGTCTTTATAAAGAAAATGCAAGATGTACACAACACCCGTGTTCAAATTGCTCTGTGTACTAACTTTGTTAGAAAACCAACGATCAGGGAGCAAACCTTCTCAACAGAAAATTACACATGTTGGAGTTACAATAATGTTATAGGATAAGTCCGCTGAAAGGTCCCCTTTTGTTTCCCAGGTAATGCAGCGATTTACACCATCATTTCAGAGACGAGTGCTGTAAAAATTCCTGTGGGCATTCACGATCCACATGCGGCAAACAGTATATTGCAACACTCTGCAATTCATGAGCGTCTGTGAGGGGAAAACTTTTGTTACATAGGGGACATGGCATGTGCAAACTCGCAGGCTTACCCAAAAGACGTTTGCGAGAGCAAGTTAAAAGTTATCTCAACTATAGAAAGAAGCCTTAGCTTTCCCCGAGTTTAAAGGTAAAAAAGTCACCAGGCTTTCGCCAATTTATGTCTTGATTTTGGATTTGGTTTATATTTCACAACTAAGTATCCACTTGCAAAAACAAAACCATGGTATTAACTGGAGTGATTTGTAAGGCTCTTGGAGCCTCTGAATGTAAACTAATCACACGTCTCTACTTTTGGGTGAAATTCTGCCTTTTTTGGGCATAAATGAATAGTTGATAAAAAATCCTACAGAAGAATTTGAGTCATTGTAAACATTTTGAGCTAGCTATGGGTTTTTGCATACATTTATTTTTTTTTCATTCAAATTCATAAACAGTTATTCATCTTGACACTTCATGACCTTTCATAACCTATGTTCAGTGTCATCTTTGGTCTCACATTATTTTTATTGGATACTCATTTTGGACATGCGTAATGTTTCCCTGTTCGTATATTGTTATATCTTTTGCATTGTCTTGTTTGTTTCTTGTAATGGCATGCCTGACACGAGCTTTGCTTTCAAGGTTTTTCCCCCTCTAATGGCCACTTTATCTCATACATTGTTAGTACTAATAGATTTTGCCATGAGGAGGAAATAACTGTAATCAAATTGAAATTTAACTTCGTTCAAACATACGTTTACATGTTCCATGTTTCTTTTGTGAAAGACAATACAATGCAATTGTCTGCAACCACCAAAGGTAAGAGAGCAATTTTATAATTTTGTAATCAAAATTGTATAAAAATTTTACTTGTCATGACTAAATTTATAGTAGCATTCTTGCGTAGCAGTCTTCTCAAGAGAAAACTAAAATTGACTGTTTATGAATCTGAACGGGGAAAGTTTTTTAAAATGTGCACAAAAACCTATGTCAAAGGGACCAGAGATTTTGTTTCTTTGTGTTTTCACAAGTTAGGACACCCTTTTTGCAGAATTCAGAATTCAGATATGCTGAATTTTGGGGCAAAAGGAGGGGGGGAAAATCAATTTTAGCCAATTTTTTATTTTCAGGCCAAACTTGTAATTACTGCAATTGCTGTGTCACAAAAGCAAAATATGAAATTTACTGTTTAGTCTCATCACACTGTCACACAAATATCAAACTCTCTACAAAAAATTTTTATTTTTAAATTTATTATTATAAACATTAAAAAAATCAAAAACAAAAAACACTACAAGGTTTTTGAAAAATACGGCCCGATCTTTACAGTAAGGCCAGCCCACTCTTACTGCATGTGTCTTCTTGGATTTTGTTGGCTGACATGTAGAATGCTCCCGATGTGGTGGTGCACGCTGCGTGGACCAACTTGTGCCATAGGTTCAGCGAGGCCAGGGGACGCGGCTGATCGGTGCTCGTTGCATTCAGCTGACTGATCAGTGGATTCAGCATATCCCAGTGATGCTATTATGCAGAAAATCACCAAGTAATACAAAAATGATGAATGCGAGAACAATACACTTTATGGAATCGCAAAATTTAATCACTTAAACGAGTGACGTTATTCTTGTCACTGCCCGAATGTGAAACATTCACGATTCATTTTCAAAAACACCTGAATATGTCTTATTTTCTAAGTTTGGCAAAAGAGTGCGAAGGAAGCCCTGACTGAAATTTTATTCGTTTGTGTAAAGACTGGCGACTGTGCCTACCACGCATGGACTTGGTTTAATGGTGCATTTAACGGGTATGTTACAGTTGCACTGTTCAATATACCAAATTCTCAATGACACATGATCAATGACCTACAAATCACCCATTGCAAAAACTATCCTAGCTTCTTTCTTTTCTGTAGTTTACAATGATCTCTTTGTACAAGCAACAGAGAGACAGAGAGTCAAACAACGCCAGAATAAATCTCTGTCATCTGACTGGTGGATCCCTGAATTATTCATCCAAATACACGGTACAGCCATACCAGAACATTCCATTCCACTGGTAAATGGAATATCAATTGCACTGCCACAACAAATTTCGAAGGAAGTGCAAGGATTTATGTCAATAAATACAAGGTAAATTGTTGGGCATAATCACTGGAAAACTATCAAATTTTAACTTTCTTTGATATTTTGACGAGCCTTTGGCTTGATCCATCACTGTCATCAGGCCCTTAGTCAGACTGTAAATATACTAAATTGAAACGAATCCACCATCATTTTCATTCCTCATTTACTGTGTTATGATAGACAAATGTTACCTAGGGAATGTTTCACAAGAGTTTCGCTGCTTAAAGGCCACAGCATTAAGAACGGCCAAAGACGTATTCAAATTTGCACTCACGAGGACAGAGAGAGCAAAGACGGGGCATTCGTGGAGGAGAGAGTCCACCATCAACACTATGTTCTTCAACCATGCCGGATCCACCTGAGACGAATATGAGTGTAGCTGCAAGACACCCTAGGAATGCAGAGCAAATGCCGTTCATAAACTGTCAGGTTCAAATGTTCTTTCACACGGAGAAAGTTGAGCCGATTTGCAAGCATCTTTAGATGGGGTGTGGGGGGTGTCCTCCCCTCAATCTGAGGACGGTTTGTCGGCAAAATCACGGTGCTACCAGCAAGAATTAAGGATTGGAAAAAGGAAGCAAGGAGGTCACATAAGTGACAGGTCGGGGGAATCAGACTATCTTTACACTCATGAAACTTGCTGACAAATTGTCAGCAAACTTCATTTGCCATATACCATCCCCCCCATTTGAAATAGTCTAGCAACACCTGTGGCAAGCAAAAGAATATAGTTAGCACCCCGGAATGGTTATCATTTTGCAGGTTCTTATTTCACCATTAGGTTCTTATTTCACCATTTTCTAACGTGCTGTCTACATGCCAGCTTCACCTCAGGATTTAGACTGTCAACTTCTTCCAGTTTCTCAGGATCATTTACTAAATATTTCATCTTCCAAGTTACATTCGTTACATGATTTTCAATTACTTTTTAGCTTTTATAGAGTTAGATTGGTGACATTTTAATTGGATTAACAACAGAGATCAATGTTACTGAATTAAAATTACATCAAGCAAATCCAAATTAGAAAATTTCATCAAGCAAAAGGGCTAGTTATTTAAAAGGGTGAAGGTCAAAGGTCTTATACCACATCCTTTTCCCCCAAAAAAACTTCATGTTCAATGGGAAGGGTTATAATATTCAAAGCAAATATACCTGCAAGACGACAGCAACCACTTCATAACTGAGGATGCCAAAACCTTCCTGGGAACACTCTCGCTAGGAAGAAAATGAAAAGAAGTACCTTTTACAAAAAATTGACCTGAATCTTTGTTTTGATTGAATTATGGAAGTTATATTACCTAAGGTCTAGGATCTAATTCTAATTTCAGAGCATTCCATGTTACTAAAGCAAAGATATTTTACAGTATATACATGTGGCAAACAACAATGGACGAGTACCAGTTAGCAGTGATATACATCTTGCAATAGATTTGCTGCTGCCATGTTTTATTCAGTAACTATCTTCTGTGATCAGTAAATGTTTGTGCTGGGAAACTTGATGATATTGCTGCCAATATATGGACCTAATATCCAGAAGTTGCTTAGCAAACCAATTTGTTGAGCAAATACTAATTGGGATCAGAAACTTTTCAACTCAATTTCATGATTCTACTTAGCGTAGGAGAAAAATATCTGACATTTTGGCACTGAGGCTTCGCACAAATCACAAGCTAGGAAGGAAAGATGGTTTGCGCACAAGGGCATGTCCAGAAAGAAAGGATTCTGAGCTTTAATAGTCGTCACAGAGGCCCTGTAAGTGCAAGCATTGTGGGCAAAAAGTGGTGACTGTGAGTGAAGAATTCCAGAAACTAGGCTGTAATTACAAACCCCAATTCCAGCTTTGTATTCGTGTGACAAATCCCACAAAGTGGGTCTTAAGGCCATTTTTTCAGAGATTTTATTTTCGTTTAAATTACAAAGAGGAAAATGAACCATTTGTTTTAATGTATTACTCAGTGTAGCTTCCTAAAAAGCACCCCCGTGCGAAAAAAGTTGAGGGCTCCTTTGTTAACTTACATTGTGCAAGATTCACCGTAGGGCCTTCAACTCAAAAGGGGGCAGAGGTGACTAGCGATTCATTTTAGTTAGATTAAGCGGTATATTGCCAATGATTATCTATGGCAAATTTTGTCCCCTCATGAATGCTTGTTTTATATGAAGGTCTGCAAACTTAAAATGAAAACCAAAAACAGTCAAAGTTTCTCCGGCTCTTTTCTTAATGTAATTAAGTTGGCAAAGTTTGATAGTGTAACTTACCAGGTGGGTATTGATGTAGTTGATCAAATGTTGGAGTGCTGCTGGTTTGGGAGGGTTGCGTAGGCAGTCGGTTAGCAGGAGGTAAGGCGGAAGACTCTGAGCCAACCTAGAGAGGAAATGATCGTCGAAACGTGTGAGGGACAGAATGCGATGAAGTATTACTTAAAGGAGCCCTTAGTTCCATAGTATTGTTACAAAAACCTGAACAGGGGTTAGACAATGCCACATTGACTACAGTTTGTAACAGAAAAAGATCCATATTTAAAATTAAGAAAGCTGCAGTTATGTTCAAAGTACAGTGGAACGCTGCTATAATCAACACAATGGGGTCCAATAAATTGTTCAGTATAGCGCTTATTGGGTGCAGTGATTTTCAGTCACTGATGCAACCATTCCAATCTTTGCCCCATCTAAACATGTGGTGTCCTGCCTCAAAACCAGTTTAGACATGAGGATTTGGGCCAACTTTCACGCATAAAAAATGAAGTTGAAAAAAAAACTTTGAAATTTATTCCCTTTTTATAATTGGTACAGTACCAGTTCCACTGCTAAAATGGCACTGCTAAATGGGCTGTGACGGGAACCATTCACGTAACACTAGAGGCCCATATGTGTGAGTTCCACTGTACCTTAAACCAGTGTGAGGCATCGGGGTGATTGTTGACAAAACTTGAAAAACAAATTGGCAAACCAAAATCAATGAACGTTAAGACAAATGTCTCATTTACTCAATCGAAAACTCACATAATCTGGTTGGAAACCTCCGCTCCTGCTGCTAACTCACACCACTGGTTACCAACACCGGTTTCTGTCCTGGCTTTGGACAGTAACTCGAGTCTGGCTGCAAACTCGGTGAGTAGCCAGGAGCAGTGTGTGGCAGAAGGGGACGTTGACTGTGGCACAACTGGGGACCAGACTAATAAAAGTTCCTTTGAAAAACACACAGAGCAAAACAGACATCTCAGCACTATTTAAGATAAAGCAACAAGTGAAATAGAGCTCGTGGATTTTGGTACAAATGGAAGCTTGCTCAAAAGCTCAACAATGGGGAAGGTTTAGCAACTGTAAAAATTCCACAAACCTCACTTTAATTGTCACATTATTCAGGGTGTGCCAAAAATCAATTTAAAAGTACAGTTATGAAATCAACAGTGGAATACTGACAACCATGTAATGCAACATAACACTGGCACTTATTAAGTTTAGTTTTTCACAAAGTTACACATTTTCACTGAGCCTCAACACTGAGTGAGGTTGGCATTCAGACAGTGCATATTCAAACTGCAGTCTATCATGAGTCATTGAAGAACATCAATATCCGTGCACGAAGTTGGCCTTATGAGCACAAGGCAAGTTTGAGTGACGACTCACATCAACCAATGTCTACCAAACGGTATGGTTCAGACCATCTTGTCAACCGTTTGGAACCTGGCCCTGAGGCATGGTCGCATCGCTGGTTATCAATAGCCAATTTCATTTATAAGTATTGAGGGAACCATTCACATGAAAAAAATCGTGTAAGACATCGTAAACCATGAGCGCTGCGAGAGCTGCAGCCAACCGCAAAATGTGGACAACTTTTATTGGTGATCACTTCCACAAGAAAATTTCAACAAAGAAAAGTCAGATTATCCCAAATACTGGACAGAAAACAAAAGACAGTGATCAAGATTGTGTTTTGAACATGTTGGAGACTTGTGAACATTTTCCTGTTTCGGGTGGGTTTTCTGGAGGTTTGTCCACGGTACTTGCTCACTGATTTGAAAACGTAAGTTACATGGCACCATCTACAGAATTAATTGACTTTGGCTAAAGAGTAACACGCACGCCTTTGGGAAGTGGCTACAGCAGCTTGCCATACGCGGGCATGTTATTTCTAGCCAAAGCCGTGACTTTTAGCTGCAGCCACTAGTTCCGGCATTGATTCCATTCAGATTGCCAAACTCGTCCCCAGGGGCTACTTTAATTCCACCCTGGCTTCCAAGATTAAACACCCGGCGAGGAAATTTTCTTCTTGCATCCTGATTTGATAAACCGAGGAAAAAAAATTGATATCGCGCTTATAATTTCAATGCATACAGAATGTTTTTACATTTGCTGTGAATTATTGTGTCCATGCTCTCTTTTTAAACAGTCCCCGTTCTCCATTTTGATTATATTTACATGTATATCGAATGTGATACTGCATATTGGCTGGATGACATTGTAAGCTTTTATCTTAAAAAAAAAATTGTTTTCTGATATGTCATGTCCCAAAGAATTGACCATGTTTTATACCAGACACTGCATACAAGAACCAACGATGATTGAAAGTGTGGTCAGGCACCAGACTATTCCTTATTATGTATGCATCCAAAAGTTTTGGATATGCAAACGATCTAATAGAATACCAGGGTGAGACAGCAGGTGGCCATGGGAGTGCACTGCTCGACGCCATGGGGACGAGGTTGCTCAGAATATCAAGGTCTAACCTGCAAGATCTGCACCACTTCTTGGCAAGAGTTTGAGCACCGGCACGCTCTCTCCACACCCTGGCCTGGCAGCACCCCATGAGGGCAGTGTTCGCCAATCTTTGCGACAGGCTCGGCATATCTATCTAGGAGGGCATTCAGTATGTCCGAGCTGGCTCTCCTATAAGCTGCCCTGAGATTCTCTTGACTGGGTGACGGTATGAGTTGTGGAAGGTAAACGCTGTACACGGCCCAGTGATAGTATTTCTTTCTGTTGGAAAAACAAAAACAAAGAAAAATGTCAAATTTAAGGTATTAAACCACTTCAAGCGGGTTGACCTGTAAACACACAGGGATTTCAATGCCTGTAACACCAAGGACATGTGAACACGTTCTGGCAAATTCTGCATGCAGGATCAGTTGATGCCTATACTTGTCCCCCCCGAACTGGAGTTTGAACCACAGAGCTATATGTAATAACTGGAGCGTTGACTCTTGTACAAAATGATGCCTGCTGGGCGCATCCATGTTTGTGCGCAAACCTATGGAAAACTCAAAATTTTGTTAGGCTTTTGTATGGCTAGTAGCATATCTGCGTCTGCATTCTAAAATGATGCATCAACCAAGCCGGTACGCAAACAACCTAAACGCGCTATCGCTTAATGAGCGTTTCATTTTGCTCTGTGTAAACAATGCAAATGCATGCGCGCGTATGCGCTGCAGGTAATTCGGCTATGACCATTTTCATGCCTTGCGGCATCAATACTCTAACCCCCTTAGAGGAGTGACAGATTAAAAATTGGATGACTGAGGACTGTTTGAACAATTGAAAGGACAGCTTGTCATGCAGCCAAATTTAATGTTGTTGCTTGTACATCGAGAAAAAAAAAAAGTGCCTCACCTTTGAGTTTGGTTGAGGCAATCCTCGCACAAATGCACCCTCAGCTCCTGGTGCAACCACTCCTCAAAGGTCATCTACAGAGGGAAAAAATGAACATCTGGCACAACTCAGCAGCTGGTATCAAAGTCAATCATTCAATCAATTTATGCTTATCGACAGAAGAAAGTGCTGCCCATGAAAGGCATGGTGACTGCACACACGAGTATAATTGCACACATCTGGAACAACATACGTACAACCAATTTTCGTCTGAATGGGCACAAAAATGTAGTTTCTATACATGGGTACGTGATGAATCTAACTAATCCACAAATGAGATCCCTGAAGAAGCAGGGAGCCCCACAGCAAAGACAACTACTGGTGTTACTGTTGGCCCTTGATGATGTTTTAAAATAGCTGGCATTAATGCTTTGGCCATTACCGGGCCTGTGAACAGTGCCTATCATGTTCAGATTTAGTCTACACCACAAAAGGGATAGTGTTGTAGTCCAGACTTCTTTAAGCCATTACAAAACCTCCCATCTGAATTCAAATCATAAAGCATTCAAATGAGGTGCAACAAAAGCATTCCTGTGTCAATGTTCACCCTGCGACTTGTGAACGTTTTTGTGCCTGGTCCTGTGACATTCTGGACATTTCAAAACTGAAAGGAACATCCAATTTCATTATGCTGCAAAACAGAACATCATGCAGGCCTTGAGGAGAATGGACAAAGACACGTAAACAAAGTGAAGAGTATGGTTGATTCAGAAGTAATAACAAAAATTTTTATGCAGATTTAACGTGAATTATGAAATACCCCAAATTGCCTCATACACTACAAATGTATGACCTAGTTACCTGATCTTGGTTGGAAAGCAGTTTCCCTACTGCATCAGCAGACTTGTCCCCCGACACCACGGGCTGGGTCCCGGTAGGAAGGACACCACCTGAGTGTCTGGAGGTCAGGACAAAGTCCGGATTGTATGCTTGGTCCAACCTTGGCCGCAGGTAGCAAAACTATTGCAAGGTGTTGACAAAAACAGACAGGCATACTTAAGGAAATGTCTCCAAGGTCAGACCATTCCCATTCCCAAAGGTAAATTCCTTTGAGGAACACAGTGCATGATGGGAATCCTCTCGGTTCCCCTCAGGAGCAGGTCCTTCCCATTTGTGTACATACGTAGTCCACTATTCAAATTTCGGAGCATGCGCTGGTCTAAGACGGAACAACTGATGTTCCTGACAGACCTATGCAGAATGACGTTACACGCATTTTTTACCACATATGCACTTGTTTGACGGCTATGAGGCAGGACAGGATCCATCCAGCCCCCACAGGAAAACGCATATGTAAACAGAGCATAATGTCATTATCAGTGTCATAGCCAGCCATATTTTAGTGCGGGACCGGAGTCTCGGGGGTCACCGCCGCGGGTCCGAGGACCCGCTTAAGGGGACTCTGGATTACTTTTTCAGTGAGATTTTCTTTCCAAATTAAATAAGAGTTAAATTTTTTAACTTCTTCCAGGTGAAAATATGAAATTTATACAGTAACATCTTTTTCTGGGATTTTTAAGGGTTTTGTGCAGGCCACAAGGCTGTTTCATCAAGCTTAGTGCCAGACAGTAGAACGCTGTGGTGGAGATCCTTGACCAGCGTAGCCAGAGCTGCCAACCTCACTTGACCAAAAACCCCATGATTTTACCTTAAAAATCCTAGTTTCCGAAAAAAAATCCTATTCTTAACTGTTGCATAATTCCTTACACAGTACCTAAAGGATTGCGATTTTTATTTTGTATAAATTTACGATGCATGGTCTGGGCCCCAGGCTGATTTTGCTTCTACATCCATAGTTTACGTACACCGCACAGATGAACAGCACAAACGAAGCAGCAATGGACAATAGAGGGCGTCGTGGATGGATACAACATCACACGTGTTGCATGCATCTGCATGGCATTTCCGACATCACCAACGACTGATGTTACCGTGCAAAATTAACTTGTGTGAAAAATATCAATTTTCAAGCCAAACAACTGGAAAAAATCTAAAATAATTTCAAAGCTTTTTTTGTCAATCGAATTTTACTTGAAATTCATTCTTAGGAAAATCATACGAAATACAATAAAATCGCACTGGTTGGCAGCTCTGCATAGCTTTATCACTGGTCATTATGTAATAGGTCTATTAAAACAAGTGATGTTAGCAATAGAATGTTCTTCAACATTTTGGACTTTTGAGACACTGGTTAAGAAGTCCAGGGGGTGATTTTTTGTAAAAGAACATTTTGAGCAATATCACATTCTTCTTCAACATGTAGAAACGAACTGACATCCTTCTGAGGTGAAGTGCATTCAAATGTGCACTTTTTTTAACATTTAAAGTTGTCTATGGTTTCCTGGACAATAGAGGGGGCTGTTGCTTTGATGTCATCTTTCTGTTCCAGTTGTGGACCAAAATGTTTCCTCATCAAAAGCATTATCCCCATGTACCGGTACTAACACAATGCTCACTGAAGGAAAGAAAATTTTAAAAAGATGTTACAAATTCAGGCAGATTTTTGTGCGCAAATCCAAGCATCGTGGAGGTTTTTTTTCTGGGATTAAGTCACAGTTTTGCCAATGAATACTGAAATGACATTAGCATAAATGCCGAAAAGGCACCAAACTACGTTTCAAGTGGAAAATGCGGTAAACCGAAACACAGACGTTAATTTCCGAGGCTTGTAGTGAAAACACTGCATTGCATAGACTTTTACGCTTGATGTGCCCTTTCCATGAACCAGACGCATGAAGAAATCCTCATGGAAACCATTGCCGAGCACAATTTTCTCATTTTATCAGTTCCAACGACCTGAAACCAACTCTGTCAGTTACGAGTCAGCCTGTCTTAGAATTAATCAATAGTCGAGCAGTCTTGGGGACTTTTTGCAGGATTTACGTTCCCCACTTGCAGTGTTGTCAATGGCTTTGGACTTCATAAACAGTAAAGCTAACCTTTTTCTTGAGCACTTCTGGCACAACCTGATCTTGACTGGATTGGGGCAGGTCAGAAGCACATGTTAAAACTGCAGCAAAGAACCTAGGCAAACAAGAAGAAAAACATCACATTAATTCTTCAGTACTTTATCAATAATGCTGGAAGTCAGCCAATAATTGCTCCTTCATGCAATGCAACTTATAACGCATTCAGTTTTCTTTTAAATTAAGTTTGGGTTTTTGCCCTTTCTGAGGTGTATTTTTAACACTGTATGCTCAGTGTACGCTCCCAAAGGCTTGTGAAAGAAACAAACCACAAGCGTACTCGGGTGGCGTCTCCCCAGCGCAAATCCATCTTTGAAATAGTTGTTCGCGGTAACAGCTGCTCAATCTGATTTGAACCAGGCAGCCGACACCGGCAAACTTGGTGGTCGAGTGGTTAAGATGTCTGCACTAGTAAGCAGGAGGTTGTGGGTTCGAGTCCCACCCGAGTACGCTTGTGGGTTGTTTTTTTTCACAAGCCTTCGGGGGCATACACTGAGCATGATACAGTGTTAAAAATATACCTCAGGAAGGGCAAAAAATCCAAACTTAATTTACATCTCCCAGGCGCAAATCCATCTTTGAAACAGTTTTCTTTTACTTGTGAAAAAGCCATTTTTTGGAAATCTCTTCTGTGATGTTTACTCTTTGGCCGAGGCTTTATGAGATTTTTGGCCAGAGAAGTTTGGCTTTGTGCATGTTCTCACACCCGTTTCTAATAAAAACCCAGATACTGGTATGCCACTCTTTCTTTTTTTTTCTTTCTGTCAAATTTCAAACTGTGGCTGTACACAGTGTACGGTCTATGCGCATACCAAATTTCAATCAAATCTTTCTTCAAAGACCGAGATGGGGGAGGGGGGAAGGAGGGTAAGAAAATATCTTCCCTTTAACCACTCGCTGCCAGGTCGAATTTGAAGTTAAGTGGCATGACGTCAAACCGGGATATTTTCAAGATTTTCCGTTTTCAAAATTCTTTAAAAAATTGTAACTTCATTTACTGGACGTTTACACCCACATGAATGACTGTCTGGTGGCTACTATAATTTAACAGACAACATCTATTGATGCCCGAGTATTCAGCCAGGCCTGCCGCTTTGTAAAAAAGAGCCCAGACTGTGCGGTGTTACATACATGTAAGTTTTTTTGTTCCCAATCAATAGGGGCCAGGTTAGTTTGCAGCGGTATTGTATCGCTCATAAATTGAGCGCTGGATGCTTTTGTCCCCGGTGGTAATCCGCTCGTGCTGAATGCCACAAACAGTGGTATAATCTTTCAAAACAATGACGGATTTCCACTGCTTTTGACAACTAAAAATGTTAACGGTTCCCAGCAGCTCAGTCGTTTGTTCTGAGTATGGTCTTTTGATATAAAACCCAGCTCTTTTGTCCGATTGCAAGCTCCTCGGTTTCATGTATAAAGCCTATGTGCCCGAAACCAGGCACCCCGGCAGGAAAGGGCTAAGCTGTGATCAAGGAAAACATACTTTTCAGGTCAAACTAAGATGCAACTTGCCCATATTATGAAAAGATGAGACTTTAGAAAGAATAGGAAATACGGGTACAGACAGGCTGACATCGACAAATGAAAAATCTATTCATCCAAACACAAAAATTATTTTAAATTACTTTTAGTTTAACACCCTAGTTTGAGGGGACTTGAGCACTGCATCATCTATGAGTTCAGACATTTCCCATGACTGTGGAATAGAACACTCTATTTACCATGGAATAGAACTTTTTTGTGGTGCACCTGTGTAATGCACAATTAGGTAGTGAAGATTTACCAAGGCTTAACATCAAATAGTAATGATAACGACAGTATTTTCAATTTTCCATATTATCCATTTTGGAAATCAACACAAGCACATACTTGAGAGCAAACTTCATAGTGTCACCAGTGCTGAGTGGAATTTTCCTGGCTATGAGGTTGAGAAGAGGCAGTTGGTCTGGTTCTCCATCCTGCTGCTGTCTCAATCTTTGCTTGCTGTGAGTCTGCAGCTTGACAGGTGGCAGCCTCTCCCCCAGGGCACTCAGATGCACAAGGAGGCTGGCTAAACTGTTTATGTGGTCTTCTTCCAAGACATTCCCCTGGAACAAAAAGGAAGATATCATTAATAAAATGACAATTTGGGAAAAAATATTTACAGATCGTTGATTCCTTAACTCTTCCTCCCTTGGCCTTTTTTTGCTTGGAAGCATCCCTCATCCTGCAAAATCCTTCAACAGTCCCTATGTAAAATCTCAATGCATTTTCAGTCCACCAAAATGCACCATTACATCTTGAATGTGTTAATTGGGGGTGACCACAGCCTCAATCCTTCAAAATCCTGCGGATTAGGAAATTCCGGTCGATATATTGAGACAGTGCAAATGATTTTGAAGTATAATCTAGGACTAAATTTATGCATGAAAACAAGATCCCACGAAGACCTCAGTACAGTACGTCCTCTGAAATCAGCCCATCAACTTTTGCCATACAGCCTCAATCCCTTGAAATCCTCCTTGTAGGAGAGGATTTGAGGTTACAATTAATGACATTTAATTTTTAAATTGTAAATTTTTAAATTGTAAGCAGATGGACCCATAGTGATCACACACTCCAATGACTTGGTCAAACAGATAGATAAAGAATCCGTCAGGAATTTAGATGTCCAAAAACTATTTGCTGTTACAACACAAACGCAACGCTGAGCCAAAACCTTCAGCTCGTTGTCCCAAGGCAGTAATAATGTCAAACCCACTCAATCACACCTCCTATGCCTCACCTACTGACTGTGACATACCTGGTGACAGATGAGGGTATGCAACCTGTGATACAAGACAGCATGCAGGGAGCCCTGGGCAGCAAGCATGGAGGCGTAACTCTCAGCAACGGCTGTGAACGGACGCTTTGCCTTGGCCATCAGCAGGTGGGCCTTACAGAAGCTACTCACCAGCAGATCCGTGACCTAGAGAGCAAACGTGATTGGCGGATTGGAGCGGGCACTAGCCGTAGAAGCATGCATGCTCAAAATTTCTCTGTTTTGTTCGAAAGCTCTTTGAACTGTTCAATCTGTTGTCAAAGTTTTGAATTGAATTGAAAAGGAGGCACACCTGCATAAGCGCTGGCTCCATGACAGTGTTAACATTGACATCCAAGATGACGGTACTGGCGCCCTCTATACTATTAGCATTGGCAGGCATGATTTTCAGCTCTTGCAGAACAGTACTCAGTCTCTCTGATATCAATGCCATGTGGCCGGCTACGTCTGTTGGACAGATCCGCAGGAAATTCAAGGAGCCAAAAAGTCATTTCATTTAATAATTTACATCAAAAACTAACATGAACAGCATGAGCAGGCTTTAAAAACTTAATGGGACTATTTAATCACCTTTATTGGGTTTACATTAATTTTCAACTTTGTGTCAGCCTTCATTGTACTAAGTTTGACGAGACTAGCCATACTACCTTGATATAACTGGAACCTTGTTATCGAGGGACAGAAAAAAAGAGAAACAAATTCAAGAGACTGGGACCCTAAGAATTTGTCCTTTATAACAACATTTTTTGTTATATTTAAACTGGAAGTCGTAAGTACAAAATTAATTTATGTAAAAAGCGAAGAAAGTTTCCAATGTACTCTCCTCCGGTGTTGCTGGACTTGAGTCCTGACTCTTACTCCAACTCAAGTCCACTTTTTGATGGACTTTGACTGTGTTTGTGTTTGACTCACAGGGCAAGAACTTCACAGAGGCATCAGAGTCAATTGCCTAGACAGCCCTGGTCTTTGCCTCAATGCCCATTGAAATATCCCCATAGACAAGTTGATACAAGTGGCTTTTGCGAATGAGAAATGGCCTTGTCCCTTCAAGACCAAAGTTCCTGCCCTGGACTTGGCCTTGCAGGTCTGCCTGAGTCAGGCACGATCCCACTTGAAGATGACCTTTCAGTGTGAAATAAGCAAAGGAATGGAAAACTTCAACAATGCTTCTGCTTCGTCTCCAACCTGAAGAATTCTTTCCAATGAAACATTCTTTACAGCTAGAAACAAGACTGCTCTGATCTGCTTATTTTCAAATTAATTGTCTATTTTTGAAGATTTTCAGGTGTTTTTAATAACTCGAAAACACCTGGAGATACTTTTTGTTGAAAAAGTTGGTCAAAATAATTATTTTGGCAATAAACACTTGGAAAATATCAGTCCTCTTTTGTTTATATTTGCTACATTGTAATGGGACCCATGCATTGAGTGTACCCTATGCATGTTCACTTATTCTTCTTGCCATGTTTTTAATGTGTGAGAACATTACGCTTATTGAAGTACTCAGACTGGGAATTTTCAGACTCCCACTTGGACTCAGACTTTTGGGACTTGGACTTGGACTTAAACCAGTGAAACTCAGATTTGGAAGAGACGGACTCGACTACGACGATGCTTTCCTTACCTGCATAGTCAGGAGTGTTTGTTGAGTCCTTCATCAGCAACTGAGGCAGAGAATCTAAGGAATCTTGCAGACGGTTCAACGGCTCCGCTGCCGTGTCATCCATGTCCTCGGATGACACACCTGCAGAAAAACAGAAATTAACTCATGTTACTCACATGCAGAACACTCTTTCAAACTGAGCATTTGAGGATGGTTTCTCTGAATGCTTCTCTTCACTAATCTTACGACCCTAATCCCAAAACTCCTCCAATCTTTTTTTGAGAGGGCAAACCTTGTGTGGACCTGGGCAAACCTTGTGTGGACCTCTGCTAACCTTGTGTGGACCTCACAAAGTCCACACAAGTTCTTTGCAGTCAGTGGGAGAGCCAAGTCGGTCAGTCTCCCAGAGGTCAAGTCACAAGTCAATTTTTCCCCAGTCAAGTTGCAAGTCATTTTTGTCCACGGTCCAGGGAAATCACTCGCAAGTGCATTTCCCAAGTCCCATGTCAATTTTTTTTCAAGCCTGTCCATCGTCATGTTTGACACTTTCACTGACATACTTTGACAATGAGACCCATGTTTCGCAAAACAGGTCCAACCTGTCTACCTTTTGTCCACCATAAAATGCTTCTATTTTTTAGCGATTGGGCATTAGTGCAATGAAAAGACAGGTTTGCTTTCGAAAATCACAGAAAATCATAAATATATACATTTTGTCTTGTATTTCTGCAAGAAAAATTGGTAATATCAGCAAGTCAAATTTATTGAAGTCCCAAGCTATTTTGTTCCAAGTCATGTAAACTTCACGAGTAAATTTTTTTCCCAAATTGAGTCGCAAGACAAAAACCTTCCAACTTGCATCTGATTCGGCAACCTTTCTCATTCACATCTCCACACATGGAATAACATGCCTGTACATCCTAATATGCATGTTCAAATGGCAAAGATGGTGTCCGACCAATTACAGCACGAAAACCTCCTGTAGAGGATTACGTGTCAAAAACACGGTGAAGCAATGAAAGTTGTTCATCCACAACTTCAATTAAACAGGTCGTATCACGACGAACAAGGTGCCTGACTGCCTTTCAATGTTGACATGTCCATTCAATTTCCCCACTGCCGAGGTTTTCATCAATCAATAATTTGTGTGCATTCAGTTGAAAGTCAATCAAGTACACAGTGCCATCAACTTTCCTGAAAGGAACTGTTGAACCCTGTCAATAGGCTCACATATTCTACATTCAAATAAATTTTGAGCCTACCTTCTAACAGTGTCTCGATCTCAGTGGTACAAGCTTCTGTGTACTTGTTATACATAGACACAGGAATTTTGTCATCACTGCAATAAAAAAACAGTAGATCAAAGTCATTAGAAAGTAGAGTAGTTTTAGTCATTTTCCGAGTCCATCTAGAATATCGAAATAGAGGGTGATCAAATAAGACCTTTGTGAGTTACATTTGAATAAAATCTGGTACACTGAATTATCTGATTGCACATTGACATACATGTTAAACTTGAATTCCCCAGGCTAAATACACTGTCGCTATACCTTATGATTTGGGGCAAGCTTTTGCACAGCGACCACCATCTCTAGAATAGACTGGTTCCTTTGTGGCCTTCCATTGATTACGGTGTACTGGTGTAAGGAGTCTCTTATGTAACTAAGCAAAAGCTCGCCCCAAATCAGGAGGTATGACAACAGTGTCTTTAGTATGCAGAATTCGAATTGTCATGTTCATGTAAATTTAAAGAATCCAGTGTACGAGATTTTCTTCAAATTTAACTCCCAACAGGCTTACTGGAACTGTCTCAAAAACAAGACAGTATTTATCAGGCATCCGAAAATTGCTGGGAATGTATTCTGGGCAAAAAGGCGTGATAAAATTTCAAGGTATTTGTGTTTAAGGACTTATAATTATAATTGATTATACTCTTGCGAACTGCTAAATCAAATCAATCAACATAAATGTTGATTCCCATTACACCAGCTTCTCTTTGGTTTGGTAGGGACCAGTGAAAGTCTCACCTGTTTATAAATTCATACGAGGATTATTTTTTAACATAAAATAATGTTGTCAGCACTATAAATCGCATTAAGAGGTCATTGTTGCAAAATAATACATTATAGTACTAAGCAGACTATTTTTAGGCATCAAAATTCGTATAAAAATTTGCATAAAAGTGCATTTAATTCCAAAAGGCCTCATTTAAGGCAGGAAATGGTTATCATACTGGTATTTGTGCTGATGAGCTGGAATAAGCATTTTACGAGTTAAATTTAAATAAAATCTGGTACTTTCACGTGAACATAGCAATTGGAATTCTCCATACTAAAGCCACTGTTGCTATACCTTGTGATTTGGGGCAAGCTTTTCCTTAATTACATAAGAGACGCCTTGCAACAATACACTTTTCTCAATGGATAAGAAGGGCACAAAGGAACTAGTCCATTCCAGAGATGGTGGTCGCTCTGTGAAAGCTTGCCCCGAATCACGAGGTATAGCAACAGTGTCTTTAGTCTGGGGAATTCAAATCATTATGTTTATGAGGCAGTCAGATAACTCAGTGCACCAGATTTTATTCAAATTTAACTAGCAAATGGCTTATTGAATCAAACTGCTTCATATAAATACCTTTTCAATGCTCCAATAAGCTTCATCTTGCTGTCAGGAATATCTGGCAACTGAAGACAAAAAGTGGCACACGAGAGCAAAGTATTTTAAGTCCAGGTGGGCCAACTGACAATTATTTTATTATAAAAAAATGCTTTCCCAACAAATAACAATTAAGTATGACAAAAACTCTAGCAAATTGTGAATAATTCATGAGTTTGTATTCATTACAACCAATCAAAGGGCTAGTACAGCCATCAAAAGTGAAGGTTGAGAACTGAGTATTTTTCACAAAGGAGGCAAGCTGCCAGAACTGAGTTTAACTAAATTGTGAAAATGAATGCAATCACATGGATAGATTTTGACCAATCAGAGTTGCTCTTGAACAAATGCTTTTAAGCAGTAACTACACAACGTGAGCTTACCATTCGTGGAGTCAACAAGGCAGGCAGAAATTGCCCAATGTAATATGGCCTTCCAAAAATACTGCAAGAAGAGAATTAACATGACAAATTTTTAGAGGTTTTGGACCAAGCTTTTGACCATTCCTGCAACTAAATCAAGGTTCCCACAGAAATCTGAAAACCAAATACTTTGACTTTCCAGGACTAAAACATGACAATTTCTATGACATTTAGTATCACTTTACAGAGAAAAGCTGTTTTCTATTATGAACAGGAAGACTGCCAGAGTCACTGCTACAGATAAATAAGGGGTAAAGCAGCCCACCAAAAACAATATTTGCATGATCTTAATTTTCATGATTTTTCTGTGACTTTTTCCTCTAACAAAAGGATTCCTGGTCACACTTTTTCTTCCCAATCTTCCATGGTTTTTCCACGACTCTCCCAGACAACTTTTTTCCAGGATTTATCAGGATTTTCCCATGACCGAGGGAACCCCGTCAATCCATGCAAGCAAGAGGATACAGACATGAAAGGTTACCAACACAAGCTCATTTTGTTGTTTGATACTGGCCATATGTAACAAGGTGCCTTTCCCAACATGGTACACTTTCCTGGGGGCAGGGGGCAGGGGTGTGTGGGATGGTGGGTGGGTCATCAGTTGGTCAGTACTGAGGTGGATCAGTCAGAGGACTGGTCAGTCATTGAGTCGGTGGGTCAGCTGGTTGATCAGTTTGTGGTTTGGTCAGTGTGTAGATCGGTCGTCACTCAATCACATGGTCATGTTTGGGTCAACCAACTTAAATTTCTAGATTGGTTAGGAAATGTTAACCTTAATTGTAGGACTTTTTCATGTATGCGGCCTGTCTTCTCATAGTGGGCCACTGCAACCTCAACATCATCCAAGGCCAGCTGGTTCCCTGTCTGTGCAAACACATTGTATCCCGAATATAGAGTTTGTTAACTTTCTTTGGAGTCGAGTGTACAGCCCATATGCATTCTCGTAATACCAAAATGCATCCAAGGATAAAAATGCAAAGACAAAATCACTGAATAGTGAATGCTACACATTTTTGAAAAAAGATGGTGGAAATCAATGTATAGTTTCTCTGCTGATCTTCAGACTTGTGAACTGCTCTGGGCCCAATTTCGTGGCACTGCTTACAGCAAGCGAAAATCGGCGCTTACCATAGCAGAAAATTCTGTGCTTACGGCGAACGTATTTCGCGGGTTAGCAAGGAATTTTGGCTTGTGCGCAAGCGTACATCCCGTAACTAAGGATTCGGTGCTGAAAAGGTTAGCGCAGAAATGTTTCTGCTAGCGCGGTTAGCACAGAATGAAGATCGTAAGCGTGGAATTCTGCGGTAAACGGCGCCATGAAATTGGGCCCAGATGTTTAACAATAACCCTTAAGCACACAGTCCAACAGTCTACTTTCTTCATTTCAATTCCAACTGTTACCACAACGCCTTTCAGGATCTGTGAGAATCAGAAACAAACTTGACAACACTGGAGATTTCTCCTGCCTTTAAATGAAAGTCCAATTAATTCAATCCCATTCACATGAACGCTCACCTGCGCTTTTCCACTGGTGCCTGCCCCAGTGCCACCACTAGTCTGCCAACTTTCCTGAAGTTAGCAACAAAGGTTCAAAACCAAATAGTTTATCCTACTGCTAATAACATCTGAAAACATGAACGGTTATCGATACAGTGACGTAAAATTTACGGGGCGATAAGCATGATACAGACGTGCGTCTGTACTATGCATTACATCCCTGTACAATGTTACATCGCAAACGCGTATTTATGGGTTTTTTATTGCTCTCTCTTGTTGAGTGCTATTGCATACCTTTGGCTGTTGGAAAGTCTGAAAACTTCTTAATAATCTGCCTTTACGTTGTTTCTCACCACGAAATAGTGGGGAGAGGATTCGATAGCCCATCCCTCGGTCAAAAAATGGGGTGGGGGATATATACCCCGCATTCCCTACAGGCTTTGCACCCATATGGATCGATATCTGCTAGACAGCAGTAAATCACTACGTCCAGGTGAACCAAAAAAAAAGGCAAGAACAAAGAACACAACGGAGAAGAAAACAGAAACTATGGACGGGGGGTGATGGACGGAAGAAAGACAACAAGATAAGCAAGTATGAAAGTATGTTGGTAGCAGAAACAAGAAAAGGAGATGCAGGATGGCAATAAAGAAACGGTAAAGAAATGTTCAACACGTTCTTCAATCATTTTTTTCCCATTACATCTGATTGGCTGGATGACGTCAAGACTATGGCAACCCGCCAGTGCAATGTATTCCATTATTACTGGACAATCTTCTCTCAAGTAAATTTTACTGAGAAATCTTACATTCCTGAAACCTGAAACTTATGTTTAAAGAAACCTATGTTTAAAGAAAACACAATTTGAGAAAACAATATCTTGAAAAGCCGTTTTAACAGAATCTTGCTTTCTCAAAAAGAATTCCGGTGAACAGTCTGAAAAAAATTGTTTTATTAAGCAGTCCATACTGTTGCACAACATGCTTTACAAAGCTTGTTTTTCCAAAGTACTCCTTGCAAAACACGTACTTCAAAAAAACATGATTTGTGAAGTGCATACCTCAAAAAAACCAAGATTTCAAAGTGAAAAATAGTGCAGCTTTGTCAGAAGTGCTGAGATTTAAAATGCTTTTTTGTACCTTGAAGTCTATAATTCTTGTCTTGGCCAAGGATATGTAGTCTTGGAGAACTTCTCGACTCTTGGGGGGTGCATACGGGGGATGCTTAACATGGGCCTACAAAACAATTTGAAAAAGTCCAGGTGTTTTGAGTTTAAATGTTTAGTTTGGCGCCTCCCGTCACATGATTGGGTAAATACGCAAGGATTTCCCATGCAGAAATACAGAGGACATTTCAACATGCTCTCACAAATTCCGCACAAAGTACCAAGTGACATCAGTGCGATGGGTAGCCCTCAAGGAGCCATGTGCTAAGCACTGCAGCTGTCTCAAACTTTTAAAAAAGGAGTTGTAGTAGGAAATGTCTCACAAAATCTTGAACATATAACCATCGAGGGTCAGCATTTGTCAAGTCCAACTTTGTAAAGGAGTTTGGTTGGTGTAACTTGTCGTTTTTAAAGAAGTCGGCATTTTTTGCAGAAAATAATACAATACTTTCTTACTCGTTTTACAGCGCCTTACTTTTCTGTGGACTAATACCATCAGAAGTGGTTAAGGCAGACAAGCGTAACGACATGTTTCCAGATAAGACTTGAAGGTTTTTATGGTGAAAGAAACTAGATGAATAAAACGATTGCGGTTGCACCATGTATCAATCTCTTTCTTGAGTCTGTGTGGTTCTGAGAAGAACCGGGGAATAACTCGACGTTTCGAACAGTGTACTCTGTCCGTCTTCAGGAGACTGCAGGATTCTAACTGGGAGTGGAGATTATATGGTGTAGAGAGGGATCCAGATGTAGGGATTAGCTCGGTGAGGCGTTAAGGGGGGAACAGTGATGGCGGGAACAATGGGTGCTGCAATATTTACTAGTGCGCTCATCTACATGTACACTGTACATAGAAAATTAGACATGGGGCTGATTCACCTTGCGGGCATTGATACCCACGACCTATACAAAATAAACCACCAACCACACAAGCAAAAATTAGCTGTTCCAACATTTTTGGTGTAAAAACATTGTAGTTTGGGGCTTTTGTCAAAGTTTCTTTTTTGCCACAATAAGCTGTGCATATTATAGTAAAGATTGCGGTAACACCATGTATTTATCTCTTCTTTGAGTACCTGTGGTTCTGAGAAGACGTTTCGAACAGTGTCTGAAATGTCGAGTTATTCCCTGGTTCTTCTCAGAACCACACATACTCAAGAAAGAGATTGATACATGGTGCAACTGCAATCGTTTTTCTCAACATGTTTCAACTGACCCCAAACAAAAAAATTCATCACAAGTTGGTGATTATGGCAACTGTTGGCAAACAAGCATCCTCGCCTTCCAATTCTGTGACCTGGGTGCAAATCCCACCCGAGCCAACGCCTGGATTAGGTTTTCGGTCCCTGCCTGATTCCAGGGGTCATCCCTGGATTGTCATTTCAGGGTTTTCCTACCACCTCTTAACTAGAAATGTCTTCTTTGCCTTTTCAATGCAGTTTCCCTCGTAAAACAGGGCCCACAGTTCATTTACTTGCCGGAAATGACAATTAAAGAGTTTGCTGGGTATCTTTTTGAAAGGGCTCATCCTGGGGCACATGAATTTGCTAGTCTTAACATTTTGATAGTCTTTAAAATGGTGGACCTTGGCACACGGAGCAAATATGTGACCCGGTACATCGTAATCAGGAATAAGTCGCTGAGGCTGTTTTACATAATGGCCGAGTAAAGTGGGGAGGTGGGTAATTGTTGAAAATATCGATGTGGCGGTTTCTGTATATTTTGGAAGTGTATGATGTAAGGTTACCATCAACACACTTGTAACGTGTAACACTTGAAAGTTTATGAAATTCTCTTTCTGACCATGTACATGTCTCAAAAAGTCACTTTGCGACTTATTCCTGATTTCGATGTACCAGGTAGCTTTCATGAGTTCATGCAAGTAGTTAAACATCAAAAGTACATCTCTGAGTAATATGAATACTAAGTTTGACTCAAAGGATAACATAATGGGCCTGCTTGTTTCACACGGATCCGGATCGCGATCAGTGATCTGTTGTTGGTTCACTGACACCAGAACCTGCCAAAATGGATAGCGGGAACCAGCTCTGGGATCACTAATCATAATTCAGATCCGCATGAAACAAACAGACCCAACAATGCTCATTTGGGTGTCTGCTGTATGCGAGCTACACCGATTAAGCAATATTGAGCTTCACTGCAAGAATTAATAAAAATCACATCCAAAAAATAAATTGAGTTTACAGTGAGGGATTTTAACTACCTTCAAGCAATGTACGGGCTCATGTGGCACCAGACTATTCAGAAACTCCATGAAGAATGCAAAGGTTTTACTTGATGTAACGTGGGGACCCGACGCAGTGCTGAACTGATCCTAGTTTAGAGAGCCAAACAAGACAATAAAAAGTGAAGTTACCCAGGGAAAATCAATTAATGACAATGTGGAAATATTATGCACATATTTGGCATGGGGTGTGCACTGATAATTTCCCTGGTAAGAATAACTACATGTACAGTGAACTATTGACATTAAGAGCACTGTTCTAACATTGTGTTCACACTGTTTTCACACTGTTCTCACACTGTGTTCACACTCTGTTCACACTGTTCTCACACTGCTCTAACACTGTTCTCACACTGTGCTCACACTGTTCTGTTCATTAAAATTCCTGACCAATGATCCAAGCAGAAACATATTTCCGGACACAATCGTAAAAAACACACCCCTTCCTCCCAGAACTTAACCGGAGAGGAAACAAGGAAACTTCTGCTGATATTTTTAAAGTGTCTCCAAATCCATGGAATTGCAGAAATCACAATTTAACCCCCCCCCATGCCAAAGTTCACTGACCTGAAACCATCGGGAGTATGACCGGAAATCACATGACCCCTCTGTAGCAGCTTGTCTGGCCAGTAGGAATGCAGAGTGTAAAAGCAACAGCTGTGAGCCCTCTAGGGACTCCTTTAATAAGTCAGCAATCAGAGCTGTGAAGGGTAAAGATGATTTGAGACAAAGCCCCAACAATTCGAGAGTCAATTTAGTAAACCCGAGGTAGCTTTCAAATGATGTCCTAAAAAATTGCATTAACAAGGGTAAGTTTTGGACGCTGTTACATGAACAGAAATAAATACCACATAAAAATAAACTTGACCACTTGCTGCTGGGGAGCCCTGTTTCAGAGACGTTGGCTTTATACGCATTGCTGGGGTGCCCGAAATCGGACAAAAGAGCTGGGCCTTGTAACAAAAGATCGTACTTGGAACAAAAGACCGAGCTGCGGGGAATATCCAACATTTTTAGTTGTCAATGGCGGAGGAAGTCCGTTTTTGTTTTGAAAGATTATACCACTGTTTGTGGCATTCAGTGCGAGCAGATTACCACTGGGGACAAAAGCACTCCAGCTCTCCAGTGATGAGCGATACAACACCGCTGCATGCTAATCTGGCCCCTATTGAAAAGACGTCAGCAGCGCACTTTGCCCGTTTCAGAAACAAAAGAAAATTACATAACATCGCACAATCTGGGCTCTTTTTACAAGGCCGCAGGCCTGGCTGAAATACTTGGGTGTCGATAGATGTTGTCTGTCAGATTAGAGTAGCACCGGACAGTCATTCATGTGGGTGTAAACATCCAGTAAATGAAGTTATGAATTTTATAAGAATTTGAAAACAGAAAAAAAAATTAAAAAATGACCCAGCCCAGCGAAATCAACATGGAGAAATGGGCCCAGCGTGAAGTGGTTAATGATGGGAACCAGGGGATGGCAAAATACTGCTGGAAGGAAATGGAAGTGTTTGGATGTGGACAAAACTCCTGCTCAGGGTTGGGCTTTGAATGTGTCAAAAGACTATTTTAAAGCAGGGTCACATCTCTTGACTCTCTTCAGCAAGTTAAACAAAAACTACCTGTTTTCTGTGACTTATGGTTACCTTATTTCAGGAGTTAGACGGAAATTCTGTATCACACAGTTGGCACAGAATGTTTGTTAATTAATCTGTAAGCAGATTATGGTTACCATAAACACATTACTTTGTGGTTTGCAAAGGTGTGAAAATGGGCCCAGTCAGACTTACCTTTGAGGAGTCCCGAGCCTTGCCGGAAACACACGCAGAAAACAGACACCAGAATGAGTGTCAGTTGCCAGTTCACCTTTTGGTGAAGAAAACAACACGAGAGGTTCTGAAAGTTTCTTGACCAACCTTATGCCCTAGGAAGAAAGTGATCTCAAAATTACAACGAGGGAAAACCATGTCCATGACTCTGACTTCCATAGCATGACGTTAGGCTTTAGGTTGCCATTTTTGTATCAACTTCATCTTAATGTTCATGTTCATCTCTACAAAACAATACTTTTTAGAAATATTTTCCCATTAAATGTTGTAAACCCGTGTGACTCATCCTGCTCTCAGTCTGGTGGATTTGCGAAGATATGGAAAAATTTCTGGCAAAATGCCAACAGTGTTGAGGAACGAAGAAAGTCAATGATTCCAAGTGACTGTCCACTTTTCTCATTGAACAAGGTCAAAGTTGCTCCGTACAATATCAAAAGTGATTGTGTGAATTTTGTCCTGACGGGACGCAGGATTTCTGGTACCTTTTCTCTCTCCACGACTTCCCGCAGCACAGAGCATATCTGTTTCTCTTCACTAGTCACAAGCAACTGAATGAACATCTTGGTCTCGCTGGACGGTGCCTTAAAGTAGGTCCAGTGGTCATGCTGCTTGGTCAGAGCTGTTGTCACTACGGCCAAAAAAAATCGAGCAAAACTTCTGTACGAAAGCTGTCCTTAACTTGAAATTTCTCTTCGTCGGATCATTCTTTTCTACGTGTAAGTCTTAACCAGTGTACCGACAGTCAGCCACAAGTTATTTTGCAAGCTTAACCACACCATGCTAGAATATAGTGATAGTCACTGTGACTGTATTGAACAGTTTCACAGGGAGTGTTCGAAGTTGTAAATTTCTTCACAGGTGAGTGGGTGATGTGAACGTAAGCCCTCATGGTTGGAAGTTACCTATTAGTTTTGTACAAACACAGGGGGCTCAACAAGCGTGGAGGATGACCGAGTGTGGAACCCTGGCTCAGCCCTGTGCCGAGGCTGGCAAATGTTGCTCCGCATTGGTGTGGAACGGCATTGTGGAAAGATATGCATTAAAATCTTATGCAAAGTGCTCTTAGTTCATAAGTCAGAACGTTCAGTTAGGAACACGGTGTGTTCTCATTATAGAACATGCAGGCGCTCCATTGGGAACATAGCATTTCCACCAGAACACTGTCTCAGCACAGTCTACACACAAAGCTCATCAGTCTCGCTGATGTGTGAACGTTCTGATAAAATGCTAATGTTCTAGTAGGAAAAAATCCAATAGAACGTGAAAGTTCCTGACTTCTGAGACTTTCTCGTAAGAGAACATGGGTATGAACTAAAGCCCCTGAGGCCATTTCATAGTGCATTGATGCCATCTGGAAGTTGTTAAAATGGTCAAAGTGGTTAATAGAGTACTGAAGTGAATACGTCATGTGCACAGTTAGTGTGTAAAAGGCATTAGCGTGAGAACCAGCGCGTGAACCGACACATGTGCGTACTCCATTCGTTTGCACTGCACTTTCTGGTTCACAGTAACGTCACACTTCGCTACTCCTGAAGGTTGTATGTAAAAATCGAATTGAAATCGCAGGATTTGGGACTGTTGGGGAATACCTCCTGTCGTCTCATTTACCTTCTTTTCAGTTTCTGCATTGTCATCTTGGTGAGGGGAGGGGTTCAGAAATTCTTTAGAGATTTTATGCAAATTTCTATGTTCGTGAGCGGAAAAATGTAGTGTTAAAACTCCCACATCATCAAGAGAAACAAAAAAAACCACCGAAAGTTGCTGCCTGCAAGGAAGAGCGAGCCCTACCATCGCACTCCGGCTTCCAGCACAGAAGACTTTGCAGCTGTTTCCTGAAGAATCTAGAGATGGCATCTTTGTCGATGTTGGGGTGGCGTCGCACTGTCTCAAACATTTTGGCAACATGGTGATCCTGTGTACTCTCGCTAGTCTGGTTCTGAGCTCTGAGCAGCTCTAAAATACAACATCCACGTGATTTGTGGGGAAAAATCTCCTCAGGATCGCGTCAAAGAAAGTATCTTCAAAGAGATCCTGCTGTAAGTTCCTCTGAAAACTAGTCACGTCATTATTAAAGGTTATGAGGAATTTAGACTGGTAACAAGAATTTATACAGGGCGTCCAGTGCTATGGCTATCTGGGAACAAGACAGCAATGGCAGCAGGAATGAATAATGTCCAACTAACTCGGCTATGTCTAAAATTAATGCATGAGCCTCTAGAAAATGGATGAAGTGGCTAGCTAGCCACAAATACATGTAAGTACATGCATTAGGCATACTTCTAACAACAGCAAAGTAATTCTGACACAAGTCTGTTTCAATCAAACAAATTCCCATCAATTTAATCATTAATGCTGCGCTTTCTTAACAAAATGACCTATTCCCCAAAATTTGACTGGATCCCACAGAACAAGTCCTGAGGCCATTTTAAAGCAATGCTTGATTTGCATAAGAACACCAACTCAGCATCTTTGCTTGGAAGCATCGCTCAGTCTGGCATCCTGATGGACATGGACACACTACGTGGGTGAAGAGTGTTCAGGGATCTGACTGATTTACTCTGTGCAAGATTTCATAGTTGCTCTGGCAATTTGTGACATATTCTGCCCGTGTCCGAAACGGGCTTCCAGGGCTACGGCTAGGTCTATTGTCTACGCGTCTCCAAGTATTTCCAATGGAAAGAAGACCTAGACCTAGCTCTAGACAAGAGATTCGGATGCAGTGTTAGTTAAGTTGGATCACAAGTGTCGGAGATATCACAAAAGTCAAAACATACCAAAATGACTAGTGGTATTCGATGTATTTCTTTGTTAAACATAACTCAACGGCATGAAATAAAGCTGAACATTGCAGGGCTTCCCAGGACGAAATATTTTAAGGATCATTTTGTTCAGGGATTCTCCACATAAAGTATTCTATAGGATCAATTTCATTCACTTCCGTTATAGTTATATGTCACAAATATTTTTACATCCGTCACACACATTTATCACAAACAAGAAAAGGCATCGTTTGCTTACCTAATACAATCTTGTCAAGAATGTCCTGGCATGCCTGTGCACAAGTTTAGAAAACAAGAAAAATCCGCCACTGGAAAACTGGCCAGAGTCCAGATTGAGTGCTTTCCATTTTAAATGAAAGTACATGTACATTTTAGAAACAACTTTAAGAATTCCACTTTATCTCGCACAAATTCATCAGAAAAATACTTGTATTTCATTTCCAATCGGCCAATATTTGGAGCAAGAGATTCCGTATATCCAAAAGTGTAACTGAACCGTCCCTGAAAAGAAAGAAATATGTACTTTACCACGGCCAGTCTTGGTTCAATATCGATGCCTTCCTCAGATTTGGAATATCCGCATCTTAGCAGAACCTCCAAAAAATCTGTTAGTGGCGAAACAAATCAAAGGCAGTATACATGTACATGTAGATATATTGGTTATTGTGACATGTGTTCAGGCATCTTCATTACATCATTAGGTCTACAAAAAATACATGTGACACGCCTAACAGTTGAAAACATTTTTTGTTTTCATTCGTTGATGCTCGGCGACAACTCACAAAAATTTGGTCGTGTCTGTAACATGGTATCCGTATCAAAAACCGGGACATGTGGGTAAGGAGTCAGTTGGCCTGATACGCTTTTGAATGCCTGGCTAGAACACTGGATGGAACCAACTGCTCATGCATACATTGATTTTCCCATATGACATTTCGAACACATTTCAGTTTGGGCATGCACTGTTGCGATACCCGACTGGCTCAGTGTATTGCTAAGCAAGTTCAAGCAACAATCATACGTTGAGCACTGGTCGATTTCCCTGGTAACCAATAGCAAAAATGTATCCTGAATACCAGGCAAAAATTGACCAGTGATTGACAAATGGTCATCACCTGAACCTGCTTATTGGTCACTCCTGTCAATAAGCAATTTCTAGGAAATTACTTCTCAGTTTATAAATATAACACTCTTCACTAAAAACCAAAAAGCTAACCTTTTTTTATCTCACTGCACTCGTCAGACTCATCGACTCTTAAGCAAAGGTCAGACAGATTTCGGGCAAAAGTCTCAAGGGCTGCCGGACGGGCCAAACTTAACTCCAGATACCTGTCCAATGGGACGGCCGAACAGGCATGCAGTTGCCATAGCAACTCCAATGGCAAAGTTTCCACCTGGAGATGTGTCCGAGACCAAGCAGAGTTTAAAAGGCTCTGGATTCAAAGGAACTGATCACCCAAATATCAGCTGCCAGAAATGTGACATTTGGATCATGAAACAAAAGTTACACTTCTGTGGAGCCAGACACAAACTCTAACCCTTCTACAAAACCAACTCTTTGTATTCTATTTGAATCATGTGGTTACAAATGCGAATTAGTTGATGGGTAATTCCATGGGTCCATGTTTTATCGTGTCCCTGTCACATCTGACATATGATTTTGTAAGTTCAGAACACATTTTGTAATTTCCAAGAGTGATGAATTATTGCAAATTACCTGCCAAACAAATAGTAATAATTTGAAATCAATTCCGATGATATTTCCATGTCAAATAACAAAGGTCAGATGTAACCGGGACACAAAAATGTCACACTTTTGGACCCCTAATTTCTGGAATTACCTATGTACATTTCAAATAGGTACTACAATATGTAACTATGCATGACTACAAGGAGAAACACATGTATTTCTGACTAATTTATTTGGGGCAGGAACAAAGTTTAACTAACCCCTCCTCAAACTCTGGCCCAACGACAACGTAGGTTGCATTTGAATGAATTCCTCAACACTTTCCAAACACAGAACCACTCCTGCAACACACTGCAACATGTGAAGCAATGCATAACTTTCCAGACATCAAACTGCATACCTTGGAGGCGAGCTGTTCGACGAAGAGAGTCCTGTGGAGAAGCAGTCGACCAGCTAAGATTCTAAGGATCGCTATGAGGCACTTGACGCTTCTCTGGCACAAGGAAATATGAAAACAGGTTAAAATGGTGGATGTGGAGGTTAACAAAAGCAAAGATGAGTCTTTATCCCCTCTGAGCTGACGTGCACCCTCGACGAAAGAAAGACAGATGGTACTCGGTTTTCCAAATGGGATCTTATATGCACTTGGCGTGCACAGGGAAACTATTATATTCAAGACTAAATTCGTTGCGCACACTCAGCGAGCCCCTCGTCAAATGCCCACAAACTTGCGCGCCTATGTGGTGAGTGCGTACGAAATGACTGTCAACTTCATTTCAAAACACGCCCTCTTTTGTTCCTGCTCGGAGCAGATAACAGACGGCTTTGGGTGGTTTTTGGCTGAAATATGGTCATGACATGGGCTCGTACATGAACCATGCATCAGCGCGAATTGGAGGACTGCTAAGACATCACATGCCTTTGAAGTTTGACTGGTTAACCCCTCAAGCTGGGATTCTTTTGACCGCGACTGCTGGGCTGTGGTATGCCCAGTACGCAAAGCTCTGTCCAGCAGCAGGCCCCATTGAACCAGCAGCTGCATGGTGAATAGACTGTATGTGTGACATGCACTAATCCTCACACAAAGCCACGGCTGCGTGTGGACGGCTCCCGGTATAAAGGGATTAAAGCGTTCTAGAGTACCGAAGGTCAAGGGAAATAGAGTGAGGGGCAATGACGTGCACAAATGACCCAATTATACCAGTATGAATATGTATAGCATGATAGTGTTGGCCAAGTTTGAGCGACGACTATGGTTAACTGTAGTTTGACTAACATCGTCCGAACAAAGGACGGTTTGGACTATCTAGTCGACCTCTTGGAATCAGACTCCAGGGCATGGTCACACTGCCTGTTATCAATAACCGATTTCATTTATCATTACGGAGGGAACCATTCACATGGAAAATAACTGGACGAGATTCAATGACCGCGAACGCTGTGGGAATTGAAGCCAATGATGAAATGTAACGATGAGATTTGAAAAAATAGGCCGACTGGGGTCGTTCACTTGTAACTGAATTGCGTGGCGCATTGCTAAAAAGCAACTGACTAATGGTGGAACCGTAGTTTGCACCCAAACTTGCCCAGTGAAAAAAGTGTAAAAGTCTAGTTTGACTTTAGCTCTTTTTTTGGACAAGTGCTGTCAATCAGGGAAGACAAAAGTTTACACCTTGATTTCCTGTTCGAATTTTTAACCCAAATTTTGTTCTTCATACATTTCTGAGGAAAGGTTTCTTGTTGGCTTTTGACCTTGTAAAAAATTCTAGAATTTTTTTAATTCCTAAATTAATGCACCATTGAGGTTCAGTGCCCTGAGGTGACATCATGATTTTCCTGAAGAATATAGAAATTCCTAGGAGCTCAAAACCCCAAAGTGCCTTGTTAAAATAGCAAAACAAACTTGATAATGGGGTTAATTAAAACGCAAAGGTGCATTGTCGAGGTTTGAAGTAGAATGTATAAATTGTATTTATAAATCCTTCGAGTGCAAAAACGGTAGCTCCTGCTACCTTTTGCTCGTCACTGTCGATACACTGAGTTGCCTGCAGAAGCCTGCACAGCTCCTTGGCACACTCTATTGCGGCGACCGTGGGTACAGGCGTGCCTGAAAGGTGTGACTGAGCTTGGATGCAGGACAGGCAGGCGTCAACTGGAAAACAGACAAATTTTAGAATGGCAAGCTTAATTTTCATTCCATTTTCAGTGCGAGAAAAGGCTTAAAGATTGTTTTACACGAGAGTGAAATTCTTAGGAGAATAATCCATTCAAATGACAGGTTTACATGTCCTTCCAATGATTGTAATGGCATGCAATGAGCCATTATTCTTGACTTGTGCCTCAACCTCCTATCCAAAGGAATCCTGCTTCTATCAGGATCAACTGTGATTTGGGGTAGAGTTTAACAACCATTTTATGGTCTAGAATTTAGAATGGCATGATTTCAACTCACTTGATAAATTTGGACTTCTGTTGTCAATTACTGTGGCCAGGGACGAACCAGAAGTCTCCGAAGAGGCTTGGGTGCTGTTCTCAGGACAAAAGACTTCGTCACTGGCCTAAAAATTCAAAGGAGATGAGAAAAAAGTACAGAGCTGAATCAATAGAATACACAGTTAAAAAAGGAAAAATGATGCTGCAAAACTGCTTACTGATTTGGGTGTCCGCAAACACACCTGGCTTAAAGGTTAAATCTGAAACCTTCCTTAACCCTAAAAGAGCTGGGGGATGGAATCCTTGACATTTTAATTTTTTTTTGCTATCTCTGCAGCACATATTTTTCAGAAGCTGAGCCTAAAGGAGTTTCCAGAGTAACTCTTGTGGTCATTTTGACACCAATTTTGTGAAAATCGAACAAACTATTCTTGCGCAGCACACCTTTTTCCAAGACGAGTCAGTCAAAAATGTAAACTTTTTCCACTGCAGTGCTTTATCATTCTATGCACACAAATGACTGTAACAACAAAACCATTCATCTGATTGAGTTCAAACTTCTTATTTGTAATGATAAGGTGTCTACATGCACGCAAAATTTCAAAACAACCCAGGGAGGCACAGCCGAGCTCTTGGGGCGGGAGAAAACCCATAGCGTAACGAAACCGTATAAACCTTACAGGCTCTGAGTTACTCGGAGTTTGACGGAGTAGCCCAAGTGACTTTGAACTGTCGAAGTCATGGAAGTAGGTGTCTGCAACCCAAGGCTGAGGCTTAAATTTATTTTCAGGCAGATTGACACATACCTCTTTCAAAAGTGCTTCGAAATTCTGGTGTCGATTAATTAAACTGAATACATTTCGCTCCATTCTGCAGGCAATTTGCAGTACAAAGAAAACTTCAAACTTCTTCCTCGTTTCTCGAGTACGATTTTGACGTGTGGCGCGGAATCATAATGTTTACGGTCTGGTACCAATCCCACGATGCTTCCGTTAATGTCAATTTACGTCAGTTAAAAAGACTAGAGATTTAGACAGCTTTCCGTCAAGAGCGCCCTCAGCCGAACAATCTCAACATTTTGCCTCATCATCATAGGCCGTGTCCGAAACCGGCTTCTAGAACTACGGCTAGGTCTACGCGTCTCCGCACATTTCAAATCAGTGGAGCGATGGCCTAGCTCTAGACAACAGTAGCTTTCCAGAAACCGGACTCAGCCGGCAGGACGATGAGCAAAATTGCGCGAACAATAGCTAATACTCAAGGACGGATCAAGAACAAAATTTTAGGGGGGGGGCACAAATTTTGGATTTTTTTCATGTAACCTTTTATGCCTTTTCTGAGCGTACGGTTGTTGCAGAACCTCGTTGACGGCTCCTGGACCTGCCCTTGTAATGGTAGTGATTGTTGAATTGGGCTATTTGTAAAAATCATTTCGTCTCAGATGGCCCCATCAAAATATGGATTTGACGTTTCTTAATAAAATACATTATGGTAATGTTCACTGTCATGTTAAATTAATTCTTACGTTTCTCACTTTTCTTTTGAAGTAATGATGAGTACAATAAAATAAAACCAAAAAGTGTAGCTTAATCACCATGCTCAGTACGTTTTTCTCGTGCCACACAGCAGACCACTGCAAGACTTTATGTGCATGGTAAGTTATATTCCCGACAAATCAAGAAGCCTTCTGATAAAGTGCTCGAATTCGGGACTTTTGAAACTTTACATCAGCCGGCGGGCCGCCCAGCGCAGGCAGGTGAAAGTTTTTCTAGTTTCCTTAGCGAAGCCAAGAGATGTGTTCAACGTTTGCGTTCTTAAAATACAATTATTTTTCACTTTTGAGGGTATTTTTATTGTACAATATAGAAGAAAATATCTTAGCTTTTAACTACCGTGTGCGGCCAAAGTTCATCCTTTGAACCGCACTATCAATGAGTTCACCCATGTGTTTGCGTGTCTTCTTCCGCAGGTCCACCTAGCCTGGTACCCGATCCAATGGATCTGATTTTCCAACGCTGATGGTTTGGACACCAGAGCAGATACACCTGCCATCAAAAATTAACTTGTCACCTAAAAATCAACTATTTTAGTATTCCGCTTTGACTAGGAACTGTTTTGAGAGCGATGCATTTGGCTCAGAAAGCGACTATTTTTACCAATTATAAAATGTAAATCCTTTTTATCTGGAAACAATGACAGTGCTGCTTTTTTAAAAGAAATTCTATTGGGACCTAGACCTATTTTATTGATGCGGATGATTATTTAAAGTGTAGTCCTGAATCACTGTCGCCGGTACTCCCATGCACGAAAGATGGGTGGTGATTTGCTTAGCTGAGGAAATACTTCTCATTTTCTGCGTTATTTCAGAACTACTACAATCGAATGACAACTGAGTAAGATCCGGATCAGAACTAGGTAAGAGGGGATTATGACAATCGTTGATATATGACTGTGTTTGTCATTTGGGTTGATTTTAGTTGTTGCCGGGGTCGTGGGGGTTGGACTCGACTAAGCCCCACTACTAGTGTGGCACGGACTCTCCCGATTTATCCTTATATCGGGAGTGAGAGTCCGTGCCACACTAGTGGGGCTAGACTCAACTTAACCTTGTAACCGATGATTGTCACGATTGCTCCATGTATCCATGATGCATCAAGGGTATGGTGCATAGAATTGGCATGATCGGGTAATGCTGACTGTCTTAATTTGGGGTCACGTAGAACATGGTGTAATTAGTAGGCATCGCTATCTATCCATCGAAACTATGTATAAAGCATGTTGAGTAATGGCCAACAGAGGATGACATGATGTAGACAACGGTAGAAATTGATGAGAGTTAGGGCATACACACTGTCATGACTGTCGCGGTTGGCATGATGTCACTTTTTACATGTTTTAACACACATCAAAGGGGCAAATTTACCCTTCATGCTATGTACACAATGTTCCCAGAAGTCCAACCATGAGAATTCTGGCAACGTAGTGGCTATTGTTATGCGACTTTCGACATGTTACACAGGTTTCTGTATACTTTCTTGCACCAGTCGGCTGCATTGAAAACAGGAACCCAGACCAGCCTACAACAAATGCATCTTGTACTTTTTATTTTAAAAAGGAAAAGAAAAACCTGTATAGGAAGTAAACATGCACTCTGATTAATAATATGAAGAAAATGTAAAAGGAAAAAAATTAAAGGGAAAACTTCCATTGGGAGTGAGGCTTGAACCCAGCACATGTACGTTACACAGCAGCATACATGTACATACTGACTGACTGACTGAGCGTGCTGTCACAGTGCCTCGACTGAGATAGAATATTAAAACGTTATATAAATTACCAATGATATTTGTGTACTACTGTAACTATAGAATTTTGAAGTCTCGTGACGGTTACCATAACGATAGCCACTTTGTTTTGACAAAGTATCCTTAGACCTCCTAAATCTGTAAAGTCCTATTTTTACACAGTCACCTTTTAGTTAACATTCATTGAACGGCCAGTAGCTACTTTGTACTGTTTTAAAAAGTCTTGCAAAAGACCCAATAATGCTGGACATGTTGGCAATTAATCCTGCAAATAAACGGTCAGTTTAACAGCATATTTACAAGTTACATGTACTAGATTTGATTCATGAGTCCCAAAAATTCTTCATGTCAACAGTTCGCCATCTATTGTCTAGCATGTACTTTTAATATCACGTAATGTCATTAAATTTTGTTGATTCAGTGAAGCACTACAGGGGTACAGATAGGGCCCCTTTCTTATTTTTGAAGTTGCAAAATGTTGATTTGTTTTTTCTTGTCAGTTGAGTGAATATGATTAAACAGTAATGGTGGATCCATTTAAAGGTTTCATTTTTCTTCTCAGAAGAGAGCTGGATTAACTGGGTTGTCATTGGATTGCCCATGTTCATGAATAAACATAATGGTGGGGATGAGGAAACACATGTATGCCAGTGTGCCTGGTCACCACAGGAAGGGTGCGGGTATGGGGATGGAGGTTTTCACTAATGGTAGTGGTTGGAGGTTACATAATTAACATGGAATGTGGGATTCAATATGGGGACTAAATTAGGCCCCCAATTCCAAGGAGGGTTTGTTGTGGCACATTTAGGCCTTATTTTGTTTATTTTTACAAGTTATTTGTTCCTTATTATTTATTAATTTTTGAGGGGAATTTAGAGGCAGGGCGGATGTGGGTGGTTAATGTGGGTGGTTAATACAGAGTCATGGGTCATATGGGAGAGGGTGGATATATTCATGATAGGATATGGGGTGTTATTTTTAGTGTGGGGGAATGTAGCTAGTGAAGACAGGACACAAGTAGACAAGCAAGGGAAGCTATAAGGGACTTCATTTGTTACGTAAGAATGTTACCTGTAAATGTTGACAGACTGAGGAAATGTTAAAAAGATAAAAATACCAATTTTTTTTTCATTAAAACTTGTTTCTCCATTTCGAATAAAAATTATTCATATGAACTGGAAAAGACTACTGGAAAGGTATTAAGTGTGAAGTTGTTTACATTTTTAAATAAAAGATACTCATACGCATATGTTCTATTTTAAAGCCGAACACCAAGACTTTCCATTTCACTGAATATAAATATTGTGTAGCATGCCTTGGCCACTAGATTTCAAGGAGCGCCAGCTACGTGGATTTACATAGGCAGGAATTTCAACACACACATGTGATTGAACCCGCTGAAAGCTTCGTACTCCATGGCACAAAAAGATATACATGTAACTTTACCTTCTGACTTGCTTCAATGAAAGCCTGTGAGTTGTAAAAATAGAATTACCTTAATAAAATTTCAACTGCAAAGTAGTTTTCCGAAAATCTTGTTTCACAACCTTAGGTGCTCAAAAGTAGGAGGATGGAGGGTATACTTTACCAACTAAAATGATACCCATCAGCCCCTGGGCCAGGGGCCTACACAAATGTACGTCATCAAGATTTTCTTTTCGTTGCAATGAGTGAGACTTCCATATACAGAGATCACTGATTTTCCTTAACCCTACTTGTACAGTAACTACCCCAAACCTGCCATACTCCGACAGCAGGTTTTGTGAGGTTTTGACGGGTTTGGTACCGTACCTGATATTAAGAATTTTTTGGTGCACAGTGTGTCAAATAATGTCTGTGTACGGGTGTATGGAACTCTTTCTGTGGAATGGAGTTGAGAATGTCCCCCCAAAAATTGAACATGTTAAAATGGGAAGAATTCCACAAGTGTTTTTTGGATGTTAAGAAATTTCGCCTCATAAAATATTTGTTTGATTTGACTCAGTTGACTTGCCATTTATCGCACATCAGAGATGTTACTTCACACAAATAATGGACCAACTGATGTTTTCTGATGATAGGCATTCAACATGTTCAACTTCTGTGACGTACATGAACAGTTGAACGCGATTAACACGAGCACGCTTGAGACGAGATCGTGCTTACTACGAGCATATTTCTTCAGTCCTGTTCAAAATGCACACATTCCTATTAGAGAAAATCTTAATCAATACAAGCTGTTCTTAGACAAGAACACAGACAAGACGAGCATTTTGTCTAACCCACAGTATCAAAAACTATTGTCCATGGCATTTCAATAACAAGTACAATTGAAAACCCATCTTCAAAAGCTTAATCCCAATAAATCCTGATGGAGTGCGTCAGTCGTCTCTAATAATTCTAATCCGCTAGGCAATTTTGCAGTTTTACCACCGATCTTACTGTACCATACAGTACCAGTACATTGCCATAGTGTATAACAATGTCTGCTGGTGCATGACATCAGGCTTGGGCTCTATGAATGGGATAAGTGTCAACACGTATAACACGAGGTTTACCGTAAGACAAGGTTTTTTGGAGAGTCCCTTCAAGCTCGTATTAACCGTGTTCGAATGTACGTTACCCAAGTGCAACGCTGCATCTACAGTATCTTCCAACCCGAGAAATAAACATTTTCTCTTGCCTCATTATTGCAACATAATGAGCAAAAAGTAACATCCATGTACATACCTGTATGTATGTTTGTGTACCAAATCTTATGGGATTTTGGAAAAATTAATTTAACCATTTCAGAGACTGTCTATTTAAAGAGCAACTCAAAGGAAAACATGTTTTCTCTCTCTCTGAAAAATCTTTACCTAAAAAAGACTTATACAGATTTCATGTTCAGTACATATATTGTATATTAGTATATTGAGGAACTCCCATATTTCATTCTTTTAACAGCAAGGTGCCTTGTTGAAAGGCGCGCACGACCAGCCATGTTTGACGAGAACAAGAAAGTCTGGGTGCCAGACGTCGCCGAGGGGTTCCAGCTCGGCCGCATTGAAGACATTGGTGCAGAGTCTATCACCGTGGCCCCCATCAACAAGCCTGGAAAGGTAATTTCTAAATCTTCAACAAAACTAAATAAGCAGTTTTAATTCTGACCCTCCTGGATCCTTCAGAATCCATCAGGCTTTGAAAGATTCTTGAAGATTTGATACATGTAGGAAGGGAGAACTCGGCCACTGCTGCTAACAAGAGGCTGGATTCCTCCCCTCCACTCCATGCCATTTGGCCCTTTTATACACAGTGGTGGGTTCTGGAGAATTTTGAGAAGGCCCCCAACAAGAATACTTGTGTACAGTGTAGCTAGGGTTAATGCTGGGCATCTTTTCTTTTTATTCTATAGCTTACATGTATGTCAAGGGGTTTATGTTTTTCCCTGAATTAGTCAATAACACTCTTATTATCCAAGCAACCTCATGCAACCATTCAGTTTCCCCACAGTACTACATATCGTCTGTCACTTGACTGGTTTTGACTCTTCAGAATTTTATTCTGCATTGGACTGCCAAATGATGTGAAAAAAAGAAAGATAGAAATGTGGCAAGATTATTTAAGGTCTTGTCGGAGTCTTGTGTTTGGAGTCACAAAGATGCGCGAGTAGTGAAAATGACATTGCCGTAGCCCCGGGCGTCCCTTTATGCTGCCTTACCTTGAGTATCCCTAACCTTTACCATTCTATCAAGAAGTCAGTGCTTGTCTCCACGCACAGGTACTGTACCTGTAACACACCCTTATCAATCCACCATGGGCATGGCCAGGTTTTGTTCCTAGGGTAAGGGGACACAAACCACTGGCAAAATCAAACACCATTAAGGGAGGGTTAGGGTTAACCCTAACCCCTCCTCAATCCTTCACCTGTTGGAGGACTGAAGAGTGTCAGGGTTAAAGATGGATGGGGTCAGCTCCGAGACGCTTTCAAGTGTGATTTGCATCCCCTTCTCTTTGTCTTTTGGGGTAGAGGAGGGATAGAGGAAGAGGACCTTGTCTTCCCCCCCGACCCTTGGCGCCTGTGCTCCCCACCCAAAGGAGCTCAGAATTTTAGGAGACTCCAGGAGGCTCTTTGCTATTTTATGCCGAGGGAATTGGATTCAATCCATATGTGTGTATCTTTGTTCTCCCCCTCGTCTTCTGCATTCAGCCTGTGGTTGCACCGTACGCTCGTGTTTTCCCCGCAGAAGAGGATGAACAGAAGACGGTCGATGATAACTGTAAGTGCCAGTCTATTTGCCATATGCCACAATGCATCCATACCAGATACCAGTCTGTGTATGGTCGCTTGCACAAGTACGGTACCCGTCCTCTGCTTGTCAATCCGTTAGCCACAGCTGTCTCATCGCAGGTTTGATTGATAGCTTAACAAATGGTTTTGCTTAGTACACAGCTTCTGTGTAGGTACATGTATGTGCATGGTTGTCATGGAGATCTCTGCACAATGTACATGTACCATACGGTTCACTAGTCTTACCCCCCTTACAAGGCATTGGAAGTGCACCACTTCCTATGAACAATTGATTGAACATGTAACTGATCAACTGACGGCAAGTATGTATCAGCAAAACATTTTCATTTTCTGTCAAAATATCCTTTCATAAACGTAAAAGTATGCTAATAACATGCCCAACATGGTTGATATGAGCACTACTACACGTAGTGAAATATAAACCGCATTGCAAATTTCAGGTGTTCCTAAATTGGTTTATATTAGTGCACTGATGTTGCCAAACAATCGTGGACGTTACACAAAACAATTAATGCTTGTCCATGATTCCCGATACGTCCGTGGTTGTCAAACGTGTACAAAATATATTAGAGGCCTTCCAAAAAAAAGTGAAAGTATGAACAAAAGAGGATAATAGGAACATCCACGATTGCCAAAAAACATATTAGTCGGTGTCTGTGCCGTGTGAATATGCATACATGTACATGTAAAGTACGTCATTTTCATCGTTTGCATTTGATGTTTTTTGGACATGTAATGTACACGTACATGTATGTACTCAAAGGGTTGAGATTTCTAAGCTTTTCAGCTGATTTCAGCTTTTGTTGTTTTGGATTTCAGCTTTTTTTCCTCACTGGCTGTGTACAAAAGTATAGGAGATTTGCACAGTTCAGCTTCTTTTGGAGCTGTTTTCAGCTATATTTATCGTAGGTCAACCTCATCCCTGTACTTAGCTACATGTCGTTCACAGGCCATCAGAAGAAGAGGCTTATTTGACAAGGGATGCTTGTAAATAGTATGTCAGTATGCACAACACATTCTTACATTGTACATTATGCCGGTATGTACATATATGCGTATGTAGACATGAAGTACGGTAGCCTTACATGCACCGTACTGTACGTGTACAGTGTCTTTCTGTGTACATGTATGTTTGGTGCATTTTTCCCACAGAAATTCAAACACATACATGTACATGATGTCTTCCTATCTGCTGTTGGTTTGGCTGTTTTACATTCTTGAGACACAAAAATGAAAACCACTAAATAAATATTTAGGTTCCTCTAAATTTTAGGCTTGGCATTCTAGGTATTTAATCAAACCGTTTTGGAAAGGCATTTGAGCCAGGAAGAAAGTTTATCTTCTTGTAGATGCTCACTTGGTAGGTTTTGCATCATACATGTAGCTATCACAGGGAGCTAATTATTCATGCAAATTGCATGCTCTATGAAAATGAGCCCGTACATGTACCTTACGTACCGGTACATTCAAATTAATGCAAAAGAACTGTAAACCGTACATATACTGACAAGACCTGTGTGAAAAAATACAGTATGGTGAATTGTGTCAGTTTTTATTCCAGAAGCATAAAAACTGGGTTTCCAGTTTCCATGTTGATCCACATAGCTTGGTACATGTCACATTTGTTGTACACTGTACTCGTAGACCGTTCAAGAAGCGTGTGCCGGGCATGCACTGTCGTACGCGTGTACTGTACGTCAGTCCAGTGTCTGTGCATGTATTTTAATAATTGTTAATACATTTGCTTCAAGTTCGGCCTCTCTTGCAACAATACGTTTAAATTTAAATTGCAAATGTAAATGGCTGTATTTATGGTACTAGGATATGTATTTCCACAGCTGGTAACGGTGTCCTCTTCCCATTTACATTGCATCTAATAGTATGCTGCAAAAAATCATGAATACGCTTACTTTGGTGCAAAATCTTCTCCGGTACATTTTTTTGTCCATTGATTCTGCCTACTGTCATCGTGTCAAGGAAGTGGAAATAAGAAATAGAAACAGTCAGTAAAAATTTTAAATGGAATGTTTCAAAACACCTGCAGGCCTTTGTTGGCCATTTACGCGTAGTTTTGAACATTGATGGGCATTTCCTTGCTACATTATTTCAAGGCTTTCAGAGGTTTGACTGCCGAAAGAATCGTGATATTCCTGAGCAGTGCCGAGTGATATTCAAAAGTAGTGTTCGCAGCACTCAAGCATAAAAGTGTACCAGGCATGTAGCATATATTGCTTACATGTACATGTACAAAATGGGTCACCACTTGTCTGTCTTGTTGATTTCATGGAGGACCCATTTGTGACAGCTCGTCATTGATCAAACCTACGTACAGCAATGCAGAAAATGTTACAAGTTACAATTCCCAGTTGGTTCATAAAAGCTCATTACTTATGGTATTTCAACAACAGTCTCAGTTGAAAATGAAGATATTAACTGAAGCAAAAGCAAATCTCTAAAAAATACTAAACCCAAAGGGGAATTCCGTTATTTGCATTAATGTTAGAGAAATTAATATTCACACAAAATGTACAGTATTCACCTTTTCCCTGATGCATTTATATGCATACATGTATACATTTCAGCAACACCCCTACCCTGCCCTCCTTCCTCCGTGTTACTCTGCCCCACCCCTTATCTGTATGGATTACTGAGGAGGGTAATTAATTTTTTATCGTGGATTTCGAACCTTCTCTCCGGATATTGAAAGGCATTGCTATTTATAACTTGTGCGATGTACTGTACGACGGTGACTTATTTGCCGCACAGAACTCGACTGCTGGGTGTCTGATTACTATAGCAACGAGGAAAATTTATGCATTGCATAACGTACTTAGCATATGAAAGGATGTTATGCCACATTTGGGGAGCATAGAGAGAGGAATTTTATCTACATTGTATATGTACAGTGTACATGTAATTCATATGCAAATGTACATGCTCAGAACTTATGTTTGTGAATGTAATTTCAAAGGTTAAAGAAACATGCATTTTTTTGAAAAGTACCTGATCTAATTCTCCTTACAAGTACCTGATCTAATTCTCCTTACAAGTACCTGATCTAATTCTCCTTACAAGTACCTGATCTAATTCTCCTTACATACACTAACTAGTACAGCAGTGATCTCAAGTACATAACCCAGTTCATGTATGTTGATTTTTAAATTTGAAGCTGACTTGATGGAAAAATTGTGTGGCAGTAAAATGGTTGCCGGAGTGATGAATCGAGTCAGGTGACTTGAAGCCACTTCTCTGAGCTTGGAAAAAAAAAACAATAGGACTGATCCAGACAATTTGTACAGTTGGAAAATGATACAAGTTCTTCCCGCTCAAAAATAAATTTAAAAAATGACACACTTCAACTGCATAAGTTTTTGGAGCCTTTTTTTTAAGAGAACTCCATACAGTATGCCGTGTGTTTCCTGGGCAGAAGCTCATTATTAATCACACAGACATGTGAACTCATGTTTACCGTTCAATGATTTTTGCAAGCTCTGTCATCATAAATACACGCAAGTGTTCACGTACTGTTGATATTTCCAGTGCATGGTTTTTCTTTCCCAAAACAGTGATTTGATTTAATTTGATTGGGAAAAATTGCTGTTACAAATTAAAGTCCGCATGTGCGTTTGGCTTGAAGTTTCTTCCTGTCCACAGTAGTGAGGCAAAGTACGTATCTTCAGTAGATTCTCTTGACTACATAAAGTGTGTATTTTTTCTTGTTTTCCTCGTAGGTGCGTTGATGTACTTGAACGAGGCAACACTCTTGAACAATCTCAGGCTGCGTTACAAGATCGGCAAGATTTATGTGAGTACGCTCAGCCAGCAGGTTATCGTTTAGGGAAAAAAAAAACAAATCTGTTCATTTGTCCAAGGACAGCCTTGTCATGAAGGCAATATGCCCATGCCGTCTGGATGTAAATTATGCTCTAGGCTGGCCATATGGGAGTGTTGTTGCATGAAAGCTTGAAATAGACATGTAAATGAACATGCGTTTCATCTCCAGTGAGAAAAAGAAGCAAAATATATTGGAATACTTGCAGTAGTTCACGAGACATTTTTTTTTTGTGTGATCATGACGGATAAGTCACCTTCAAATAGCAGTTTAAAGTAAAACTGATACAAAGTCTGTAGAATTTGAATGTGTCTCATGTAAACAGGTGTTTCAACCTCTGAGTGGCAAAAGGGCATGACAGAAAAACTTGCAAAGTAATGTCTGATCTCTACAGAATAAGTAATTCAGGAATTATGGGATTTTTTCCCTTTTTGTACCAGTGGAAAGAAGTGGATTTTGGTGTTGTTTCTTCAATGTTGCCCCTTGCTAACAACACTCCCATAATGTAGATAGGGAAGTTGAACTTCACTTAGGCCAGCTTCCACAGTCACCCTGCACAGAGGGGCAGGTAGTGAAGATGTTAAGCTATTAAGCCTGGATAGGATGTTGACCTCTGAGATGCTTGAACTATTTTGGTGTGTTAGCAAGTGCTGCAGCAATATGGCACAATCTTGTGCATGCGTGTGTTTCCTTCTTGGACTAGAAAACGGGGTCCAGTTTATCAATGAAGCGATCGACTCGATGTGTACAGAAGAGGCCTCTTGTAAAGGTTGTAATGAAGTCGTGGGGGTGGGAAATTTCTTTTTTGGTTGGGAACTGTCCATTTATGGAATCGCAGCTTTCTTGCATGACCGCAGAGAGACACGCACATCAAATGTGTAATGTGCCAGATATATACACTGTACACCACCTTGATTGTCTGAAAGTTTTTTGGATTCCTTTCTTGAGCGTCCAAGCTGTAACAATCAACCCATCCACCAGCCTGCCCCACCCATCCACTTACCCTTGTAGCCCACCCCCTCCTAGCTCACTATCCAGTTCCCCCAAGCAAACAACTTGTTGGGTCCTACCATGGGAGGAAGGGGGGGAGGGCTCGATGGGATCATGTCCCACTGCACCGCCATAGGAAAGGGCACACTTACCTGTGTGCAAATCATGATTCTTTTGCTGTGATGTGGTTCGTGAGTTTTTGTACACTTTCTTGGTAGATGCGTGAACATTGTATGATGTGGCACATGTACAGAAATACCGGTAATTGTACAGTCCCATGACTTAGGTGTGCCTTCTGTGCAATAACTTTATACCGACTGAAGTGTTAAAAAAAGCCATGGACCATATCACAGGAGGCTGGGCTGTCTACGCGCGTACATGTGCATACTTTCCGTTACTGCTGTTATTCTTGGACGCTGTTCACCAAATTCAGTGAGAAAATAATCTGGTCATTAAAAACAATCTGGACAGCAGACTGTCTGTTGGCTATGTGAGGTCATGGTCTGTCATGTAACCATTCCACAAACAATATCTGGTCTGTCAAGATTTTGTGAACGGTGGGAGTGGTTCACATGGAGACCGTTTTCCTCCACACATTCCAGTGGAGGGATTAGGAACCAGTGCATAGATTCACTCATGCTGCTGGGGAAAAAACCAGTGAGCTATACGGATATGGATTTTTTTACACTGAGACCCATGGTCGGTGGTTGGGTGGTGCCTGCGTGAGTGTGTCTTTTGTTAATCACTTTTCACAACACTGTACTCACAGTGGACATTGTCTGTACGTGGACCTCCATCCTTCACATTTGTTGTCGACCTGTTTTTGAGCCGTTGGGCAAACATCTGGCATTATGTGCTTTTGTTGCAGGAACACACAGTTCAAGTGGCAAGCATATCACAATGTCGTATCTGAACACCAACGTATGTTGTCTGGCACCCTATTTAGTTTATGCCTGGTCTGAAATAAAATTGGGTTTTGCTTCGACGTATTTCTTTTTTGTGCACGTGTATGTCCCAGAGTCACTAATGTTTTTGTTTGCACGACGTTCACCAATGGATTTGAAACGTGTATGTAGATATGTTTTGCGTACTAATTTCTTTTAGCAATTTTCGTTCAGTTGATTAAAAGGGTCCATGCATTAATATTTTGTGAGACTACTTTTTTATCTGACCTCACTGTGTGAAACCTCAAACTTTTGGCAGCCTTTGGTGTTATGAGTAATGATAAGCCCACATTCTGGAAACATTTCAAATTCTCAGCTGTTCCTAACAACTGAGGGCGGGCGCTGTTGCTGCGACGAATATGCGTGTCCCCCCAAAAAACTATTGAAACTTAAATGAAGACTTTTTTGAGTTGCCGTAAGTCACAGAAACCGATATTCTCTTTGGACAAATTCTTCAATCCTCCAAGGCATGATTTTGTGCTTGACTGTTGCTAGGTGCACACAGCAGTACTTAGTCTACTGTTACATGTAGATGTACAATGGTCGTCTATATGCACTCTAATACATGTACATGTGATATGTGTGGACCATTTTGACTGTTACATATTTGCGAGTGTGATTTAAATTTTCCTCAAATCATTCCTTAATATAATTCTTTGAATTGAGAAAAAAATTACTGCAATCTTCAAGCAGCATGGTTTGATGCCTTTTTCTGGAACAGCGGAAGTGGGCAACATTCAGCAACAGACAATGTTTGGTATTGGGTATTTTGTTTGTTTATTTATGGGAATGCTTCTCCTGTCTTGATCTCATGTTGGATAAAAAAAAGGGGGGAGGGAAATACATTTTTTTTCCCGGCTTATTATAAGAAGTATGCGTACATGTACTTGTGAATTTGCCTTGCCTGTTTTATGCGTTAATTTCTTTATAATTGTTTGTGGCAACCATTCAACTGTTCTGTTTCCCAAATACCCGAGCGGGTTCGCCGCACATGTACCCTGCCACATAATTGGTACATCCCATGTTGCCAGGGAGGAATGCTAATACCATGGTTACGTTATCCCTTCTTTTGCGTATTTGATTTGGTATTTGCCGCATGCCCATTGCCTGGTAGCATGATTAACAGATTGATTAATTTGATTAGGTAACAGTCTGTCAGTCAACTGAGTGATCATGAGGAATGTCCATTCTACGGCAGTACATGTATGTACATGGACAGTACTTTCTGATTACACGTACATTGAAGACTGTAATGTACATTGCAAATGAAATGAGTAGAGTTTACATATTGATCATTATAATTTATAACAATACCCGCAGCTATTTCTATTACCATTTCCTCTTACTACCATTAACTGTAACATCCCTTGAAGTCTCTTTTGGCCAAGATGAAGTCTTAATTTACATGTTAAATGAGAAAGGATTTTGTTCAATTGATGCCAGTGGGCCAGTTCAGTATTTCAAAAAGCCAAGGTCTTTCGGGAACAGTGTGCACTCGTTAGTCAGCATATGGCTGTGCTGATAGGAGAGGTTATTGTGCGCTCACGTGGCTGCTCTCTGAATAGCCTTGCACCGGGCATGCCCAGTTGGAATACTGAACTGGCCCATTGGAATGGTTTAGCTGTTGGTGTCTTGCGCAAGAATGGTCTGAAACATGTCAACAGCTTCAGGTCTATAGTAGTTCCGCACATCCTCCCTGTGTTTTTTTCCTCCAGTTTAAATCAGGAAGTGACCACAATTCCTCCCAAAGTCTCTCTCTTCCCCAGATTTGTCTGTCCGTCATTTTTCACAGTCAACCAAAACTTCTACATTAAGCATTGGCTCAGTCATACACACGCGTGCAGGTTACTAATTCATTAATTTATTGTAATTTTTAGAATAATTCATGAATTGTATGATCACTTTTGGACAGACCTACGTGGCCAACATTCTGATTGCGGTCAACCCCTACAAAGAGCTGAAGAACCTGTACGGCAATGAAAAGATCAGGAACTACAACGGGAAGTCCCTTGGTGTACTACCTCCCCACGTCTTTGCTATCGGTAAGAACGAAAACGCACTGAAGATAAACGCTGCGGTCTCATTGCACCCACATGCACAGTCTCACGCTTGGCGCGGGCGTGCATTTGGCAAGTCGCGACATCCTATTGGTCAAAGAGGCATGTAATGTGTGCGCATACCACCTGTCACCAAGCATTGTGCCTCCGCCGTTATGGCTTCTAATTCTTCTCAGCAGATTACACAATACCCAAAGACAGCTCTCGTAATCTTTTGTACATGTACGTATACACTTGGTGCTGACAAGCTGTCTATGTAAAGTGCAAATGTATTAACCAGTGCTGGTGCGTAAAGTGCTATGCTGGTACATCGCTGTGGGCTTTGAGCTGGACCAAGAGAGGGTGCTGTTTCCTTAGCAGCGGAGTCTCCTTTGGTCAGAAATGAACTGTGCTGATTCACAAACGGCTAGGAAATGCATACGTCATGGTCGCATTGCTACCAACGAATTGAACACTCCCAACTAACTAATTTTCAACCGATGAGGGGGTGCCTCTGCTCGAGGTAGATTATTCATGCCAAATGGGCCAAGAAATCTCCTTTATTAAACCATCTTAACACATCTTGGGGCGAGTTTGATCAGCAACAATTCGTTAACCACTGGGCGATTTTGCCCGGTGCCCAGTGTATATTTTATGTATAGCTTACCAGTCCAAATCGACCATTGGTTGAAAGTTTGTCGCTGCTCGCCTTGACCTTGGTGCAGCCATTTCAGGCACTTCATGGCTAATCAACCACAATAAACCTCTGCCCTCAAGTGACCATTTGGGTGGAGAGAAGCAAGCGACTTTTTCCAGGGTTGCATGTTACCTGTGGCAGGATTCGAACCTTCCCGCCTACCTCAATCCCAAACCATCAGGCCACTATTATGCAGGGGTGTGAAATCTCCGCTTTTTGGCGGATTTCTACTTTTTTGTTGAATTCGCCGAAGTTCATTTACCGCTTTTTGCCATCGACGGCAAGGTTTTCCAGGTTTTTTTTTTTCCTTTCGCAAGTGCCGATTTCTCCTTTTTTTCTGTTTCTACCGACGCAACGAGACGGTCAGGCCAAACTTCACACATCCTCTGTCTGGCACAGAACAGTACTACTGGAGTGCTGCATATGCATGTTAAATGCACGCGGTTCAATCTACTCTACATGTGTACATGTACAATACTAGCACTGTGCGTGTACATGGACATGCGTACAGTGCATACAAATCTGGTTATGAGCATTATTCGGCGCGGAGCAAGCCTTGTGTGTAAACAGTATCCTCGGACCACCAGTCATTGTGCTGTGATTGGCTGCCGATGAAATACCAATATTCATGTGTCAGTGGAACTCTTTACAGCTGTCCCTGCATGAGCAGAAGTAGTGACTAACAAGCTCCACTATAACTCGTAGTAGCACACATTTCACTGTAAAATTGCAGCTTGAAATAAGGTTAGTAAATTTTCTGTTTTGCTGATAGAGTGCATCGTAGCAACTGGTGCAGGGCCTTCTTATGTCATGCATTCTTGCGAGGTTTTGCATCGTTTTCTATGGGCTTTCAAACAATTTGTGGACATTAATTCATCAAAATATCAGTACAACACATACATGTATGTACAATTGTCCAACGAGGTTCTGACTCAGATATGGCCTTTGATAAGACCGATCCGCAAGTTACAAATCCGCAGAAATGGACGTGAATGGAATACGCCATAGACATGACAGGCAGTCAACACGTCAGCGCCCAGAAAATCCAAAAGCCTGCACATTCAATGTGCTGTGCATTCTTGAAAGAACTGAAATTTTGAAATATGGTCAGATTAGGTAATGGGAAAGGGCAAACTCACTTTATAAACCTCGATATTTACAATTTTGGTATGCTTATTAGCCTACTAGCTCATTTTAACCTTCAGGAATTTCAAGACAAGTGAAGAGAAGTAAAAATTAAAAAAACACAGCCTAAATTGCAAGAAAAAATGACCAATGGTTGCTCCATCCAAGAGGTTGTCAAATGCACCACAGAGCATCCACATTTCAAAATTTTCCCGGGGCCCACTTAAGGGGCCCGGACCCCATGCTGTACATGTCTATGCTTAGCACTTTGTGCTCCCAATTTCAGCTATTTTTGTAATGTTCCACTCACACCCCTGATTATGACACGACAGATCTGCACAATCACTGGGTTGCACTGATGCGCCAGACGTGTGCAGACAAGCGTACGGTGTGCTGCCCCGGGGAGACGGTTACTCGGCAACAAAAATGACCTGCACCATTCACGCGTAAAGCAAATGGCCAAAAGCGTTCATCGTGAACAGCAGAATGAGCAAGCACCATGCCCAACAAAACAGCTGCGATCGTGGTTGCCTGTAATTTTGCATCAGCAGATCATATCACTTGTAGCGTGATGACTGTCAGGCGTAACAACTCTTCTGTGAAATCTCAGCTTTTGTAATTGTCTCTCTGTCACGGTGTGATTCAGATTGATCAAGGTGCTGTGCATCTCTTGAGACTTGTGGTGTTTGACTGGAAAAAATCACCCTACAGCCAAAGGGATGTTTGATATTGTTCAAGATAATGCTTTAGATCAAAATGAAAATAAGTCAAAAATATGCATGGTTTACATTATCCCTAACTCCCTTGTTGCTTCTGTTTGAACCTTTCCCCGCACATCGTCCACCAGGGGTATTATCTTTGAACTCCAATCTTTCAAGAGGCACCGTGTCTCCTATTATGAGTCGCAATGGTTCCCTGGCTGTGCTCTTCTTTCCCCAATCCTGCCAAGTCCCCCCCCCCAAAAAAAAACCCCACCTGAAGACTTTAGATCTGGGAAACGATTAGTCCCATCTCACAGAGTGAGAACATCAGCCTGGTCCCTACCAGATCCTTCAAAATCCACTGGGAGGTTTAGGGAGACGTTGCAGGATTAAGGCAAGTAGAGCCCAGCCACCAGAACTTCATGCAGGGCTTGATGCCTGTGATAGTTTGGAGTACAAAGAACCTCCCATTGGAGGTTGTGGGAAGAATTCGGGAAGTTTGCAAGTGAAAATGACCAGGAGAAAGTTAGATAAATGTTAAGTTACTTACGTGTGTTTCATTTCATTTTTTCCAGCGGACAAGGCTTTCCGTGACATGAAAGTGACCAAGATGAGCCAGTCCATCATCGTGAGCGGTGAGTCGGGTGCCGGTAAGACAGAGTCAACCAAATACATCCTGAGGTGAGCGATTCATTGTACTCAATTTGTTCACTCGTATCCCTGAGGTTGTTACTCATTGCACTTGCTTGTTGGTATTGTGTATTGACGCAGACACCGCATGTGGAACAATTTTCAAAGAGGGGGTCAGTTATGAGACTATCAGGCATCAGCCATTAATGGGCCGATCCACTGAGCCCCATCCCATTTTATAACACAGTTCCTCCTGGTTCTTTATCCTTATTGGCTGAAATACGGTCATGTGTGGTTCACTAATATGGGCTAGTATGTGAATTTGGTGGCGGCATGACACTCACCTAGACAGTGCGCGTGTGCATCAATTCCAGAGACAGGCGCCCGGTCAGGTACTAGTCTTAACAATTTTGGACTGGTCATTGCGCCCTCTTGAGATTATTTTGAAATGAAATAGTTCAAACCCTGGAAGATTTCCTTTCCTAGCTGTATACAGCGACTCAAAATTAGACTGTGTCTATGAAAACTAAAATGAAGCTTCAAATTTTGGGCACTTTTTGAAGTGCAATTGAAAGATGAATTAGAACATTTAAAACCCTGAAAAAATATTTTTGTAGTATGAGGTATGTTATAAAACACATACGGACTGGCCAAATTCGGTCACTAGTGCACGCCCATGCCCCCTCGTGCCTGTGAGTGACCAGAAGAGAGTCCTATTATAGGACTATAGGCTATAGGATATACATAAAGGTCCTGAATGGAACCCTCTTCTAGTCACTCACAGTCCCTCGGGGACATAGGCGTGCACTAGTGACCTCATTGCCAGTCCATATGTGCATAACAGGACCTGCAAAAAGTGGGGGACAATGCCCCTCCCCCCAGTTGAGAAAGTGGGGAAGGGGGCCACCATTGTCCAGTGGTCACGGAATCCGTCCCAGTTGTTCATTGTTCATCTGAAAATGTTACACCCTCATGCTGTCATCCAGTAATCAAGTACACTCTCCAACCCCAACCCAGTCAGGTTTCTCTGGGTGTCTTGCTTAAATACATGTAGCCCCCTCTCCCACCCCTGCAAAAATAATAACAATATCCACAGCTGAAATACAGAACCCTGCTGAAGTGCAACAAAGTCCGATAAGGCTGAAATGGAAAAGCCTGCCGAGTGCATATCATCCGCCTTGGTCTTGGCAAATTTAAATTACAAAGTGCCTCTTGATACTTGTGCTTGTGCTCAGATTCAATGGCACACCACGCAGCACACCACGCAGCAGTTTTTAACATTTGTAGCACACAACACAGCACACCATGCAGCAGTTTTTAACATTTGTAGCACACAACGCAGCACACCACACAGCAGTTTTTAACATTTGTAGCACACAACGCAGCACACCACGCAGCAGTTTGTAACATTTGTAACTCTTACATATAGTGGCATTTCGCAGTATTTAGTTGTATGGCCTTGCCAAAATGGACAGATGGATCATATGACGCCTCAGCTGCCTCTTTGTTTTGGCAAGATTTTGTACATTTGCCACAGTGCAGCGGGATGTAATTTTCCTCCTTCCTTCTCGCCAAGGTATCTAACTGAAAGCCACGGGCAGGGCGCGGGCACCATTGAGCAGCGTATCGTGGAGGCCAACCCTCTCCTGGAAGCCTTTGGCAATGCCAAGACTATGAGGAACAACAACAGTAGTCGCTTCGGCAAGTTTGTGGAGATGCACTTCAGTGAGAAGGTATGAGATGTAGGGCTGTGCCGAATATCTGAATAACCAAATATTCGATCGATTGTCGAATATTTGAATAGTATTTTTTCGAGTTTGAATATTCGAATGCAAAATTCATGAAAAGGAAGGGAACATTTTCTTTTGTTTAAATGAGAAAAATTGCACTTTGGAGGTTTGTTTCAAGCAGATTCAAATGAAAAGTGTCAGAAATCTTACAACAATTTAAAAAGTAAATTATTCATTAAACAATCTAAAAGGACGAGAAATTTTCAACAGGGCAAGAAGTCTTGTTCTTCTCTTAAATCTTGCTAAATCATGGCTGGAGATGCTCCTAGATGTGAGAAGCTATTATGTTGATCATAATGTAAAATTGTGTGTGTTATTGCAACTGATTTTGTATATGGTTTGTTCATCAACAATATGCCAGTTGATACAACCGAATATTCGGATATTTGATCCAATTGAAGGTTGAATATTGAAATGGTGAATTATTCAAATTGACTCAGCCCTAATGAGATGCAGACTTCAGTAATTAGGGAGAGGCTTTGTGAACCCAAAGGTAGGGTATTGGTAACACAGCTTATAACAATTGAACTTAGTATTTGAATTGTCTGAAAATACAATTCAGTTGGACTCCGTCAATGTCCTTTGTTTTTTTGCACCATTATTTTCATAAATCCATTCTTGTACTGTGTGGACAAGTCATCTACATCCAGCTGCTAATTACAAATACTTCCAATATCTAGCTGTGTACAAGACTTGCATTTTGAATGATCAAAAACATTAGCACCATAAATGGTATGCATTAGTAATTACTGTTCTAAGCTTTTAACAGAGGATTTTGCCTTTCACGGGTGTAGTGCCGTACACTCTTTGTGTGCGCCGTGTGCTTCTAAGATTTCCCCCAAGTTTTATTTGACTTCCCGCTTTTACTCAAGCTGGTCTTGATCCACACCTTTTTTAGCTGAGCACAAACTATATTACCACTCGTTGAGTTAGATTTTGGATAGCTGGCCAGTTGGTATGTAGGAAATAATTCACTTTCAAGATGTCTTCGTTTAGTGTCTGTCGATTGTATCCTCCAGTATTCTGTGGTTGGTGGCTACGTGTCTCACTACCTCCTAGAGAAGCCTCGTGTAATCTGGCAGAACAGTGAAGAACGTAACTACCATATATTTTACTACCTGTGCGCCGGGGCGCCAGACAATGTACGCAAAGACCTGGGCATAAAGACACCAGACGACTACCAGGTAGGCCTTCCATAGCCTGATCGTTCTTCTTGATTGAGAAAAGACACGGGGAATCTTGTGCGTTTACCCTAAACACGCTGATCACTGCAAAGATTTTTGTGGCTTTGGTTCCGTCAGCAGCAAGTTACAAACTGCCAAAATTCGGAGACAGTGCAAGCGGCTCCCATTGAGACGGTTGCACCGTTTGATCTGATGGTGGCTGGCAGGCTGGGACTCTGAGGTCCTTTGTTATGGGGAAAGTCGACCTGATAAAGCTTGTCACACTTGGCAGTTTTTCACCTTGACAGTTTTTGTACGTTGTGGCATGCACTTAAGTAACTCTAGCCAGAATGTTGTGGAGATAATGTAGATATTTTTGTGTTGTCAAGGGGTGGAGAATAATATGCAGAAAGTTACGTTATGAACACAACCATCGGCAACTTGTGAAATTTTATTTAAGAGCTATGGCTATGTCTGTTTTGCCCATGTATTTGCTACTGGAAAAGACCTAGACATAGCTTTAAACACTTGATTTGGATGTGACTACGTATTCATAATTGTTTTTATGCTAATTTGTTGTACTTGGCAAAATTGGCAGAATTATTTCTGAACAGTACAAGCGCAATTTCAAAAGTAACGATTTGTTCAGCCTGTTACTTCCCTGATTATTAATCATAATTGGGGCACAATTTGTTACACCGTCACAAATTGTGTCCCAACCTCGTGGAATGACCCAATTCACAAATAAGAAGTTTTACAGAAAAAAATGAAAGTGGATTTAAGGGCAGTAGTATACAAACGTTGACTGCTGCGAGTGGTGATCCATGGAGCACTCTAAAATAGAATGCTCCATGGATCACCTCGGGAGGCTAGTTTTACTGTACCGCGAGATAAAGCAGTTGATGTTTGTTTTATAACACCTCCCCACAGATTCTGCCAAATTGAAGCTAAAAATCAATAATGAAACACCAAACTGGAATTTCCAGTCATCAAATTTAATTCAAGAATTCCAAGCGGAACAGCAACGTTTGAATACATTCATTGACTAATGTTGTTCGCCATGAGCCGAATTATACACTTATGCTTTTGTTGCTGTGGATAAATTTCTTTGGTTGCTATGGTTCTTTTTCAGAATGAGGCTGCGTGGTATAGTCTTTTTGAAGTGGTGGTATAAAAATAGTAAAACTAGCAAGCGTCACATGACAAACTTTCGGCCAATCAAGATACAGAATCTGTGGGTGAGGTGTTATAATACAAATTATTTCCACAGTCTATTTTTGACTGTGCTTAAGAATTAGCTTCTGTATGAGAATGAGGTCGGTAAGAGCATGACCAAATTTCCACTATTGCTTGGAATTTCCCATCAGTCGAAACAACTTGTTTTAGGAAACTGTTTGTTTACTCTGAACAGTATCTTAAGAACGGCAACACTCTCTACTTCACCACCAAGGAGACCCACAAGAGCCTGCCTGATGATAGGAAGAGTAAATTGGTATGTTGCCATGGTAACTTGGTCATCTTTTGTTCTTATTGTAGTCTCTTTCTGTTTTATATACTGCATTTTAATATTTTCTTACACAGAAGTACAGAAGTAATGTGGAACTGAAGTGAATAAACTCTGAATGACTTATGCTGGCTTGCATCCTTATCTTAAAACCTTTCCTCAATGCTTCCTGACTCTGTGCCACTCTCTTTCTGTTAGTTTTGCAATACTTACCTAGTTGTTCAGATATTTTTAAAAATATTGGGCCTTCTTTTTTGACTAATCCCTGTCATTTCGACCTGTCTTTATATGGAAATATTTCCCTGCCGTTTGTTTCTGGTAAGAACTCTCGTGATCATTTGCATGTCACAATCTTGTGTATTGTTTGTTATTGTCCCAGTCCAACTGCAAGAAATCTATTCCATTTTGCACACGATGTGAAATTAACTTTCTCAAAATCCACTGTTGGCCACGTCCAGAACTGGTTTTACAACACCAAATATTAATGAATTGAAAACTTCACTCTACCATTACTATACAAAGGCCTTTGTGTCCCCACTCAAGCACCGAGTGTACGATAGATTCATCATACCTTGCTTTTGAGGGCTGTTGGGTCTGTAGATGGCAGAGTAAATCAAGAAACACACCCAGTACTTGGCTCAGAGGTGTACTCGTAGCCTGTGTGGGTTGTTTATTGGCCTCTCTCCACCCAGGATTAAATGGATAGTTGGGCTTTATTTGCAATCTGCACATGAGATACAATTATCAATGTTTATATTCCGCAGGGACCCGATTCACTGACTTTTAGAAATGATTACGAGCGCAGTAAGCGTAGTGTCTCGGTCCTTTGTTTGACCTGCACTTCACGGATAAGCACATTGTTATTTATAAATATATAACATTTCACTGTATGTTTTGTGGTCACAGTAAAAGTTGCAGGTGGTGGATGTTTTAGAATTAATTCTTCCATGCACCAACACTTTGGAACACCTGTGTAAATTAAATTTGCATGCAGTGATAACTGTAACGTTCATTGCCAATTCCTGTAAGTTAGCGGTACATTTGAAGACTGCACTTAGACTGTTTGGAGGTTTTAAACTCTGCCTCGGTATAAGTTGGAACTGTTGTTACTGTGGAGGAATTTTGTATTACACATAAAATAATCTTGTAATTTCCTGTTTACTCTGTTAACTTTGGGTGTCATTTCTAAGGAACTTGTTCCGCATACTGTACGAGATCTCATGCTGGACAGTTTAGTTTTGGAATACTGGATAAACCGCTCAGTTTGATGAAGGTAGCTGCCCGAAGCAAGATTTTGAACTTGCATCTTCCTAGATGTTGCACTGGTGCTCTGTCAACTTAACTTAGCCATCGAGTTCTGTGTTTGATTTCTCAATATCTTTGCTCGGGGTAACTAGGCACACAAGCTGTAAAACCCACTAGCCCTGTTGGTAGAACAGTTGGATAGTATTCCTGAGGTTTCAGGTTCACATCCCTTCTGGTTTTTTTGATGATCTGGTACCTTTACCATACTGTACCATAGTCAGTTTGTATTGTACATGTATATTGAGTGACTTGAAAAGTCAAGGGTGAAAATTATGAGCAGCACCAGTGTTGTCATTTGACGGAGCAACTCACTTGTGTTTATATGGTACGGCAAAATGCAGTGATTCGCCATAGTGAGTAAGGTCCCAATTTACAAACTTCCCATGCGGTTAATTTGTCTTTTTTTCCTCCCAGTACAAGAAATATGGGGGCCTCTATGACATCACCCTGGACGACTACAAAGGCTACTCGCGTGTGGAAGGCGCTATGAAGAAAATCGGCCTGGACGACAAGGAGAAGATGAACATCTTCCGCGTGGTGGCCGGAGTGATGCATCTTGGGAATGTGAGCTTCAAGGTGTCCGACGGAACCCAAGGTGTGTTGATGTCTTTGTTGTGGTCTCTCTTGGGACGTTAGTCTAGACCTTTTTAACCCATGTGACAGGATTGCTCTAAATGTAAACAATACCACCATGTGTGGGCGGCTTTGGCCACGGTGATCGCATAATATTCCTACAGGCAGCTTCAACCGCGTGCAAGCACCCGTGGGAATGCTGCATGTTTGACTATTTTATCTTGAATAAGTAGATTACAATCAAAACCTCCTTTTCCGCTGTTTCGTCCCTTGGCCAGGGGGTTGTTTTGTGCCGGACGGGGCTGTGAGTGAACTGACCAAGACGGCCGAGCTTCTGTCAGTCCCCGTCAACGACCTGCAGGAATGCCTGACCAGCCGCATCATGCAGACCAGCAAGGGAGGCCACCGGGGAACACTCATCAAGTAAGAGCATGACTTGGTTGGGCCTTTGCTGGCTCAAGGAAGGCAGAGCCCAGCCACTAGCATTGCTGTTCTGCAAAGTGGAGCATTTTGGTGGATTCAGGAAGTTTCCAATAATGCCTCACAATTTAGATTAAAGATCTGCTTTAAGTATTTAGATTTGCCTAATAATAATGTGATTGTCAAAAAACAAGAGTGTCAGCCGTTCTGTGAAATCCTTGCTCCTAGTTTGTTGTCATTTTCAAGAAAACATGAAAAATGTACATGCAAAACATTAATAATGAAAGTGCAGCTGAATCACATCCAGTGCATGAGCTTGTATGAAAAAAGTAATTATTTGTTCCTTAGGAGTTCTGTATCATTTGAACTTGCTTAAACTTGGCAAACACTGTCGGGTAACAGGAATTCTTTAAGATCATTCAAAACGGGGGTTGGCTGTCAAAAGCACAGAAAAACATTTGCTACACGGGTTTGCGATTCCGTATGACTTTGGCTGTTATTTGAAAGTTACTGTCTGGAATTCTTTGGGTCATGCTGAAACGGTCCGACAAACATGTTGTTCCTTTGATGAATGGTGTTCCATGATGTCGTAATGTGCATTTTGTGAACGTGTGGAGTGCTTGTGGTTCTGACGTATGGAAGTATTGCAGATTTTGCAGTGTAATGCTAAGGTCTGAATGTTTTTTATGAGAAACCAATATTCATGCTTTTGCACAATGAGAATGCAAAAATTGAATTGAATTGACTAGATTTCCTAATTTTGGCTGAGTGAGCTCGGCAAGCGTGCACCGATTGTCCATTTTTCAACAAGTTTTGGGTTGTTTCAGTTTCACTGGTTAGCTGTCATGTGATCCCTGTGCAGGGTACCGCTGAATGTGGATCAGGCCTGCAACGCCCGGGATGCCCTGGCCAAGGGCATCTACTCCCGCCTCTTTGACCGCATCGTCCAGCGGGTCAACGAGTGCTTCCCCTTCCAGTCCTCCCAGTCCTACATCGGCGTGCTGGACATCGCCGGCTTCGAGTTCTTCACCCTGAACAGCTACGAGCAGTTCTGCATCAACTACTGCAACGAGAAGCTCCAGCAGTTCTTCAACAAGCGTGTGCTCAAGGAGGTATGGCCTCGCGGACTTACTGTAGGGCATTCTCACTGGCTCGCGTGACCTGACACTCGTCCACCGTTGTCACAGGCAAAGACCACAGGGCCCCCTCTCCTCCCACATAGTGGACAAGCCGTCAGTGCTTTGTAAATGGCACTTAGTTTGAGAAAAATGTAGAGCCAGCATCCAGTGCTGGATCAGCGTGATAACAACATGGTATAAGTGATGACCCGTCTTTCATATGGTAAAGAAATTCACAGCAAAACTGAACCACACTGCCCAGTTTGCAGGATGTTGTATGAAGTGCAGTGGCAGACTAGGTGTTGCCCACTGTGGTTAGTTACATAGTACATGTGGTGTTTTGATCGAAACCCTATTGCATAGTTTTCGTTTGAATGTGCACAACTGCAAACCATCTTTACACCGTAGACAGGTGCAGGACAGTGGCAGTTCTCAATAGATTGTGTCTTGCTGACAAGAAGACATGGTAGGAGACTTAGTATAGCATACCTGTATTGCATACATTTTAAATTTTTGAATGCTAAAATACCTGCGTTTGTTTAATCTGTATTTCCTATCACACAGGAGCAAGAGTTATATCAGAAGGAAGGCCTGGGTGTCAACACCGTGCAGTATGTTGACAACCAAGATGCAATCGGTATGTTGCACTTAACCCTGGCCTCCAATTAACAAGACAACAAAATTATCCAATAGGAGCGATCTGCAATAAGGTGAACCCCCAAGAAACCCTGCAGAGGTTTGAGGTTGATGCAAGGGAGTCAACAGAGCTAAACTTGGACAGGGCAGAATGCTTCAGAGTCGTAACTGACTTGCACAGTGCATCGTGCGCCTGTGCTGATTGAGTCCTCTGACTGTGGTTAAGTGGGATTTTGAATGCTTCCATTTTCAAAAGAGATATAGATTTCCTAAAGCAGATACTGACCATTTGACGAGACTCATCTGTGTCAGGAGTGACTGTTATATCATTCAAATCATATCCCTGGCGGTTGCAGGGGAAAAAGCAGAGTTTGGCCCAATCCCATTAAAAACAAGAAAAGGGAAAAAATTTAAGGTGTTTTCTTTTTTGTTCCGTTACTATGCCTGCAAAGATTCTGGCACACTTGGTGAAAATTTGACATTTTTTCCCACCAGCCGGTCTCTGGTTTGAAGGGGTGCTTCTAGTCAGAGCTGATGGTGAGCCTTACTTCTTATTTTGAGACTGTTTTTCTGTCTGTAGATCTGATTGAAAGTAAGCCGTCTGGCATCCTAGAACTCCTGGATGAAGAGAGTAAACTTCCCAAGGCCAGCCCCAACAACTTCACTCACGCTGTGCATCAGAAACACAAGAACCACTTCCGACTTGAGGTCAGCTTTTACGTACTTGGATGTCCATTCTTATCTTTGTTGATGTACCCTGTTGTTTATTGTGGTGTGAATTCCACAAATCCTGTTACAAGAGCAGTTCATAATTTTGATGTTCCTGGATTTTGACAGGGATGGGGGGTGTTGTCCCTGTGGTCGACCCGAATATTACTGTGGGTAACACAGCATAACTGCTAGAAATGGTTCTGATTGCTGGTTGCATGCAGTGTAGGGGGAGTAATGCCAGTGTTGTATTCGAGTCCATCACAAGACCCCTCACGAGGTCAGTCACAAGTCCCTTCACGAGGTCAGTCACAAGTCCCTTCACGAGGTCAGTCACAAGTCCCTTCACAAGGCCAGTCTGAAGTAGCTAGGATGAACTATGCAAAAGATTGCTTTGGTCACAGCTCATTCGAATAGCTTGTTAATTGGCTTAAGACTGGATGACTCGTGATGGACTTACAGGGACTTGTGGTGGACTCAAATGCAACTCTGGGCAGCACAGATTGAAGTATGTGAGTTTGATACATCTGAACAAGTGGCATCCTTCAAAGCCAGCTTCACAACGTTACAATCCACGAAACTACAGCAAAGTCAAGAAATAATGCTTTAAGGAAATGCATAAAAGGAGAAGTGATATACCTTGAAAATTAATCCCCCTCGATGAGTAATTTGGAGCTGATTTCAAACTTGACTATGGCATATCAGCAGTGATTTGCAAACATTACAAAAGGAAATCCAAAGACTCCAGTGAATATCCTACATTGATTTATTTGTCACAACGGAAGCACTTTAAATAGTTGAATTGTGCCTAAAAACTAGCAACGTGTCACGCCAGCTCATGGTTCCTGAACTCCTTCGGAGAACCAACTGTAGCCACAAAGAATCACAGTGCAGCTCTCCATCAACTCTAGGGGCCTGTTTGTTTCACACGGATATGGATTTTGATAAGTGATGATCTTGGGCTGGTTCACCGACACCAGAACCCACCTAATGGATAGCGCAATCCAGCTTTGGGATTGCTGATCGCAACCCAGATCCATGTGAAACAAACAGGCCCCCGATTGTAAGCTACTGCGAGTTCAGTGAAATCAGCGGCTTAGTCAGTGTGACATGTTTGATTCCCCTTTCAGCCATTTTGTTTCTCTACAGTTCTTCTCTTCGTCCTGTCCACTCTCATTCTGATCGGCGGATTGAGTGTAAACAGGTCAGCAGGGTTGCATTGTCCTGATTCCCTTGTTTGGAGAGGTCAGATTCCACCTTGATTTAGAGTGATTTGATTGATTTCACTCAGATTCCAAGGAAGTCCAAGCTGACGAGCCATCGTAATCTACGAGACGACGAAGGGTTCCTCATCCGGCATTTTGCTGGCGCAGTGTGCTATCAAACGGTGAGTACGTTGTGTACATTTATGGGATTGAGTTCTGCCGGTGAGATTGTGGTGCATGGGTCCTAGGGCAAGACACTATCCCTAATTGGTTCTTCCCACCGAGGATTAAGTAGCAGGGCTGCACTTAAGACCCCTTTGTGACCATCACAAAACCATTACAAACTGTTACATGGCCTTCACAAGACCGTCAAAGAACTATCGCAAGACCGTAACGAGACCATCTCAAGACTGCCGCAGACCTCCATTCTGAATTGAAGTCACAAGCTATTCAATTAGACTTCCTTGACAGTATTCCTTTGCCGCCTTTTGTCCCTTTAACCCTAACACTCCTCAATCCTTCACCTGTTGGAGGACTGAGGAATGTTAGGGTTAAAGACTTTTGACTAATCTTGTGAATGATCTTGTTGGCTTGGTTTGATATCTGGTCGTGTGTTGGTCTCAACTGCGAAACTGGCAAATTGATACCTCTGAGGACAGAGATGGGTACTACTATTCACTAAGCTATTTGCATCATAATGGCAGCAGTAAGCTTTGTACAACCCAGGGAGCTGAGAAGGTTTGAGGAATATTTATTGGCTCGATGAGCAGGGGTAATAGTGATGCTTAATTTTAGGCACGATCGAATGCAAGTTGTACACTTGCACATAATGACCATCATTCACTTCAGCAAATTACAATTCTGTGAATTCATCTTGAAAACACCTTATTCACATGGAAGCTACTTCATAGTGTGTTCCTGGAATCTATCACATTCAATGGAATATGTTAAATGGGCGGGTGCCGTACTTGTTTGGGTTCCATGCCTCACTTTTATGTTTTTAAATGTGGCTTGAAACATTAACCTCTTCTGTCAGGGCCCATTTATCCATGTTGATTCTGCTGAGCTGGGTGATTTTTCATTTTTGTCTGTTTTCAAAATTCTTTAAAGATTCATAACTTCATTTACTAGACGTTTAGAACCACATAAATGACTTTCTGGTGGCTACTCTAATCTGACAGACAACATCGATTGACGCCCGAGTATTTCAGCCAGGCCTTCCGCCTTGTAAAAAGAGCCCAGATTGTGCGGTGTTAATGTAATTTTCTTTTGTTCCCGAAACCTGCACAGTGCGCTGCCGACGTCTTTTCAAATGCCACCAGATTAGCATGTAGCGGTGTTGTCCCACTCGTCAATGGAGCACTGGAGTGCTTTTGTCCCCGGTGGTAATCCGCTCGCGCTGAATGCCACAAACAGTGGTATAATCTTTCCAAACAATGACAGATTTCCTCTGCTATTGACAACTGAAAAAATGTCCACAATTCCCAGCAGCTAGGTCTTCTGTTCGGTCTGTTCGGTCTTTTGTTACAAGGCCCAGCTGTTTTGTCCAATTTCGGGCTCCCAGACTCTGCATATACGTTTGTAAAGAACACGTACCCAAAACCGGGCTCCCCGGCAGCATATGGTTAAGAAACATGTATGATTAGTCGCAAAATTTAAATCGTTAACAGCATAAATTCGTTAACCGCATAATGATGTATAATTTGCAATGAAGTTTTATTTCAGTGTTTTTTTTTCATGTGCAGACATAAAAAGTTAACCTCATGTTCAATTCAATATGGCCAACTTATAAATGAAGCCAATTTGGACTTACAATTATGTCTCAGAATGAATTCATTGAGAAGAACAACGATGCCCTCCACTCGTCTCTGGAGCACCTGGTTCAGGAGAGCAAGGAAGAGTACGTCAAGAGTCTCTTCCCTGGGCCCCCGGCCCTCCCTTTCATCTCCAAACTGGCCTTCGAGAGCATCGGCATGAAATTCAAGGTGAGCGGAACAGTCGGCAGAGGTGGCTGAACAATTGGAAAAGAATATTGTGACTTTGGACAAACTACACAGAGCTCTGAGTAGAAAATATTGAGAAAGTTTTTAAGCTAGACAAGCAGCAGGTTTGTTGGATGCTCAACATTCCTAGTCAGGCTTATCTCAGAGACACCACCAGGTGACTGAATTCCTCCCACTGATAATGTACCAGTTTCGCCCAAAAGCTTTGTAAGTTGCTCACAGAGTGCACATTGCAGGATCTGATAGGCCCTCACCCAGTACCATCTGATCTGATTTTTTGCCCACATCTTCTTGGTATCTAAATCAATTTTAACCCATGCTCTTCACACGTGCATGATCGATGATACTGTAGGCCTCGCCTAACAATGCGCACGGAGCGGATGAGGAAAGGTCAATCCAATCCGATAGCTCTGAGTAAGCGCAGCAGCTTTTGTTTGATCCGATCTGATCCAATCCAACGGCCTTAGTGGCCCTATCTGGATCTGAATTCTAGAAAGATTGCTGAATCCAATTTGAATTCAACAAAATCCAAGCTTAGATGAATACAAAGTTGCAGCCAATTTTGTGAGTTACCATCTTTAGCAAAACATCAGCAAATTGTATGACACTATTAATGGCCTAAACTTCCTACTATGCAGTTGATACTTTAAGTCACGCCCAATATCACCAGATCACGCAGATGTACTGTGCGATGCGACATACTAGTTGGGATTTTATTCCCCCCACCAGACACAACTCAATCTGCTCATGGACAAACTGGAGAGCACCGGTTCGTCTTTCATCCGTTGCATCAAGCCCAACGGCAAGATGGTGGACGATCTCTTTGAGGGTGGCCAAATCCTCAGTCAACTCCAGTGCTCAGGTATGGCCAAGTAAAAACTCGTGGTCACACCCATACCTTTTCTGTACGTACATGTGTACTCGTTACAAGTACTGAACTTCAACGGAGGAGTTATTCTTACAGTGGCACTCAAGAATTTCTTTTTTAGTCACATATTTTTAGATGCTCTTACCCACCAAACAGGGTTTGAATTTTGGTCTACAAGGGACTCACAAATTGTTTCTCATGTCAGAAGCTTACATGTAAGGTCTGGTAGCTTCTCAACAAAACAGAGAACCCACATTATTTGAATAGTTTGTGAACAACTATGGCCAAAAGAGCCAGTCTGGTATTCCAACGGTGTTGTAGGTCATTTGGAAACATCAGCACGCCCCCAAAAATTGTTGGCAAAGAGGTAGCATGGACTTTACTCCTTACTGTGGACGAAACTCCATTCAGAACTGCCTCAAGTCGTGTCAAATTCTTCATTTTACAGGGAAACATTGACACTTTCTTTAACCATCAACTTTCAACAGGCCCCAAAACCCATGCAAAGCAGTAACAGCTGGGCTCTACCTTCCTTAATCCTACATAATCCTCCAAGATCTGATGGATTCCGAAGGATTTTGGAAGGTTAAGGATGACTACCTCCCCTGCCTAGAAGTTTGAAATTGTAGCATCATCATCACCATCCTTTAATGAGGGAGTTTTTAAAAAAATAAAGCGTGTTTTTATTTATAGGTATGGTGACTGTATTGGACCTTATGCAAGGGGGCTTTCCATCACGTACACAGTTTTCTGATCTTTATGAAATGTACAAGAAATATATGCCTGCTGAACTGGTGCGTCTAGATCCCCGTCTCTTCTGCAAGGTAAGACAATGAGATCTCAGGACTTTCAACAGCTTGTGTTGCTCTTGTCTTGTAAAGGAATGTTTTATCTTTCCAAAGCATCTGCCACCGTTTCTTTCATTTTCATTTTTTGGTTTTGTGAATGTTTCTGTCGCTAGAGTTCCTGTTTTCAACATTTAATACTGTCTTTGTTCTATTTCCATTTTTTGGTGGTTTCAATTTTCGCTCAAAAACTCTTTGGCTTGTGACTATTTCTTTCACTTTCTTGCATAATTTCCTACACAAATTCTGTCCTGTTTAGCTAGTTTGTTTCTTTTTTGTTCGAACTTTGCCATGCTTTGTTTCCTCTTGTGATACTTGCTACGTCGGCTGCCATCTTCAGCAGTCTGATTCAGGTTTAGTCAAGCCAGTACACAGTCTCCTACATGGACCTTAAACTTGTGCAAAACAAACAGGAATGGTGCAGCCCATCACCTTCTGCAGCAGTCATAGAGAGTGTGTTAACATGAAGTTGTTGCCGGTTCAGAAGCCTTCTAGCTCAAACTGGCTAAAGGTACCATACTTTAATATTGTTGACTCAGAAACGTTCTCCAAATCACTCATAGAGAAGTATCGTTTGTGGGTACACCAGAGAGACAATCTCCTTAAGGAGAAAGTTTTGGCTCTGTAAGGGGCTGGAGGTGAGCACTAACATTTAAATTTACCCTTCTCCATCGTCCCTTGTGTTTCCCCCCCCCCTCCCTTCAGGCCCTGTTCCATGCCTTGGGCCTGGATGACCGCGACTACAAGTTCGGCCTGACCAAAGTCTTCTTCCGCCCGGGCAAGTTCGCCGAGTTTGACAAAATGATGAAGGGCGACCCGGAGACCCTGCGGGAGCTGATCAAGAAGGTGCGGCGCTGGCTGATCTGTACACGCTGGAAGAAGGGACAGTGGGGCACCCTCATGGTCATCAAATGTAAGACCGGTCACCAGTTCAGGGGTTAATCCAATGCAGTCTTGTGTTACTGCAGTCCTTGAAAATGTACAAGATACCTCTGTGGTGCAGCTTACCCTCTTAATTTTGGTCACAGGTTTCAGGTGTTTTAGTGCTTTATGATTTTTTAATGCCAGTGCAAATTTCTGAATTCGTGAGCAAAATCTGATTTGTCATTCCAGGAGAAATGCTTAGTGTTGCATTGATTTGTGCACCAAAAACTGATGGAATTTATTGGTATTGTGCTGTTCTAAATTTCTTATTTTTTTGATGATTCGTTGTTGGCTGATTCCTCAGGTGTGTTTTTGAATGAGCAAAGCTTGGGTTCACAATTTGCAAAGTATGCAAATATAAAGCTGTGTAAATTTACAAAAAAAATGAGAAAAAACACAAAAGGTCACACAGGTTGCACTGCATGGCACAAGAGTTGACCTTTATGCCATTTGATACAGAAGTCAGTGGGGTTTTGCTTTTTATCGAGCCCCGCTAAAGTTTATGATGTGGGACCCCAAGTTGCTAGCCAGACATTCGCCCAGAGCAATGATGGCTGATCTCAGAAAAACCATGGTACTTTGTGGCATTCCAATCAGACCTTTTTGGATTCAATTGTCACTCAGCCTTGGGATGGAGGGGGCTGTTTGAGCCCGATGGGCGTGCATCCATGAAATTGTGTCCTCTCTGTCCGTTCCACAGTGAAGAACAAGATCCTTTACCGCCGCAACGCTCTGATTAAGATGCAGAGCATGGTGCGCATGTTCCTGGCCGTCCGCAAGCATCGCCACCGGTACCGGGGACTGATGCAGGTCCGTCTGCTGCAGAAGGAGCTGCAGCAGATGAACGAAATCGGTGAGCAGAGTTTGTATTCCCCTGTTTGTCTCCAAAGTGGTGTCTGTATCGTGCTTGCATTTCCAGATTGGGTCTTTGGCTATGTCCGAAACAGGCTTCCAGAGCTACGGCTAGGTCTATTGTCTACGCATTTACAATGGAGTGAAGACCTAGACCTTGCTCTAGACAAGAGATTCGGATGCAGCCTTTGATTAGGGTTGAGGTTTACATCCCGGTACACAGTGAAGCTAGACCAGTCCCGAGCCCATTTCCAAGTCCATTTAGAAATCATCCCAAATGCTAAAATAGAACCTAATGTTGAAAAGTATCAACGGCATATTAATGCCCGTTTTCGAGCTAACATGTACAGAAACAACAGCGCTAAACCATTTATTGCCAAAAAAAATTGAATTTTAGAATGTGTACACATACCTTTGTTGATTTTATTTTCGGAAGCAGCAGCAAATCATTGAGCCAACCCAAATGGAAATGGCCCATCTGAAAAGGGATGCACAGCGAAATGAGCCAGTTCTGATGAACTCTGTTTCAGACATTTTCTGTAGCCTATGGACCTTTTTCTGTGATGTCATGATCGTGTTGGACCTTGTGATGGTAATGAGTGCATAGTGTTGTGATGGTAATCTACCTATTCAAGATAAACTAGTCAAGCATGTAGCGTTCGCAGGTGCACTTGCACGTGGTTGAAGCTGCGCGTAGGAATGTATGCGATCACCGTTTCTAAGGCGGTCCACACGTGATGGTATTGTTTACATTTAGTCACATGGGTAAAAAGGTCTGTAGTTTACCAACACTCACGCACACTTCCAGGTTCGAGTGACATCACGCTTTGGTTCTCTGTCAACTAAGGGTCAGACCGCATGAGAGATTTTGCATCACTTGTTTTTTGGGGGGCATGTGTTTTCAGCCAAGGGTGTCCAGGACGTCACGACCAAGAAGCAGGCTGAAGACGTGGGCAGAGAGCTGGTGGCTCTGATGCACAGGATCAAGGTGAGACTCGTTTGATAGGAACTTGAAGAAAAATGTTCAAAATAGTCATTGTATTGTTGTAGCCTATGCAGTGCAGGTGTTTTACTGAAACCCTTGAAAATGCACCTTTGTGTTTCACTTCAAATTTTCCAACTTTGGTTTTGCCATTTTTAAGGGTATCTGATGCCTGTTTTGTTTGTATGGTACATGTGTGTTAAGTTTCTGCATTCTTTAACAAAGCTGTGATGTCATCTAAGGGAAAGAACTTCAACATTGCAGTGATATGTGAACAGAAAAAGGGTTGGATTTTTTTATTTGCTGCCCTAATTTCCTTTTTCTCGGGTGACTCACTGTTCTGTTAATGCATAAAAGTAAGCAGTCCTTTCTTTGAAATGTTTTCAGTGAGCAAATTGACGTTCACAAGGAGAACAGAAAAACCTGTATGCTGAACAGTGTCTTGCCTGGATGACATTATGTCAACAGCGCCCTCATTTATCCACAAAAGCATTGACGAATTAAAGGAATTAAAGCAGTGCACTTCCCCATTGCACTTAGCCCCCAAATGATGTCAAATAGTCTCCACACGGTGAAAAAGAGTATAAGTTGAACAGAAAGGGCGTCTACGAAAATGCCATTGCGTGGGCCCAGTAACTCCAGTGCTGTCCGCCGTTGATGCAAATGTTTGGGACCATTTTATCGTTTGTCGTGAGTCTTGTGTGAATTCTACCCCTTCCCCTCCCTCCAACACCTCCAGACCAACGCCAAGATGCAGCGGCGGGACATCGAGGACGCCCACCTGATCCTGGCCGAGAAGCTGCGGCGGCAGATCCAGCTGCTGATGCAGAAGAAGGCGGCGGAGGAGGCCGAGCGGGAGCGGCTGCGCCGCATCCAGGAGGAGATGGAGCGGGAGAGGAAGCGGCGGGAAGAAGAGGAGCGACGCCGCAAGGAGGAGGAAGCGGAACGAGAGCGGAAACGCAAGCTGGAAGAGGAAGAACGCAGGAAGTGAGTGTGAGGGGAGAACGGGGCGATCGCTTGAAATCAGACCAAAAAAACCCTGTTTGGTCTGGTGCTGATGTCGAGCCATTTGGATAACTGAATATTCAAATTTCCACCCACCATGTGATTGAATATTCAGTTTTATTCAACTCCTGAACAAATCTCCGTCTTGCAATTGACAGGTCAGCAGCGACGTATCATTAACTTATTTGTCTGTGCAGTGGTACATCTAATGAAGTATGCGCATGCTTGCTAGGTTCAGTCACAGCTCGGCGTACATTTAAGGAGTGGTGTTCAGCATTCATCAGGAGGGAAGGCACAGTCATGGCTCTTCTCACTAACACTAGAAATTTCAGTCACTGCTTGGAACATGATAAATCCCTGTCTCGCTTTAACACCATGCTGAGAAAGCAAAGCAGCTGTTAAGTTTACTTATAACACCTTGAAAAATACATTTTTAGACCTCAATTTTACAACCAAATAATTGAATTTGTTCCCTTTTTATTTTATTGATTTCCCACTTTGAACATTTGAATGTGTTGCGTATGTTCAGTTGTGCAGAAATGGCATAAGCGATTGATAGCATGCTTATAAGTTTGTAGGGTCAATCAGACACTAATTGGTTTGCTCTGTCAATCACATGACAGTGACACAGACGGGAATGCGTTTGCACTGCCTGTCCATGATGCAAGCTGTGCTACTCCATCGACCAACAATTTTCACATGTTCGCCAGTTGCACCAAGCATGCACATCTTATAATTGAGAATGTGGTTTTGTGAAGGCATCTTTAACGTATCGTTTGTTCTGAAGGAAAGAGGAGATGGAACGACGGCGGCTTGAGGAGGAAGCCTCCCTCCAGAAGAAGCTGGAAATGGAGAGGAAGAGGCTGGAGGACGAAAGACGACAGTTTGAGCTAGACAAGAAGAAACAAGCAGAGGAGACGGCCCGACTCCAGGAGGAACTTAGAAGGTAGTCAATTGCATGGCTGGCCTGGTCAGGTCTGCGCTTGCTGCATCTACCGCGGTGCTGTTAGTCCAACACAACCCAGCTCAGCCCTTCCCTAATGGCCCAGCCTAGCTGAGCACAACCTGACCAAGAACAGCACTGCCCAACACAACCTAGCCTGGCCAACCCAAGCCCAGCCCAACACAACCTGGTGGGGTGACCCCAGGCCAACACAACCCAGGCTTGCCAACCCCAGCCCAACCCAACGCAACCCAGCCTGGGCAACCCCACTCCAGCCCAATACAACCCAGCCTGAGCAACCCCTCCCCAGCCCAACATAACCCAGCCTTGCCAACCGCAGCCCAGCCCAACATAACCCAGCCTTGCCAACCGCAGCCCAGCCCAACATAACCCAGCCTTGCCAACCCCATCCCAGCCTGAGCAACCCCCATTCCAGCCCAACTTAGCTCAGGCACCTGAAACCAAACTAAGCTCAGTCAAATTTAGAACAAGCCCATAGGAGTTGCCTGGATATTTTTTTGCACTCGAGCTATTCACAGGTTTACTATCATAGCCCTTCATGTTATCTGTTAGGTGATACTAGATACAAAGCACTCTCTAGTGTCTGAATTTTGTGCCTGTCGTGTGGAATAACAAGTCAACAGAAAGTGGCTACGGCTACTTGCTAGCTAATTCCATGGTTACCCAAATTATTTCCAACCATAGTCATGTTATTCTAACATGTCCTTTGTGCATGAATGTAACACTAATTGATACTGATGAGCGTCCAGTGATGTTCTACATTAGACTTTCCCGATGGCCCCCTTTAATGGCAGAATGGTTGCTGGGTTTTGTCCGGAGTGACTGTCACAGAACAGTCATAAAAAAATGTCACAGTGCTTACCACCATGGGCGGGTGGGCCACTGCAAATACCCAATGATAGCATTACCATGACCACCATATTCTATATGTACCAGGGTTGTTGATTTTTTTTAAATAAAAAATGGGATTTTTTAAATTTAAATCAGATTCTTTTTAATTTACTAAAAATTGGAGACAAGTTGGCTCAATTGTCTGTTCAAAAGCCAACAAATTAGCTGCCAGTGCACTAGTTTTCTTTAATTTATTTGTTTTGTTACAAAATTATGCAAATCTGGATTTGAATTAAGAAATGTAAATCATGTACTTTAATTAAATGCACAAACCACTATGTCTTAGCCTTGGTGAAATGCATGCAGAATAACTCCTACCAGTACATGTACCCACAGTGAAGACACATGTATCAAGGATAAAGTGCATACCTGGTTTTAAACCGAACTCCTAAGTTTCGACAAAACTGTTCACACGAATTTGTTAACAGGTTACTTACACATGCATCAAGTGACTAATGCGTGAGAAACATGCCAGGAACAACTGGTGCATGTAACTATTTTACCTGCTATATGAAGGTACAAAATGCTGGTATTCTACCTTGCTCCGTGTACAAAAAGCAGTCTCGTTTTGTTTGGGATCCAGGTCCACAGAGCAATGACTTAGGCTGGATTAAAAATCACTTTATTAAGGGCCTATATTAAGGGGTATTTAGTGGTTTTTAGATACATCGCATAATAACTAACCTTTCAAACCTCAATGAAATACATATGTACCTGTATATAAAAGGTTGACTTACACTGATACTTTAATCATGTCAGACTCTGACATGGTTAATTCAAATGAAGTTTAATTCCTGATTACAAATCCTTCGCATCAAATACACTGACTGAATCCGAAAAGCTGATTTAAATCGAAACGAGTGGATTGAATTGAACATAAAAATCTTGCCAACCCAGATTGTGTGTTACACATGTGCAGTCATACTTCTTTAACCTTAACAGTCCCGAATGCTACAAAGTACTGCTTAGTAGTCAAATTTAGTACTGAGCGCTGTCGCTTGTAAGAGGACATGACTTTATTATTCTCTGAAGCCATAAAATACAATAGATAAGACAATGTACCATACAGTGCTGTGGCGCTATGAATGCATGGTTTCATTGTTCTCTGTACGAGTAACAATGGAATAAACCTAGCCAGAAATAGTAATTTGTAGCACTAGGTCCTTCAGGCTCAGAGTGTTACTTAGTATTTTGTAGTTCTGAGTACTCTAAGCCAAACAATGCCCGGTACTGTTAGGGTTAATACTAGTAGGAATTGGAAGGCTTGCAGAGGGGTGATTTGTTGTTTAAAATGTGCAAAACCTGCCAACATTTCCGATCAGCAACAAAGAATTCACAAATATAAACATTTTTGCCTTCCCTCCCCCAAATTAGATAAAATATGTTGATTTAAATCAATGATTTTTTTCAAAAACTCATTCGATTTAAATCGGGATTTAAATCAGTGCTATAAATCAAGGTGATTCAAATTAGCCAGCCCTGATAATGTACCAGCTTGAATGTGGCCTATTTCCTTGCTTTATCGTAGGCAAGCGCAGCTGGAGCAGGAGCGTCGAGATCACGAGCTGGCGCTCCGCCTGGCCCAGGAAGCAGAGTCGCAGGTGGTGCCCGTGGAGGAACCGGTCAGGTGAGTCTAGTCGCTCCATGCAAGACTTGTAGAGGGCGCTATGACACCACAGAGAGGACAAGTGCACAGGCATTATGAAACTAGTTGACATTAGGGGGTAGCGCCGTCATGGAATTACTTACAGTTCATTAGCAGCTGTACCTACATGTATTTTGTTTTTCCTGGGATTTTTTTTCTGCATGGGGGCTTTCACCTCAATAAATATCCTGCAGTTTACTTGACAGTGAGAAGTCTACACGTATGTTAGAGGGCGCTGTTGTGGTGGCCTCTCAGACAACAGAAGCACAAGTCACCTACAGGAAAAATTGACAGATGGTGGACTTTGCATTGTTTGTTGAGCTGCTGTCAATCTGTGTTGCATCAAATATTGCCCTCTGGCAGAGCCTTGGAAGTTTTGCAAATTCTGAGGTTGCAGTGAGAAATATCACGCAGATAGTTTACATGTGATATCCAGGAGTCGGTATTTGTGGTGTTTGGCCAACGCATCTTGCCTCTTTTCAATAAGTTGGGTTTATGGCAGAAATTAATACAGTTTGAACCTGTGACCTCCAGGACACCATACTGTTACCCTGCCAACAGAGCTATCCAGCCCTCTGTTGGCAGTTCTTACCATTAGTCAGTGGCTTTTTTCAGGGAAACTAGCCAGGTGCCCTCAGCCAGTGATTGATAAAGGAATTGCGAATTTGGACAATGCTATGGCATCATTTCAAAATTCCCATCGGTTGACTGTAGAACAGGGCCGTCCGACCGATAACAGCGACATGTATTGAGTGAATAACGGAGGGGTGTTGCTCCACTGAAACCACACAGCCTTGGAAGTAATGCAGTAAAAAGGCATTTATCAGTTAGAATTGGCCACTTGAAAACACTTAATCTGATAGCTAACCGATAATAAATGTATCGGTCGGACCTTTCTGTCCGACACCTACATGTACCTGATAGGAATTTTGAAATGGTGCCTATGTTATAGCAACCAAAATCTCAATTGGAGTTCCATTTTGGTCCCTTTGTCATCAGAATGGACATGGCCACCGTGGTGAATGCGGCCATGGCCGCGGCAGCACCCACGCCGAAGTACGACCTGGCCAAGTGGAAGTACGCTGAGCTGCGCGACACCATCAACACGTCCACAGGTAGGGCTTTTCCAACCGCTGCTGTCGCAATACGAAGTCAGAGAGCAGTTAGGTCAGCTTGACGTTGAGTAGGGTCAGGCTTTTCAGTTAAGTCAGTGTTGTGGTCGAGTCAACCACAAGTCCTTTCAAACGCCCCTTAGCAAGTAACAGGGTGAACAATGACAAAGGAATGCTTTTGTCGCAGGTTGCACAAATAGTTTGTGACGTGGCTTAAGACTGGATCTGATACGGTTTTACAAGTTAGGAACCCACTCTTCAATTTCCAAGAGTGATTGCCAAATAAACCAGACATTGTTTGAAGTCAATTCCAGTGATATTTCCATGTCAAATCACACTGGTCAGGTGTGACGGACACCGAAATGTCACACATTTGGATCCCGCATTTGTAGACAGACCCAGAAGCACGAATGATTTTCGACAGCTGCTCCCATATTTTTTGAGGAGTCAACTTTCTGCAGACGACTGATTTGCAAGAAACCTTCCTGAACTTCCAGGTCGTCAAGCCATGTAATGGCCTAGCTGTACTCTTTGCAATCCCACAATATCTTCCCAATTCTTTTATGGGGAATTTAAAAGACATGGAACTGCAAAGCATCCTTTCTTAGATGCCAGCCTCCAAAATAAAATGGTTTGCCTCTTTGCATCTGCCTGTTAGACGTTGAACTCTTAGCTGCTTGCAAGGAGGAGTTCCATCGCCGCCTGAAGGTCTACCACGCCTGGAAGATGAAGAACAAGAAGCAGACGGAGCCCAAGCAGGAGAGAGCTCCTCAGGCTGTCATGCAGAACAGTGAGTCCTCTCCCCCTCACAAGCTCCGCCCCTCCAGAAACACCTGCACACATATCACTAACACCTCCCTCCCTGTCAGAGGGGCCAAATTGGCCCGCACACATACCACAAACACCCCCTCCCTGTCAGGGGGGCCAAATTGGCCTGCACACATATGACAGACCAGGTCAGTGTCCAGAAAATTAACTTTTGGCATGGGTTATGGGGTTTCAAAGGAAGTAATGTGAGTGAAACTTGTCTGACCGCCTATCCCTTGACATAACTCAGTCTTGTCAGTAAAATACGAAGGCCCTCAATGAAATATTGCACTATTAAAAAGGCACTTCCTGAAAAATACTGTTTGAAAAGGTGAAAATTGAGCCAGATGATTTGGTGAAAATTTCAGGGTATCGGCCCCCAACACTGCATGTGTATAATGAAGTGGACAAGAGCATGTTCAAGTTTATTTGCCAAACCATTCGACTGCCATAAGGATCTTTTAGTACCCACCGAACCAAACAATCGTAGCCCACCTGATGCGCTCTGTTGATTCCCTTGAATACTTGGATGGTTCCACCAAGATTTCTGTGAATTGACTTGGGGGTTTGGCCATTTGGACCATCAGTTTCAATCTATAAAGTTAAATAAACCCGATAATAAGGCAAAATGAGAAAAAGGTCATTTTTCAGACACGGAAGTCATATTTTAAGTCACACAGTCAAAGACAAATCGAATGTCATTACCAACTAGCTACAGTTCAGTGTAAATCATGTCTAGTTTTGAGAAAAAGAAATTTCATGTAGTCTAAAAGATTGAGCTAAATGCATTTTAGTTTGAGGAAAGCTTTTGTCAACCGTTCGTGGCTGACGAAAAGAGCAATATCGAGACACTGTTCAAGACTTGGTCACGCGTCCATTGCAAATCGATACGATAGATAAATGTACATTTATATGAAACTGGGCAGATGCTCTTGATGATAAATGTGCCATTTATTGACATTTGCAGCCATGCAGGCTCCTCTCATTCCTACCCCGGCCGCTTCCCCGGCCGCCCCCACCAACAACACCCAGCGCTTCTTCCGCGTGGCCTTTGCCCGCCCCAACGCGGGTGTGCGCCAGCGCAGCGTCTGGTATGCCCACTTTGATGGCCAGTGGATTGCCCGACAGATGGAAGTTCACGGGGATAAGCCCCCCATCCTACTGATAGCAGGTAAGGGCCTGAAACGTTAACTGTAGAGAAACGTTACATGAAGTCCCGTCCGCTTTGTGTTTTTAGTTTGTATGTAGCCATGGATACGCACGGCGTGTACTCATTCATAGATAGACTCGTTATGAGGTTATGTAGACTATACAGGAATTTAAAACGTTAAGGGGGCAACCTTTTGTCCCCACAAATGCATTTTGACTTCCCGGACAAAAGATGCTGCCCCTTCAAGGCTGTAGAGGTCTACCCACACACGTGTGCCGGAACCGTTCTTCCAGGGACTATACACGTATTGAACAATACTTATTGTAAGGAAATATTTTTGTCTCCACAATTTGTTTTCAATTTTCATAAGAAGAGAAATTTTCCCCTTAAAGTGAGGCCAACCAGTGCACGGCTCATGTGTGCATGGCGTTAGGGCACTGACCATGCAGAACCGCTTTCTATTGGAATGTAGGGTCCTCACATGTGAGTAATGTACCCAGTTGAAATGGTCCCACCAAACTGTCTCTTCGCTGCCAATGAGGGCGTCATTCTGGTTTATTCTCTGCACAGTGGATTGTATAATTATTCCCCACCGGTAGCTTTACTATTGAATACTATTGAATATTGTTTAGCTGTGTTCGACTGAATGGTGAATGTGTCTCAGCCACAGACGTATATAAAAAACCTGGACTTGCAACGCCTTTGTATGAAAAAGAAGCCAACCAGCGGCCATTTTACCGAGCCGAATACAAAGGCGTGGGTCGACTCCCTTCTATTGACGTCAGGAAGAACAAAGGCGGGCATTGCCAGGAAAGCTTTGTATTCGGCTCGGTAAAATGGTTGCGAGTGGATTCAATGATCTCTATAAGCTGATTAAGGGTATTGCGAGTCCAGATTTTATGACACATGTCCGTGGTCTCAGCTGCTGAATTCAGGCACATCTCAAAACATGACTCATGACTTGGCAACTTTTGATGCAAAATTGAAATCCTAAAACATTGTTTTCTTGGAGTACACAATTTTTTTTGTAGTTTCTTTGCCTGGAACCTAATGCACAAGTGACAAATGATGGACTGCACCTTTAACTATTTTTAGAAATGTGGACAGTCCACTACACTCCACCTACCCAAAAAGTCACCACACATGCAAATTTCCCTGAGAAAAGAAGGACGAACATGGCAGCGTGACCGCAATGCATTGTGGGAGGTCAGGGTGCACTATGGGTGATCAGGTCTTCCAGTGAATAATGATAGGTGCATGGGAAATTCGCACATGTAGTAACTGGTTAGGTACATGTACATGTAGGTATTGGCTCGTCTCACAGCAGACTCGTCCCACACGTATGTGGGGGAGGAATTTAATTGAAGGATTAACCTAACATCTGTTTGGTCAGGGGATACGGGAATTCAATTTTAAGTGTGTCTAATTCCTATTTAAAAACTCTGTGACCAGACTGTGAGACATCACTGTACTTTGATCAGTCGTGATGGTTATATGGTGTTATGTGAAGTAGTAGAGAAGACAGAATTCTTAACAAGGATCAGCAACTTTTGTTAGTAAGTTTCCCAAGGTGACGGGCCAAGTGGAGTACACTGCCGTTCTGCCCTTCCTTGCTGTGGCGTTGTGTTCATAAAAAGTCAAGCCCATTGTTTGCCACACCTCATACCACTCAGGGTACAGTTCACAATAACAGGGCGTCATTACACAGCAGTTTCTGTAATTTATCCCGAAGCTGCACAGTTGACGTTCTGCCACCACTGCTAATGAGATTACACCGTGAAAGAACTAGAGAAACAAATGACGTGCTTCCTCAAAAATCATTTTCCCAAAACCGGTGGTCCGGTTTTGCAATACATGTGGATGATACTTTTAGGATGATAAAAAGATTATGCTTTTGACATTGCCGGAAAGGGATGAACCAGTGGTACAGTTCTCCCAACACTGGAAAATTTGATATCCACTTTACATTCCTCACTTTGTATCTACATGTACATGTAGTTATGGAAGGATTTTTATCCAAATATGTAAACCCAGACTGCGCTTTAGAAAATCATGAATGTGATTCCGATCTGATGAGAGTCTAATACCACCTATTAGTTTTTTTTTATTGTGCGTGGTCGTACTAAGCTTATCCACACAGGAAATTTGTATTAGTTGCCAGCCAGCTGCAGGTGCTTTCAGTCATTGTGCGGTTCCCAGGGTCCCCAGGACATGGGCAAAGACCCAGACCTACTTGTAAGTTCTAGACAAAAGTTTCGGGGGCACGGACAGTTTCACTGGCCTGTTCACAAGTTTTTCCCCTCACCTGTTAGGAAACAAATTAACAGCCCTTGCATATCAACGTCCGCTATATTGGAATTCTTTAATGTTAGACTGGTTCCCGTCCCCATATTATTTTCCTCTTTCTTACTGGTGAATGAATGAAATGGGGGCAGGAGCCAGGCAAGTGAAATGAAGTTCTATTCCGTGGTACCCGTTGAATAGAACGAATAATGCAGTGACATGTGATCCACAAATCAGATGATGGGGATTTATGCAGGTATTGTATAAATTGCTCCGTGGATCACTAAGGAAAGCTTAGATTTACATGTACTACACCACAAAATAAAACTGTTCTTTAATTACGAAAAATCACTAGCACTTTTCCAAATTTCCTCTTCCTGAAATAGCTGACCTCAGCTCTGAAGCGCTAGCAAATTGTGCATCTGTTACTTGTATAGTATTCTTGGTCATGCATGTCACGATAGAACAAGAGGTGAATGACATTTGACAAGCTCTTGGCCAATCCAAATATGCAGTCTGAATACATTGGTGGTTTGCCAATCATTTGTTGTTGAATTTTTCGGTATATACAACCATGACTGTTGAATGTACCCAAATACATTGCACTGTCTCGGGTGACTTGTCTGCACAAGCTGCTTTTGTTCTTCTAGTAAAATAGGCAAAATTTTGGTCACGGCTTGGAATGTGGAAACTTTCGCACTTTATATGCTGGACAGAGCAAGTGAACTGGCAACTTGTACACTGAGAGAATTTATTCAGTCGTCGTGGAAAAGAACTTATGACTGTTTCACATTGGCGCAGTGAAAAGAATAGGCACTCGATCCTGTACACACATAAACACCGGGTGTTGACCTGTTGACAACTGCCCCCTCGTTCTCCCACAGAGTGCATGAGTTCACGCAACAGGAATCGTTCAAACCAATCCTTGCTTCACACCTGCTCGCACAAACTCACACCTGTTACCGGGCTATGGGGCTAAAGGTGTGTCAAAATGTGGACGTTGGAGGGACACATTGCTGCCCCCGTAACACCGTCCTGACTCTCTCAAGAAGAAAAATTGACCCCTTCTCGCAGGAAAGGCCTATCCCATTTTACCGTCTTTTTCAGCCTCTGTATTGCCCGGGGTGGAAGTTAGTTCCCCCCTCTCTCAGGGGGCCCTTCCACTGTATGAAATTTTGAAACGTATGCAGCCTATGTGCAAGCCACAGCTCTTTTGCTTTCAGTTTCCCCCTCGAAAAAAAGTGTGCTCCCCAGGTGACCCCCCCAGAAAATTCACCCTTATCACCCTACCCATGGCTACACCCCCAAGTGTTTCCGGCCTTGATTTTTGTGGTAATCGCATATTCGCTTCATATTGAAGAACAACACAGTGATGTCTGAGTGGGCAGCTGTGTCACTGTTACAAATGGTTGAGCACAGTGGTTGACTATTTTTTTGAGGGAGGGGGGTCTGATAAATGGTCTATATTAGTATTGTTTTGTTGACAATCAGTCAGCAAGCATTGTGCTTAAACTGGAATAGTGAAGCATGTCCACGTGCAGTGACTTGTGGAGAAAATCGGCGAGCCGTGGAGTGCATATCTAAAGAGGCATGGCACAGCCTTGGACTCCCTCAGATACGCGCGAACAAGAACTCCCACACAATGTTTAGAAAGGTCAAGTAAGACTTAAACTGCGTTGTGATGGTGTCAACTAGTGAAGGTTTGCGATAACACCATGTGACTATCTCGTTGGAGAGGATGTGTGGTTTTGAAAAGAACAGGTGAGTTTCAGAACCACGGATGCTACTCACAAAAGACAGTCACATGGTGGTACCACAGGGCGCATTTAGTGTAAAATGGTTCCCCTCCAAAAAATGTTCACATCCTCATTTAAAAAAAAAAAAATTAAATGGGCACTTGCATGATAAATGAAGAACTTAAAGATTGTTCTCTACCGTGCGATTGATGAAATATGGACAAATGTTGTAGAAGCACACTTCATCAACATTTGAGGAAATTGGTTTGCAAATAAGCAAGAACAAAACTGTAATAGGCAGGGTGCAGGAAAAAAAAACAGGTGGAGATACAATGTTGGTAAAGACTCACCCATTCTTTTGAGGGGGGTTAATTAATACTCAGGACATGCTGGTGTCAGTGTCTATCCTGTTGATTTTTCCACCGCATCACAATTTTGTAAAACCGACTGGAATTAGGACCCCTCGTCAATTCTGAAAGCAGAATAACTTTTTTATTCCAGTTTTTTCAGTATTCCTCAGTTTTCAATTGAAACATATTTAAATTTTATTTCCCCATTTTCAAGGCCATCTTGATGCTTTTGTTTAATTTCTAAGTTTGCATGTTTGGTTTGCATATTCATGAGCGTGATGTCATTCCAGGAAGAAAATCCGAGTGAAATACTGTCACTCCAGCACAGGCATTTGTCCAGGTTTTTTTGTTAATTTTTTGGCATTAATTTCCGTTTCTTTGATGAAAGTTTGTTTCAGTTCAGGTTTTTGGGGTTTTTTTTCTCAAAAATACACAACTTTTCAAATTGCACAATAGGGTTGGCAGTTTCAACAGATCACTCCTCATAATGAACAGTGTCTTCCTGAGATGGCATCACAGGAATAATTATCGGGAAAGGCAGTCGACAGTTTTAAAGTGAGAAAATAAGTGAAGAGTTTCATTCCAAAATGATATATCCACCATTTTGAAAAATATGAATTTAGGTGGCCGTAATATTGTCCATAAAACTATCTGCTTGACACCTCATCTGTTGAATTCCAATTTGTATTTTTGGACATATGATAAAATATACATTAGATTTCCTTATTAGTTTCCTTATTTTAGCGGACAGTCATTGTGCATTATCTCAAAATCTTATTTTCCCAAAACAAAACGGAAATAGAGCATTGTATGATGAAACTCTTCAAGTGCACTTTCTAAAGATTTACATGTATTGAAAGAGATATGTTTGCATGGGACATTGATTTAAAGACAAGTAGAAATTAGCATAGAAATACCATCTCTGGTAAAGTTCATGAATATTATAGGCCCTTTAAAGCAATAAGCCGAGGATTATTAAGAGATTTATCAGTATAAATTTTCCATTCAAAGTTTTATTATTCACATGCCGTTTGGCACACACATGATGCGTACACCAGCAGTGTTTTAGCTAGGATCATTTTAGTGCCAGGTAATTTTTTGATTGCGAATCATAGTAAGCTGATGCTTGAAAATAGGATCGAATTGGTATGATTATATATATGGTAATATTTCAGTTCATTTTTTGGAAAATCTGTGCTGGGCAGCACAGCCAGTTTGAACCAGAGAGCCGGGCGGAAATTTGCAGTACCGGGTGGTGCCGCCTGGCGCTGCCCACTATGGCTAGAACTCTGTACACCGGGTTTTCAAAACATAGCACTTGAGAGTGGTGTCCTGTTAAAGTATTCTTGAAAAGGTAACCACTGTTTGCATCATTTCAGGATACAAACAAGGTTCATGTTACATCTGTTGTTTAAGCATTGCTAAACCCTAACCCCCTAGGATGTATGTAAAATAAAATTGAAATCAGAGGATTTGGGACTGTTAGAGTTATTACCATTAACATCTAAAATGGTTTTAGACGTGTACAAATATGAACTACTGAAAACTGGTTCCTTGCTACAGTCACCCAAAATAGATAAATTGAAAAAGTTTGGTCTGCCGTTTCGCTCCCAGCAGAGTCTATCTCAAGGGCAAAATTGATACTAGTTTGCTCCTCGGAGTACATGTAGTTTGCTGATTTTATCATACAAAGTGCGCTGTCTACTAAGCATGTGCGCAACGTGGATGCACCACCCGTTGTATGTCACTGGAGAGCATAGAATGAATGGTCGGTTTCACTGGTTCTGTCACTGCTGCATTCATCATGGATGATGAGAAATGATAAATCACTGAACATGAATGGGTCCTCGGTATTGTCTTCCGTTTCAAAGCCATAAAAATTGTATAATGTATTCACCAGAGTCCACTTTGCAGTATGCCTACAGCTGTCATCAGTTCTGGGTAGCATAAAGGGAACAGTGTGTGCCCCGTGCTTACCATTCACTGGAAACCTGCTCTAATATCAGAAACTGCACATTGTTATTTTGGTTTCATTTTTTTATACTGTTCCTCATTTGTTCAGTCTGCAGTGTTTCCCTCTAATTTCCAGAGAAGTAATTAATCTACCCCAGCTACTGGTATGTCATGCGTATTTTAATTTTTTTTTGCATATGACCTTTTTAATTTCCCATCTAAAGTGTAGGAAAAAAAATTGTCAGGTTGAAATTTAACCATTGATATTCTGTGTTGTCCAAGCATTCTGATATTGAGATGCTTTAAAGTGCCTCCCCCGACCCCAACTTGAGTAAAACTTGTAAAGTCTTTTTAAATTTGAGCTCAAAGGTGAGTCCCATTCCTCGCTCTAATATGCCAAAAATGTTGAATTTGAGCCCAAGGGATTCTGTACTGTCATGTTCCCCAGATTCGCTTAGATTCTTCCCTACCCCCATCTCATTTGGTCAAAGACAGATTTGCCCCCCCCCAATTAATTCTTATGCAAATATATGCACAAAATCATTACTTTGGATTTTTTTTTTAATACTTGTGACAAATCAGTAGAAAGACCAAAATAGACATAATTATTTTTTAGGCAGGGTGTGACAGAAAGATGCAAATCTTGTTGGAGAACATTTTGAGAAAAAATGGATGTTGGGGAAAATTTTAAGGGGGGGGACTCCCCTTCCACAATTAGCGTTTAATGCCATGAATGGAATGGCTGTATGACACAACTTCTTGTCAGATTGAATTGAAACTTGACAGATACGCTGATATTTGATGCCTTGACAGCTCCCATGCTAAGTTTCCAAACAGTGGGCGTACCCAGGATTATTAGAAGGGGGCTTTGAAATTGACTGGCTCAGGATTCGCAGACTAAGGAGAGTCAGGGGCGTGGTCCCCGGGAAATATTTTTCCCATGGCAGACATCACATCGTGCAGTCTTGTGCATTTAAATGCTCCCAAAAGCAAATCCAAGAGTTCTTTTTTGTAGTTGTTTTATTAGTGAAACAACTGAGGATTACAGAGGATTTCTCCCCCCCCCTCCCTGCATGCCCTTGCAGAAAGATTGGCCTTTAGACCATGGGCCAGAAATGGTATATGTAGCTTCACTGTAACTGGAGGTCCGTTCTCAATTACGAGTGGCAACATGGAATCATGTGTGGTAGATCAGTATGAAGGTGGTAAATTCAAATTTCCCTTTTGCCACCTTGTCAGACTGCTCCCAAGATCACCACAAGAGGGCACTAATCCCGTTTTTGCCGTGGGAGGGCTAAGATCTTGGCCCAATTTTATGGCTGAACATTAAGGGCCCTAAACTAAACCACCAATTTATCGGTACACAAACTCTTGTTCCTGATGCCGGGAACCAAGTACGACCAAGGGTGGATCCATAACCCTTTTTTTTTGGAGGAGGGCTTATGCTTTTGGAAGGATGGGAAATGATACAGACCAAAAAAAAATCGCCTGTCATTTCTCCAAAAAAAAGGATTTTATGGCTGGAGGGTGGAGCCATGGCTCTTCTTGTTTGTTTCCCCCCACCCCTGGACCCAACCTTGAGTAAAGCCTTGAATCAAGACTACACTTACTCTAAAGCTCTGTTACCAACCTTGCGTTTCTTGTATCAGTGGTCTTACGTTCAATATAGTCAGTACAGATACAGCTGAGGCTTATCACTTAAATAGGAAGTTCTCAATCACAGTCCTGTTGACCTGATTGTTCACAAACAGAATTAAACACCTTTTGTTTGAATACAAAGGCCGAGCCAAGATCTAGTCTCATTCAAGTGTTGTCAGGCAACTCATTTTGCTGGTACATATGTCGTGCATTTCCCGCACTTGGTGTTCTAATCGTGTTCTACAAGCGGCATTAAATCCTTGCAGGCCACTTCAGCGATATCAGGTGATTGGGAGAGAAGCAGTGCATGCTGGGAAGGTTTAGGCAACTGCATGCCAAAATGAAGTGGAGTCAATTCTGGACTCTTAGATTAGAATCTCAACCAGTTTTTTTTTGGTTTTTTCTTTGAGTTTTGAGGAATATTGGATTAGCAGAAGGAAGTTATTCCAGAGTCCTCCTTCTGTAAGTTCAGAAAAAAATTATGTTTTTAAGAAAAAGGGTTAACACCTGTCTGTGAGCTCACTTCCTCCCTTGACATTTCATCGTTGAAGTAATTTGGTTTTCATGTTGAGCCTTCAAGGGTTTCTCCAGCAATATAGTGTAATCAATTTTACTTCAATTTTATGAAAATCAGACATTGTGTTCCCGTGAAACTCCCAGCATTTTGAAACAGGTGAGCCCAAAATGTTGACTCTTGCTGTTGACATTGTAAGTGCATGCAGGCCAACACCCATAGGAAGAAATACCAATGGCCATAACAAATTCCTTTATAGGACTGCGTTGAATCTTATTAAGTGTAAGTATCATGACTGTTTTTATATGCATGCAAAGATTCAAGAAGATCGGGCACAGCACAGCTGAGATCTTGGGTGCTGTGTCCTCAGCTGAGATGGTCCAAAAAAGTCGGGCTCTTGAAAGCTGGATCAGGAGGTGCTCGAACCCTCGACCTCCTGTTTACTTGAGTAGGCGTCTTACCCTTTCCACCCCTAACTTGCCCGGGAATTTACTGTAAATGGAAAGTACTGAAATGCTCTAATTTTTAATCGGATATTGGTGCATTTTGCTTCGTTTCAGGCAAGGACGATCTGAGCATGTGCGAGATGAGCCTGGAGCAGACGGGCTTGACTCGCAAGGCGGGGGCGGAGATCGTCCAGCGGGAGTTCGAGGAGGAGTGGAACCGGCACAACGGACAGCAGCTGCTAGCCGACGCCATCCGCACGGGGCAGGCCCGCAAGACCTTCGCCACAGAGTCGCTACGAAAGCAGTACCAGCTGTAATGATTACCACTTGTTGTATGAAACGGCCCATGCTCTCTAGCAAGCCGCTTAATGAGTCAATGTGTGACTCAGAAAGGCCAGGTCGTTTGAGAATAAGGCACCCGATGTCACCTCAGCTCATATGTCTTCAGTACATGAGTCAACGTGTGGTCAGACTGATAGGGCTGACCTCACCTGCACTTGTTTCTCGATTGACCTACGTACTTCATTTTGTACCTGAGCTTTTGGAATACCAAGCCAGCTTTGTTATAGTGACACCCGAAAGTGATCTAGAAAAGGTAGTAAATTGAAACATGATTTATAGAATACTGGCGGCATTAGCCCCTTTTGTTTTTTGGCTCTTTTAATACAGGCGATTCACAATAGTGCGCCACCAAGAGTTTGCAACGCGTTGGCCAATCATAACGCGCGAAATTTGTCGACCCTTTCCAAACGCGCATTGGGTCAACAAATTTTGCGCATTGTGATTGGCCAATGTGTTGCAAACTCTTGGTGGCGCTCTATTGTGAAATGTCCGTATTTTAGCCCTGTAGTTTATTGCTTAAGTGAGTACCTGATATTTTGTGACAGCAGGCAGAAATCCTGTAATCAACATAATTTTTGCGAGTTTTCATAATACTGAGCATTTGAAAATGCAACATCTTGGGCACGAGGGTAAAGTTTTTAAACGTGTCATCACACAGACGTACATGGTAAGATGATATTTTCATGGGGGGTGCTGGCATGTACTGACCGAGGTCATTAGCTCAAAACCAACTGGTTTGTGCTGGTGCATATTGTTAATGCTGTAACAGTGCAGTGTACAGCCAGCTCGTTTTTCACAAGGGCTGGATTATCCTATA